TAATTTTACTACAAACCATTTTCTCAATATTTTTACCCATTGTTTTTACAAGTTTTTATGTTGTGGATTTCTATTTGGAGAAGATAGCATACTTTGGGTCTTCTCGTGACGATCTTCTGCCAAAAATGCTTAAAGATTGAAATGAAAAATTCGAAGTTTTTTTAATGTAAATTCTGATAGGCTAATCATCGCTGATTTCGAAAACAAGTTTGGTTTTTCCGTTTGGGGCCCATAAATAGGGATTTCGGGGTTTTTTTGCGAGTAGGTCGTGCGAAAAGAGCCTGGGGCGAGTAACGAGTTAAGATTTGTAGAGTAATTGTAGCCATTGTGAGGGCTGTAAGAAGATAAAAAGTTACCAACTGTGTAAAACGTGGTATGAGCATGAAACTTGATAGAGATAGGTAGTTTGATACGCTGAAACATATAGGGAATGAATCGACGCTGGAAAATACCCCTTATGCTATCTATAGACAGGGTTACCATGGTCCAGGCCTCTAAGCAGAAATATGTCGTTATTTAACCGTTAGATCGTGATACCAGCATGCAATTGAGTAGAAATAGAAAGTTTGATACGCTGAACAAGAAAGGATATGAATATATTCTGGAGAATTCATTATCTTTTATGTACTAACAGTACTGGAGCCAAATTCTATCCCATTCTAACCTTAGTTTTAGACTGTTAATTACCTATGTCCTTTGAAATGTCCCCCTGCAGCATACTTGTAAAACCAGCCCTAACAACATTACCACAATTTTAACTTGTCATTCCATGCCAATGAGGGACAGTCATGTAAAGCACCCTCTCAAATTTTCCTGATACTCCTATCAGATACTCAGCATTTTGAGAGGAAAATAACCTGAAAATTTCAAATTGATATCTTTGCTTATTCAGATATTATAGTTATTTTAATTTTTGCTGATTCAGCATAATATTATCCACATATCCGCCATTTTGAATGTGCAGAGAAAGTAAACTTTGAGAAATTTTCATAAAGTATATGGAAATCATTAATTAAAATATAATTTTTGGATAAATTAGGGGCAAGGAATTCAAAAATTGCAACAGAAATGCACTAAATCCATTAGAAAACAGAGTAAATTATACCAGAATATAATTTCTTATACTCGCAAATCGCTTTTACCATCCACCAAACTATGAAAAAATTCACCATGTTGGAAGAATGTGACAAATTTCAAATTGTGCATCCAAGAAGTACACAGGACAGACTTTAAATTTACAAAGAACCAGCAAAAGATTTTTCTTGGTTTCTGAGATAAGCACTTTGCAAATTTGTGAGAAATTCGTGAAAATTTGGTATTTTTCTCAGTTGTTTAAAGCCATCTATATAGCAAATACACTGTATGTTATTGGAATTGGTGTTTTACAAATAGAATTTAACTATTATAATATATGGTGTTTATAATTGAATATATCTTTCCCATCAATACAACCCATTTTCAATGGTTCAAATTTACTTTTATACATGCTTAGGGAGTGCGAAGACCTACAAAAACGTTCAAAATTTTGAAAAAAATCCGAAAACCCATGCAAAAATTCGGCAATTCCTAAAATGCATATTTCAAGGTAAAATTTTCTAGGGATGTAATTTATTTCAAAATTATTATCTGCCAAAAGCTAACATCATGACATGTTATTGTGCAGATTTGTTTTAAGTTTTGAAGTACACGCTTTTTTTATAAGGAACCTACCTCAAGGCCTAGTTCCAAAAGTTCCTTATTCGTATACTTCAAATCATCAGATTTTATTACCAAAAGTTCCTTAAAAGTTCCTTAATTTTTACTGCACATCAATAAGCCTTAACACTTAATTGAGAGGGGCGAGACAGCATATGCGGAAACTACTCGACAAAGCATTTCACACACGAATAGCAAACAATCTATGCGATTATTGGCTGCAAATGAATGGAACCGGCTTTTTAGTTCTTGATGCTTGCAGTTATAAAAATTTTGCAAATCGAAAAGTTCTTTAAATATTTCGGCCTTATACATGTAGGTTCCTTATAAAGTGGTTCCTTATAAAAAAAGCGTGTACCGATTAGCGGCAAAGGAAACAGAGCAAAAATCAAGGGACCTGGATTACCTGGTTTCTCTCATGAAAGAAAAGCTGAATGTGTCAACTAGAAGACAAAAGATTCAAATTTTGACACTGACTCCAAAGTCTTGGGGACTCAGAAAGGCAGCAACAGAATTCAAAGTTTCCAAAAGTACTATCCAAAAAGCTATCCTCCTCAGAGATGAAAAGGGAATTATAGAACTTCCTTCAGCCTGTAAAGCAAAGAAGTTGAACGACGACATTGTTACGGCAGTTAAAGAATTTTATTGCAATGATGATTATACTCGTCAGCTACCTGGCAAGAAAGATTGCTTAAGCATCGGAAAGAAGCAATATGTGGCAAAGCGTTTGATATTGTGCAGTTTGAAAGAACTATATGAATTATTTAAAACTAAAAATCCTAACTTAAAGATCGGGTTTTCAAAGTTTGCCAGCCTACGTCCCAAATGGTGCATTTCAGTTGGCCCCAAAGGTACTCATTCAGTGTGTGTCTGCACAATCCATCAAAATTTAAAACTGATGTTAGATGCTATCAGTATAGACAAAAGTTATCATGAACTTACAGACATGATTGTTTGTAACCGAGAATCAAAGGTATGCATGATTCATAGGTGTGCCTCCTGTCCAGGCATAGAATCAGTTGAAGCATATCTAAAAAGGGAACTCCAAAGAGTTGACCCAGGAAAGATGCCGTTGTCAGATGAAATTGGCGCAGTTAACTACTGTGATGAATCTGAAACGTCTACAGATGATGAAGACAATGACTTGGATGAAATAAGTATTGAATTCAATCAATGGACAACAACAGATCGCTCTATGCTGACTTCCCAAACTGTTTCTGCAAGTGAATTTATTTCAATTCTTTGTGAAAAGTTGGATAAAGTAACAGCTCACTCATATATAGCACGTTCACAAGCAGCATATTTAAATGCCAAAAAAGAGTCGTTGTGTGCTGAAGAAGTGATTGTTTTGGGGGATTTTTCAGAGAATTACAAGTTTGTAATACAGGATGAGGTTCAAGGGTACCATTGGAATCAACAGCAATGTACTCTACATCCAATAGTTCTTTACCACAAATTTGAAGATGCTGCTCAATTTTCTGTCCAATCCCTCTGTTTCATATCAAACGATTTGGGCCATGATGTAAATTTTGTGTACAAAGTTATTTTTGAAACTGTTGCTCATATAAAGCAGCTCTCAAGCCAGGTAAAGAAGATCAGCTATTTTTCAGACGGTTGCGCAGGCCAGTACAAGAACTGCAAGAACTTCATTAACCTGTGCCACCATCAAGAAGACTTTTCCATTGAATGTGAGTGGAATTTCTTTGCCACCAGCCATGGTAAGTCACCATGTGACGGAATCGGTGGCACAGTGAAGAAGCTTGTTGCCATGGCAAGCTTGCAAAGGCCTTCAAATGACCAAATTTTATCAGCAGAGGCAATGTTCCTCTATTGCCAAGAAAAAATAAGTGGAATTGAATTTAAATATATTCCAAAAGAGGAAATTCAATCCACACGAGAGAATATAAGAGAGCGTCTCAGTCAAGCAAAGACAGTTCCTGGCACAAGAAGCTTCCACCAATTTATACCAATAAGCTCATCTATTAGTGGCGCCAAAAGAGTTTCTGAGGAAGTGGATTTTGCTCTTCGATTCAGTTTTGGAGAGGAGCAACTGGAAGGTGTCGAGGCTAGAGTTGGCCAGTTTGTGGTTTGCAATTACGATGAACTCTACTGGGCAGGAATGTTGATAGAGGTAGACAATGATATGCATGATGTCAATGTAAAATTCATGCATCCCAGCCTCCCATCCACTTCTTTGAAGTGGCCAAAAAGAGATGATACATGCTGGGTACCGAAAACAAATATATTGTTCAAAATCGAGCCACCAACACTTTCAACTCATACCGGTAGGCAGTATATTCTTGATGGCAAAGATAGAGATAGGATTGACAGATGTCTTCAAAGGATGTAGAACTGCTTGTGAGTATATAGCTACATACATAAACAATTTTATAACTAAATAACGAGAAATGACAATTTGCTTGAATATCAATTTATCTAACCTTTAGTAGCATAAAGTACAGCGGAAAAAATGTTTTGAATATACAGTTTCAAAATTTCAATGGACTCTTTGCCTAAAAACATCCCTTCAAGAAGTACTCTTGAACCATCTATCAAGAGAGATACTGCAGAGAAAGAGCCACACCTATTAGTAAAACACCAATTCCAACAACATGCAGTGTATTTGCTATATAGATGGCTTTAGACAACTGAGAAAAATACCAAATTTTCACGAATTTCTCACAAATTTGCAAAGTGCATATCTCAGAAACCAAGAAAAACCTTTTGCTGGTTCTTTGTAAATTCAAAGTCTGTCCTGTGTACTTCTTGGATGCACAATTTGAAATTTGTCACATTCTTCCAACATGTGAGTATAAGAAATTATATTCTAGTATAATTTACTCTGTTTTTTAATGGATTTAGTGAATTTTTAATGCAATTTTTGAATTCCTTGCCCCTAATTTATCCAAAAGTGATATTTTTATTGGTGATTTCCATCTGCTTTATCAAAATTTCTCAAAGTTTACTTTCTCTGCACATTTAAAATGGCGGATATGTGGATAATATTATGCTGAATCAGCAAAAATTAAAATAACTATAATATCTGAATGAGTTAAGATATCAACTTGAAATTTTCAGGTTATTTTCCTCTCAAGATACTTAGCATTTGACAGGAGTATCAGAAAAATCTGAGAGGGTGCATTACAAATCTAATTTTTTTGTCCCACTTTGGCATGGAATGGCCCTTCTTTAAGTTTAGTGCGCGGCTACAATTTCTAATTAAAACTGTTGCAAACTATTTTCACTCAAGCAGACAACACCGTCGATAGATAGGTTCGACTAACGGTGAAAAATTAATGCAATAATTGTGTCATATGAAGAAAATACAGCAGTTTTTAATATCAAAATGGTTTTCGAATTTCACATCAAAGAAAACTCAAGAAATAAGCAAAGTGAACCGAAGTGACTCATATTTACCGTTAGCAGAAAACGACTATAATTGCTAACGGTTACTATTTCAATATCATCAGCATCAACAGCTAGTAAATCTACAACGTAAACTAAGAATCAAAAATGAACTTGATATTGAAAGAAAGAAGGACAATAAAGCGATGCATCATGGGACATTATCTTCTGTGTCCGTGCCATAAATAGCAATCTCAGAGCTCAGCTACTCACAGAAATGTATCTAGGCCAAAACCTGGTGATGTACAAAGGCCTACGTTTTTCATACCAAGGAAAAGGGGCAGTTAAAGTAACTTTATTTAAAATTTTCTTGACAAATATAGCTTCTGATTTCTTACTATTGCTGTAAATCAAATCGTAACTTAGCTTATAGCTTTTTCTTTATGCTTTTCAACGGTTTTCCCTCAAGGCTGAAGAAGTGGGATGGCGATATTTAGCCTGGTAATGCAGCTTCTTAACACCGACATTTCGGATGAAGCCTTTTAATAATTTTCTACAAGCCCGCGTAAATGCTAGCCTAGTTTAATTAGGTAATTTTGCAGATTGTTTATTTTGCCTTTACCTAAACAGCTGATATCTAATTTCTATGGGCTTCTGCTTCAACACAAATATTGGCATGCAGTGCGAATAGTCTTCACCGACAGCTGCAGCCTTATGAAAACATATGATAAAACACCCCCTGTCGGATGTCAATGGAGATGGTTTGTTTCATTAGCATACTTTCATTTGAAGCTTACCTAAGCCTTTTGGGGAGATTTAAATAGGCTAAGAAACAGGGTCTATCATAACAGGTTCCTACATTTGAGACGAGCATTGAGACATTTTGGTACATCCAACTAAAACAATGCTTCTCAACCGTAACAAAGCATCTCCAATTTCGACCAAACATTAAGCTGTGTAACCTCAATGCGATGCCAAAGCAGAGAGAGGCAAACGTCCCTTAGAGTCACCGGAAAACTATCGTGAAGATGGAAGGTGTCATTTCTTACTAGGAACCAACGTGGATAACCTATTGAGCATTACATCAAATATTTTTATCATTAGTTTAAGAATATCTTCAATGAATAAAGACTTTGGTAGCAAAATAATTAGCTACAAAAATAATGCCAAGCTTAATGGCAGAGTATTAATAAATGGCAATCTGATAACAAACGTTTTAAGATGATGTACCGAAATTTTATGGTTAGTAACTGTAAAACCAAATTTTTTACTATCGGGATCGATCAGTTAACGTGCGCGTTTAGTAATGTCAGACTCTGCCGTCTTAAGTATAAAATTGAAACGAAGTTAAGGAATATCGTTGCTTTTCTGCAAATAAAAAACCAGTCAAAACTAGGAACCACTTGGCTCTAACATATAAGAAACGCCTAATTAAAATATTTCCAGAACTAAACCGTTGATATCCCCTAAATGCTTACTTGCAAAGCTTTACGCCTCACACCGTACGTTCATGTAAAACCCTATAACCCAGTAGTACATGGGAGATGGCTCGACAAGATTGTATGAAGATGTTTTCATGGAACAATTACGCCCTTGCACCACTTTAAAAATCATTTCCACTGTACAACATCGTTAGATTGAGAATTCGTCTGGTTAAACACTAACAATAATACCATCTCTGTGGGCTTCCATGGGCCTAGGGCCGAAATTACGGGAATGGAAACCTGGAAAGGGTTATGGAACAAATGGAAAAACGAATAAATAGAGGAACTTGTACCGGAACAGGCTTATGGCAAATTGATGTAAAAACCCGAAATAATAACTAATTGAACCGAATTTTGAACAATATACCAATAAAGCAAACAACATAGAATTCGAGTAGGCGATGTGCAGACATACTTTCTAATGAAGGTGCGAGGATAGTTCTACGTGTATTAATGTTCATTATGAGTACCTTTGTTTCTGGGGGGTCGTTGACGCGAAAGTTAGTTGCCAGCACCAGCAATTATAGGCTTTGTTTCTGCAGAAAAATTGAAATAATGATCAATGAATTCTAGTAAAACACTTAGAAGAAGATTTTTACTACAAGGCTAACAGCGAAATGAATTTGATTACATGATAGCGAAAAGGAACGTTTTCATAACCATATTAAAATTGTATAGCAAAAAATATATCATAATAAATATATAAATTGTATAGCAATTCACTGTTAGTTATAACGAGTCAAGTTCAGTCTTCTAACAATGAAGCAGAATTTTACCCATTAACTCAAGGACTACATAAACAGCAAACGACTTCTCAACAAAACTTTGTGCAAAGAAATCTAATACATAAGCAATGCAGTCAAGTATACTGAGAAAATTTTCAAATTTTGGATCCTTGGCAAATACTGATATTCAGTTTTCATTAATTAATAAATTTTCCTTCATTCAGTGAGCGAAAGTGCACCGACTCAGAATCCTGATGCAAATTAAAAACACCCGGGAGATTTCTACTTCCGTTATTGTCATCGTGTCGGTATTGCGATCAAATATCCGTTGGGCCTTGAATTGAATGACTGCTGTCGTGACTTCGATTACAACAAATTTTCTTTAGCTGATTACCATGCAAACCACAATATTAAGCTGTCTTAAATGAAAGCAGCTGCATCACAGTTAATTAATAAGCCGCCGCTCCTGGAATTGATTTTTGCATTCAACCAGAGGGAATTAGGCTCTGGTTGCAATGCATAATTTATTCTTTAAACGCAACAATAGCGAAATGCCAACGAGGCTACACCTCAATCGCATGTTATCTAGGTTCATATGAGAGCTCCATTTCTCTTTCAACAACACCTTCGTTGCGAATGGAAGGCACTTTTCACATCTATAAACCAAGTATTTCTGATGAAGAATCTACAAACTGCAAAAATTGACTGTGAAAAAGTCGAAGCATTGCCAAACTGTTCAAGGACACAACTTTTGCCTGCCTGAGAGAAAGATTTATAGAGATTTTATCGTTGAGGAAATTTTTACGTTTGCCTGAATAATTAATAGCTAGGGAAGTAACAGATGTCTCTCATAGATACAGTGACCCAATCCAATAATGAATAAATTGAAGTGCCATATCGCAAGGAATACACAATTAAGTAAATGCTATAATTTTAGATAGACGGTAACTGATAGCTCTGATTGAGGTTGATTTTAAGATTAGGGCGTCCACTGAATTACCGAATTATTTATAGCCCTCTCAAGATATCCAAATTCAATATTATAATGTCCATATGTCCAAATCATCTAAAATTATAAGTTCACTGAGCATCGCTGCGTAAAGTTAAGTCTGATCGAAATCAATACACACCCTTACCGAAAGCACCCCTCTGTTTTAAAGAGAAGGACACATATTGTGAGTTCCACTGATTAATGTTCTTTCAAAAATTCTTAATAAGTTATAAGTTTTTAAGTACACAAGAAAGTATCACAACCCCTCTCTCCCAGGGGTGCAGAAATATTCCGTATTACTGCCCTTTGGATTTTTGATACTTTGTTACGATTTTGTGAATTTAAAAGAAAAGGAGGCATAAAACCGGGCTCAATTGCTCTTGGCTAAAAAGTTTTTTGTCGCTTTCCCTGAAGTCTGTCCTCCCTGACTTAAGGGGACATACACAATTCACTCATACGATAAGCAGTGCATAATAAATCATTGAAAATATTCAAACATCACGTTAAGACAATACCTTCTTTTAACGATGTTAAGTTTACTTAGGGTTTCTTAAGAAGAAACAACAAAAAGACAAAACGCGTTTAAGCTTCACGATAAGAATTACTCTTGATTGTCTTGTACAGAAATAAACAAAAATCTGAATCTGAAAAATGAATTTTACATAGAAGCAACCTGCTGCCAGAAAAAAAACAGTCAAAATGCATTTAACTTACATCACTGTGGGTATGATGACCAAATCACTGACTGTCATACATTGACATAATCTATTTTCTACATAATGCCAAGCTTATAGCAACACTGCCTGCTCTTCAACATTACTTAACATCTAAACCTTGGTGACAAGGACAACAAAGGTTCCCTAGCGGGCATTGCCGGATTTTATAAATGAACATGCCAAAACAACAAAAGCATCAAACAACTGATCATTGCTTTTGTGATTTCTAGTACTTTTACTGTATTACTGTCGTTAAGAAAGAAAATAACGGATTTCTGCATCCAAAAAATGAAAATAGATTTTCTCATCCTTGGCATGTCAGTTCGAGTTAGTCATCAAACCCCCCTGTACAGAAAACGGGTTCCAAACATTAGCAAAATTTAACTTCTCAAAATAGCCTCTATGAACAGGAATCAAACTGAAAACATGAACAAAGAAGCTTTAAAAATATCAGGGCTCTGCAATCTGTGAACTATGCAATGAGCAGTAGCACCATAGACTGGAAAGCCACTTGCCATACAACACAGCTAGAAGTCCTTGTAAATAGTTGTGAGAAAATTTACATTGGTTCTGTACGATAGTTTCCAGAAAAAGCAGTTTAACTAACAGTTTGGATAAAGCTTTCAAAACGTACATTAAAGACAAAACTTAGAAATGGTAAAGTAATTGATAATTACGTTAAAACGCTTATAAGGTAAGTTTAGCGAAAGTGCAACCGCAATTTTAGCTTTTACATTATTAATCTTTGCAAAAATCACGAGAACCACCAGAACAGCTAGTTTTAAGACTTTAACAGAGCTATAGATTAGATTCAATACGTTTGATAAGAGGACCATTACCGTCATTTCCATCCACTGTGTCCACTAAAGTTGCCGATGGAGTTGTTGGCTCGTCAGAGGAGGCAAATCCAGTGCCAACTGGGCCAACAAGCGAATTGAAGACGGCTGGTGATATTATATTCATTGTGCGCTGTCTGTGGTCCATGCCTGTTTTGAACGCATTCACAACGCGTATCTATAAAAGGAAAATTCCATCACAAATGCTAAATACTATTCGTAGACGAGTTGTAAAAAGATTATAGCAAGCAATAAATTAGAAATGATGGTCTGCTGAAGCGGAAAATTTCATGAAAATGACGTTGACACATAGTTATAAGAACTTCAGTGACCTCCTGCTTCTTTGAAACCAGAAGAAAACAATTGCATACTGTCTAAGGGAATCGAGAGACGCCAATTGATGTGGCTTTCTATGCCAAAATCTGCCTAGGAAAACCAGCCAGCTAGAAAAACCAGTCGTGAACAAAATAATGCGCGAAGTGAAGGGTCAAAAAGACGAGCAAGTCTCATGTCTCCAATGCAAGCAAGCTTTCCAATCTTTACTTGACAAAGCAATAACTTAAAAAATAGGCTTATCTTTCTTCAAGCGAGTAGGCTTGTCATTTAGAAATTGCAGTATTTTTTCAATATGGTCCAATTTACACAACCGATAAACTTGTCAACGAAAAATTGGACCTGTAAATGAGACTTAAACATTGGAGGATGCTGTATTCTTCTAAATACTAACAACTTACTTGGTGCTGCAGTCGTGTTAGGCCTCTTAGCCACAAAACTCTACCAGAACTTTCACTTGACTCTGGAGTAATAACCTCCTTTGTAGGAATGCCTTTTCGAAAAAAACGCAACCGCTTGGAGAATACCGACTTTGGGATACTGAGAACAACTTGTCCCCAGATAAGCTCTGTGAAACCCAAAAATAAGCACCACATCCACTGTTCAAGGGTTAGTCCCTTCACACTGAAAAATCTTCCTGTAAACTCAACAAGCAGGACCTAATAAAAAAGATAAATTTTTATCATAAACAACAGAGAGTTACGGAAATAGTTTAATCACATAAAAGGAACATTTCTAAAGGAAAAGAAACAAAGGACTGATGATCAAAAGTGGATTTTTTCGGGCGTTTATTACAACCTTTATGCCAATATGTTTTTTTAAGAATGTTTGTTATTTCGATATCATTATGAAAGATACATATTTGACATCGATAAATTCTAATGAAAACAACGTCAAAATTACGAACCTGTACAACAACGGTTCCGATTAGAATGGCAAGGAAAAGGCGATTCGAGAAAATTCCTGAGAAAACATTCCTCTCTCCATGCACCTTTCTTGAGTTTATTTCATTGAACACTTGCAACAACACAAACGTGTTGAAGACGATAGTGAGATGCTGGGTTGGCTCTGCACCATAGGGTCGGTTGAAGCCGTATGGAACATCAAACAGGACGTGTCCGTGGAATGTAAGAATAAACATAATAATAAGCTGAAAGAAGCCATGACCAAGAATGTGTCGCATCATTGACAATGACAGAAGGGGCTTGGTGCGACCGTAAGGCTTTCTTTGAAGTAATGAGTCAGTAGGCTGTTCCGTTGCAAGGGCCAGAGATGCAAGAGAGTCCATGATCAAATTAACCCAGAGTAACTGAATGGCAGTCAGCGGACTTTTCTGAAAGAAACATGATTTCTATTTTCAACACCTGTAGTTCACAAATCTGAGATTTGTATAACGAGGAAAATGTACAGACTAGGAAATACATTCAAAAGAGGCAAATATCTTAAAGGAAAGTAGCTAATTCTTTCCATATTGTCTGACAAAGTTTAAATTCAATATTTATAGTGACGTTACAGGGTTTCTTGTTTTTTTGCTTTTTGGTACTCATTCATCTTTAGAATAATCAAAAACTTTACATTTAATTGAAGAAAGAAAAACATCTTGATTGGGTTCTTGAGATTCTTGACCGAACGTGATATCTTATAATACCCAATTAACATGGAGACAAATTTAGGAGATCGAGTTTCGTGACTGTGATCTTCAAAACTGGGTCATTTGAGCACCAAATCCGTATCCCAGAAAATTTAATCCTATTGCAGAGGTTGATTGGGATCACTCGCAATAGCTCAAAAGAAGCATTTTGGTTTACTAAAAACCACTTACTGTCGCTAAGAGAAGAGACGAGAATATAAACTTAACAGCAGCAAAAAAGAAACCGAATGCCAGCTTAAATTATTCAAGCCTAGCAGAGTCGATTTTCTACCTTTCCACGTTCTATATATTAATGGAAGATCTTGATGATATTTTTCAATAAACTTAGCAAATGCATGAACTGACGGAAAATGCAAGCAAGAATTGATCGCGATCCTCTTTCGGTCTCGGTCTTGGTTTAAGTAAACACAGCAAGGCGACGACAGGGTCGCGATTGCCAGCATGTTACTTTCCTCCGTGCAGATGGGTATAAGTGTAGTCAATGCAGTTCGATTACTTCCATGACTAAAAAGGACATACCTTGACAACAATAGCACCTATTATTGAAGTAATGATAGCCACCAAATTAACAGTTAGCTGAAACTGAATGAACTTTGAGATGCTGTCGTACACATTTCTTCCCCACTTCACAGCCTGTACAATGCTGTTAAAATTGTCATCAGTCAAAATGATGTCAGATGCTTCTTTTGCAACATCTGTTCCCTGTATACCCTGCACAGAAAAATTTAGACGTCAGTTTTTTACATTGGAGCTGGTTCTTCAAAATGATAAAAATAGAGAGAAAATGGTGGAAGAAAAAATATTCACATAGAAAGCATTTAATCGCAGTAATAATTCAATGAAGATTACTGTCTACCAGTCCGTCATAGAGTTCTCGATGTCGTAAGGGCAGAGCTGTACACACTTTTGAGATATAGAACAGAGCGCCTCTACGTTGCTACTCAGTTTCAAGCGTGAACCATCCTGCAACTATCACAAAAGTTATTCATGCTTTAGATGGCTTGATAGAGAGCAGCTAGGTACATAAATAGGATGCTTCTAAGGTAATGTAACACAGGAGAAGACACAAACTATGTTAAGTTGACTTTGGAAAATCGATTCGACACTTACCATGGCGAATCCAACATCAGCCTTTTTGAGTGCTGGTCCGTCATTTGTACCATCACCCGTTACAGCAACAATTTCACGTGCTTTAGAGATTTTACTGTCAATTATACCCTTAACTAGGGTATACTTGTCTTCAGGAGAAGAGCGTGCTAATACTCTCAATTTTGGCCACACTTCATCCAGCAAATTTTGTCGAACCTGTCAGCAAAAAGTTTACAATATGATGCAATACTTATGGTCAAAAAGTGAAAAGGCTGGCAAGGGATATCTAATTTTTACGGCCAATTAAAGTTAAACCTTATCCTTAAACATAATCGATACATTTTTAACCAGAATATCTAACAGGATAAAAGCTTTGAAATTTTTTTTGCTGCTTTCAATGCCTAAGAAGCTTGAGGCTATGCAAATTTTTGTCGGGGAGTCATGAAAGGGAATTTCTACTAAAGGACTTAGTGATCCTTGAAATGTAGAAACTCGTTGAGGTGTTAGCCGAGGTACGATAGACTAGTATGTTAACATAGACGTGATAACAGGTCAAATTATAGATGATTTGATTTGTAAAGCTAGAAAGATTGACTAAAAATAATTGCATGGTTTTAAATTGCAATGACAGATACTTCTGAAATAGAGAACAAAGTGGCGACATTGTGCATCATAGACAACTTTGAAAATCACATAAAAGCTGAGCAAATCTTTTACCAAACCGATAAATGTTATTGATCTCAAGGGAAAATGAGGACAAAAACGCGAAATATTGACAATAGATAAAGTCGCCGAAAGTAGAGCAAGATATCTTCATAAAATGTTCTAACCACATTGTGACAAATCAAACAGTTAAGGCTACTTTGTTCGAAACAACTTGCCAGCCAGCATTACATTACAAGACCAAACAGGCATGCAATTTGTGCGTGAACAGTACTTTATCTAACGGATACCTGTAATAAAATTCGACCATTCATTCGGGTTTTAATTACCAGAACGAGTTAATGATATAAAGATCTTTCGACGGTCATTTATCTGAATCTTTCTATTCGTGGAAAGATGCAATAACAAGAGGAAGAGACATTGTTATAAAAGGGCATATTAGATCGCAGGCTTTTAAGATTGGCTAGAATATCTAAATAGAATGAGCTTTGTTTCTAAAATAATCACCCCTTACGTGATCTTGTTGACCAAATAATACTGCAATAGGAAATAATATAGACAGAGAAATTAAGCCTTTCAAAATTTTAGACACACCCTTTTAATCCAATTGCTAAGCGGACAGCTAATGCAGATAATACCTCTATCCATTGATATTAATAACACGCATATGGAAAACGCAAAAAATGAAACCATTCCCAGGAATGCATTAATATTTCATCAGCAACGAGCAAACTTTCCATGAATAATTGATTCCCCTGCATCTGTGCTGACATTTTCAGCAGAGTGTATAAGTTAAACTTTGCATACAAATGTATTTTTCGATTAACAGAGTAAAGCAAACGTGTCTATTGTAAAGTGCTGACTACAGTCAAATGTAGGCTAGAGACTTATGGCTACAAGCCATCAATTTTCTTGTCTTGCTCCTTTTAGTTTTTTTCCTAATAAGTTTCAGATTACAGCAAAGAATTACCGGAAAGAACTGCTATTCTGCAATTTTTCGAACTGCGGAGACTAAAAACCTATGTTGGAATTAAGAACTTGTATACAACAAAAGGAACATATTGAAAAAGCATTGTCTTTAATGTAAAAACCATTAGAAGAACCAAAATATATAGGTGCATTAATTACCAAAATCAAAACAGGTGGCTGTTCTAACAAAAATTCCTTCTCAAATATTACACTTTGTTTAAAATCAACAAGATTCAACAATTTATTTCCTTTTTAGATCACTTCGATCACCCTTTTAAATCGCTGCCTAAAATCTTTTTGTTTGGTGCCTCTCTAGATAACATCTTTTGGATGATTAGACAAATAAATTGATAATGGAGGCACTGCGATGAATAAACAAAAACAGGGAAAATTGAATGAAGAAGAAACTAACATTTCCTTTCTTATCTCTTATTCTCTTATTGAACTCCTTTCCATCCAGAACAAGGAAGTCGCTGTTGGCGTCCAAAATTCCACACTTTGTAGCAATAGCTCTGGCAGTACTGATGTTATCTCCTGTAACCATTCGAACAGTCACTCCAGCACTTTGACACTTTCTAATTGCTGGTGGCACCTATAGTTTAAAGATGAACAATAACAAAAATAAAGATAACGATGAACAATAACAAAAGTTCTCACTTTCATTATCTTCATAAAATAAAAATCGAGTATTGTATAATTCTCAGTTCACAACAGTCGTGTACAAAGACTTCTGCAACGAATTAAATTCTGAACAAAGCAAAGGCAAACCAAAGCTGGAATTAGGTGGACAAAAAGGTAACATACCTCCGGTCTTACAGGATCTTCGATGCCGAAGATTGCAACGCAGGTGAGATTTGATACAACTATAGCTTCATCGTCCCAGTCTGGCTCAGCTGAAATGATAAAATTGCAGTGGTAACGAGCATTTTGAAATCAAGAACGCGATAATCGATGACTCAAAAGATACTGAATAGCTACTTGTTTTTCAAGTATTTAAAATGCAAATTCCTGCAGTATATATGCTAAACAAACTTCAATTTTATATTCAATTCATATTGCCTTTAACATCCTTATGTCACTAATGTCACAAAAAAGCTGCGAAAAAACTATAATAAATATATGTATTTTACAAAAAGCTGGGTTAAGTAAGCATAAATAAAAAATATATCTAGACAGAAATAACAATACAAATTCAAACTGAAAAAGATCAATTTAAAAATCAAACTGAAAAAATAGTCACAAAACGAATCTCTTCCTAAAACAGCTTTTGGCGAAACTATCAAATAAATCAACTTGCTGGAGCCAAATGCTAGACCACCCTGAAGGGACTGAAAAAACGTACCTTCACTTGTACCGATATCTTTGTACGCTATCCCGATCGTACGAAGACCATTTGAAGCCATTGGGTCAATTACATTCTTCACTACATCTTGTTGATCACGTTCCCCAAAAGGAGTAACTTTTCCACCTGCTCCGGTTATGAAGGTGCATTTTGAAAGCACCATTTCTGAGGCACCTTTCGTGTAAATACGGAATCCACCACCAACCAGGGGCACTACAGTGGTCATTGACTTACGAGAAGAGTTGAATGTGAACACCTTTTTGTACTTTTCTTCAGGGGTTTCATCCCTGTAAACTTGGTATGTGTCACCGACTTCCAACACAAAGCCAAGTAAAGCACATTCTGTCTTGTTTCCCAATTGCATTGGCAAAGCGTTCTCTTGGTTTGGTGGAGGGGGCTACAAGAAATTTTCCAATCATGTAAAACCAAACACGCCGTTGCATATGCAAAAGATACTTTTCAAGTGTCTAAGGCAAATTGAATTTCGCATTTAACAAGTTATCAATAAATTTCACACTTAAAATGCAATAATTTAGGATAAAAACATAAAACAGTATAGGAATAAGTAAACTGATAGAAGTCAGCCGACTCATTTGAATGATAATTTAGACTTGTCTGTGGTGCATTATGAAAAACGGAATTATGGACTCCTTTAGTTTTTCGTCTGTTTTGAGTATTGATAGAAACCGAACCCCCACTATTTTTTGCACAAAATTCAAACAACAAACCTGGATTCTTGATTGGGAGTTAGTGTTCAAAGCAATGCCTCTGCAGAGAAGTTCCAAGAAATCCTTTGGCAACTCTGCAGAAGATGGAATTGTCTTTCGGTGTTCTCCTAAAATGAAACTTTCAACAACAGTCATACGATTTGTTGTTAGCGTGCCAGTCTTATCAGAGCAAATTGCAGTTGCATTTCCCATCGTTTCGCAAGCATCCAGATGGCGTACAAGATTTTTGTCATCAAGCATGCGCTTAACTGAGTAAGCAAGAGCAATAGTGACAGCGAGAGGGAGACCTTCTGGTATTGCTACAACCATAATAGTAAGGCCAGTGATGAAGGCGTTCAAGAACTCAAGCAAGTGCTTATTACTCCAAGATTCCTTTTTTATCGCGTATGTTTCGATCAAGAACCTGAGAATCAGCACTAGGGTGGTGATGGCTGCAGCGCCAACTCCAATCCATCCAATGGTAACAGCAAGTTTTGTCAGCTTGGCTTGAAGAACAGACTTGGCAGAATCTTTCTTGTCCTCAGCTTCATCATAGTCTTCGTCGTTACCAGCTCCTGTTCCATCTTTCAGGTCAACATCTTCAAATTTTCCATCTCCAGCAACAGGTGGCTTTTCCTTTTCATTTTCCTTTTTTCCATTACCATTGGCTTTCTGATCAACTGCTCCAAGAAGAGAGAAAATAATTCCAGCCTGTGAATTAGGCCCCACTGCAGTAACAATCATTTTGCAGCTTCCTTCCGTTACGTGTGTGGCAGAGAAGAGGCTAAGATCCCGCTCTCCCTTTTTCACCATATCAGACTCACCAGTAAGAGAGCTCTCATCAATCTTTAGGTCATTATTCTGCAAAATTATTCCGTCTGCAGGAACAACATCCCCGTATTTCAGCTGGCATAGATCACCCACAACAAGGTCTTTGGAAACAATCAGATCTTGCTTTCCGTTTCTTATAACAGCAATCTTGTGCTCACTCTCAATTTTCCCTTGCAAACTTCTAAATTGTTTCTCTTTCTCATAATCGTTGACGGCTGTTACCAACGATACAATCATTACGGCGATAAAAATGGCAAAGCCCTCGACCCATCCCTTTGCAACACCTTCGAAGACCATACCAAGGATAAGGGAAAATACAGATGCAACTATAAGAATTCTTAATATTGTGTCCTCAAGAGATTCCCATATAAGTCTTAAAAAGGTTTTTGGAGGCTTAGGTGGAATGTAATTGCTGCCAAAAGCTTCAACTCTTTGCCGTACATCTTCCTCTAAGCCCAAGATCCCCTCGATGGACGATGTCCGTAGTGACCTCAATAACCCACGAACCCCCCCGAATTTTTCATCTAAAGCTTTGATACCATCTTCACCCCTTTGTTTCATAAGATACTTAAGCTCTTCGACTGATACGTTAAATTCAGCGCCGTCCACAGCCCCATCAACATCATCACGAGAGCTTCTTCTGCTGCCCGTTTCAGCGGTTTGTAGATTTGTTAATGAATCTTTCTCCGACATATCTGCGTTTCTACTAGGCAATTCTGATCCAAGACTTGCATCAGATGACAATAAAAATCTGCTTGTCTACCATATTATGCCTTAAAGAAAAAAGAAATAAATTTTATATGCGTGAAAGTTGTAGATATAATAATAACTTTCCATCAGAATACATACTTGAGCAGACTGACACCCAGTTATTATAGTTATCATAGTACCAAACAATTATTATAGTAAAGAACCCTGTGGCAATAGCCACAAATATCAACAAGAATTGACAGAATAATAGCTAATGACAGAATAATAGCTATTTTTTCCTGAAAAGAATTTGCTCATTTGAAACGAACAAATATATAAAATTTGCTTGATAAGACGCTGGACCATTCTGTGGGACCAGAATACGTCATTTCCTTCTTTGAAAAGATGTTAAATTTTATTAGGACGTAAATCTCAATAAAAAACAGGCAAAGATTACACAGTAAAAAAAGTAAAAGATAACGTGAAACAGAAAATTTAACCAAAATGTACAGTCTTCAACGGGAAAACACTCTGAAAACTAAAGTATCACCTTACATATGTGACTATTCGAAACTCGAGTGCGTTTAGAGAGCTTGCAGGTCAACTTGTTCTCTTCATTTTAAATAAGCTTGCAAGGAAAAACTTCCTTGCAAAAACCTACAAATTTCAGAAATCACAGCACCTACCAACTCCAGTACCAACCGCCAAAATAATCCTCAGTAATAAATACTGCGCGAACTATTTCCCTATCGCTGAAACAGCCAACGAATTCCCACAATCAACACGTGAAACAGGAGCTAGCACAATTAAAATACGCGTTTAGACTTTCTAAAAAGCAAGTCAGGACGGAACAACAGCAAGAGTATTTGCAAAATAATTCGACTTTTAGGTCTCGTTTCTAAACTTGTTTCAAGAGTCGGGGATTGTGTCTGAGACAAATCTAGATTAATAACCTGTTTTGTTCGTTATTTTAGTATTGCCATCTAAAATGTCACTTCACTATCTATTCAACAATGAAGAACATCTATGAAAACTGCAAGAAAACTGTAAAAAAACTGTGCAACCCGAATGTAGAAATAAAAAACGTGATACAAAGACTGAAAGCTTTACACTGATTGAGTCGAAAAAGAGACGAAAGGTGTAGAGCAAAAAAATCTGTAAACATGCCGCGTCATCTGAATTTTGAAAAATTTAGAAAACTTAATTTGGTTGTTTGAAACGGGGGCAGGGTTGACATATTAAAGAAATACGTCAAGCTCGGGGAAAAGTTGTTGAAATTACCCTCACGGTTTGTAGTGAGCTAGCCAAATCAAAGCCCAAAAGAAGACTGGCACTCGCTAAATTATGACGCAAGACGACAGATGTTAAATGCATTAAACATGATTTTGGGCTTAAAATATGATTCTCGTTAATTACGATTAGCTTCCTGACAGGAAAAAATACAAGAGCTAGTTCTGGGAGGGATATAGACGAGCCATGAAAGTTAAGAGAAAGAAAAAACTACAATTACAATACAATTCGTCACCATTCCAAAGACGTAGAACAGTAGCGAAATGTTCCCCATATTCCGTTTAAAAGAAGTCATAGCAAAAAGGGCCTTCTATTACAGTTGTCTTCACTGATGATTGTAAAATGTTTTGGTAGACACATAGATCCCACTAAAGCCCGTTTTGCAGCCTAACCGTGCGATGAATAAGAGAGATGAAATTACAATCAAAACAGATAGAGAAAAAGAATAAAATTATATAAAATGGGTCGTAAACACACCTTCTACTCTGAAATAGCTTGTCGCCTAAAAGTTAATTCGATTTCTATTGGTATCTTGACTTTGAATATAGACGCTGGCCTCATCCCTACAATATTTTGCTTCTTGGTGATCATAGTATCGGGTCACGATCCAAAGAAAATGACATAAAACTTCAAGTCAAAGATATCCCAGTACAAAAAAGAATCAGTATCATTTATTAATGATGTGGGTAGATAACCAAAATATGTTCGAACGATTCACTAGGTCACGCAAAGTTAATTAAATATTTCAAAAGCTTGCAAAACTAGGCGTGCATATGAGTCAAGCGATATTTTATCAGGCAGCTACGAAAATAAAACATGGAAACCAGCTATGAGTCTAGTAAAGAGTTGCGCTGAGTGTGCCTTAAGTAATTAGCTACAGCAAAGCAGGATAATCAAAACCATTCTAGACCGTCGTAGAATCAATCACCACTGGAATACGAAGTGCAAGATAGAAAGGAAACATCTCAAGTTCAATGAAAATAATATCGAATATTGAATCAATGATTTAACACTATGTAGTGGCATTTTAGTGGCAAAATTTTTGACACTTTCCTACATTCCCGGAATTTTTGGAAACAATATTGCCTTTAGACCCGTCAATAAATATCATTAAGCATTCTCATTATTAGTTATGCAGAATTTTCGAGTAAAAATCCACAACACTGTCAGTGATTCAGGGTAAACTGAACAATCCAGTGATTCTGGCTAAACAGGAATATAATTCTATTTTCCTACGAAAGAGTGTTAGTTTTTGAAAACAAAAATTCAAACAAACAAAAATCATAAGAAAATGATTTATAATCTAAAAGTTCACCAGTCAAACAAACTTATGGTTGGTCTGCAACGTGCTGCGATTTAGTCAGTATTGTGCATACTCTGTTTCTTTAATTTAGGGCCCAGGACACTCATTTAAAAGTCACCCCCTCTAGGGGGCACTCAACCATTCATGGCAATGTGTTTTATCTGTTAACATAAAATGTGAAGCTATGGGCATATCCCTGATGGAAAATCTTATAAACCTTCATCATAAATCCTTTTGTATTCAAGTAAAAATCCTCAAAAATCAACAAAAACGCTATAGTTCTAAAAGATAAACCCCTCTATATGATGTTCGTACTGTTTGTTAATTAGTTTATGTTCATATCATAAAAGTATGTTAATCATGTTTTAGTTGAGTCTTAATGTTTTGATAATTATCAGAAGAAGAGCACAGTTGTTAATTAGACATGTTTTGAAAATTCACAACAACACTCAGAAAAAAACCAAAAAGCTGATTTTTATTATTAAACAACATTTTAAAATAGATAAGTTTTTATGACATTATTATCAGTCCTACTACTATGTCTTCAGAAAGAAAAAGAATGCCTTGAGCACCAAAAGCTATCAATACCAAGCATTGGTGGAAAAAAAAATTGTTAAAATAGCCAACACCTCCCAGAAAGAGGTAATTATTCAGTGGCAGCATGCCAATTGGACAAACAGGAATTACTGGACATTAATATGTAAGAGAATTTTCATTCTTGAGGAACATGCCTCATCCTAATGATGAGTCATCACCCTAATGATTTAACTTAGGTTATAATTTATATAATTTATAGTTATTTATTAGGCAGTTCCTGACAGGAGAAACATTTTTACACAAGAACGTCAAATTGTGATCACTGCTATTGGTTGGAATCAGACTTTAGGTTGCTCCCTCAAAAACTAAATCAAGCTACAGGTTTCATCTCTAAAAGCCTGTATTGTGATTAGATCACTCTTAGATCTAATCACCAAACACTCTGTAGAGATGAAACCTGTGGCTTGATTTCTTTAACTCTCAAAATATATCATGCATCATATGTGAATATATTGAGCATTGTACCATGGAAGAATCGACAGACATACTTTTTATATAATAACCTATATATAATAATATATATATATAAAACACACAAATAAATATATATATATTTAGGAGTGTGTTCAACAAGGACTCTTGAGAGAGAAAACTTCCTTCCTGTAAGCATTGGCCTTCTGAATTAACAAAAAAATCAAATTTTAAAAGAAAATAAAAGCAATGAAAAGACAAGCAACTGAAAGAGTCATGGTACAAATTCTGGTTAACCAACATAAAAAATATGCTGTTTAAGTGTGGTTTTGTAGCTATATTTAGATGGTCTAGAAAGCCTGATGCAGAAGGCATAATATTGGAAAGCTAGATAGTTTTAGGCCACACAAAATTTCAAATTCTTTTTATTCAGTAATCTAATGGCTGGTAAATTGTTTGCATATACACTAGGTGAGCAAAATTACTGCATCACTTTGACGAATTAATAATGGTGTCAGCATTGAGAACAACATGCCATTCAAAACTCAAACCACTTTTATAACCATTGGCAACACTTTCTATTTTAATTTGGAGAAAAATATTTTTTTAAAATATCAAAAAAGTAAACTTTTGATTGGACAGCCTTGAAGCTTTGAAACCCTTGTAAAACTTCTTAAATTCAATTAAAAACTTTTGCAGCAGGTTACTTTTGAACACCACATGATAAATTGAATAAACTTTGGCAAGATCACATTTAGATGTTTGTGATCCCAGAACATCATTATTGGCCTTGAATTTAGCAAAAAGAGACACTTTTACAGCCATTTTTAATGAGGGTTTTTCGCAGTTTATGACTTATTACGACTTTGTTTATGACTGCTTATTGCAGAAATTTTGGTATTTTCATTCAAATAGGAGATGAAATGCTGTTTTGAACATATTGCTGTAACATTTGTTCCCTAAACAACATTGGCTGGAAGAGACTGGATTATATTCTGTTACAACATGTTACAAAATGGTAGCCAAAATTAGGCCTTTTGCAGTATGAAAACATGCGACCAAAATTTTAGAGAAATACTTTCATAAAAGTCAGAAAAATAAAAAGTTTTGGGCAACCAAGCAAAAAGTAAGTATCTCCAAATTTGACTTAATGAAATCTTACAGGTTTGTGCAAAGAAAAACTGTTTTTGTTGCAAATATATTACAAGTACTCCTATCGCCATAGCTCAGTTTTAATGTTTTCCCAGTGTTTGATATGGCTTAAAAATAAGAAGAATCAAAGGATATCTTTGCATTTTTCATTTTCATCACTTTACCTTGATAAATTTCCCATCATTTCCCACGTTAAAGGTAATTTAAAAACGTTAATTTAACTTGCTTTAGCTATTTTAATTTCGGTTTGCTGTAAATGTTCGCGGCGGTGCAGCCATTTTGTAGGCGGGTGGTGCGATATTTTTTCTCACCTAGTGAATTTATCTATATCACTACTTTTGATAAAATACAGTTTGATCTTTATTTAAACTACAGTATGGTAAATATGTAACATAGTGGCTCCTTTCATACCTTTAATTGTGGGAATAATTTGAACTATGTAAAGATTTATTGTTTTAAATTTATGAGAGTTTTAAAACGATAAAGATCAGGATCCAAATGATACAAAAACCGTTTAATCCTCACAGCTAAAGAAATACTTAGTAAAAACCTTGACATTGAATTATGGTTCAACATTGGCAAAGGAAATTATGCCTGATTTCAATATGGTAGAGGGTTTGAATCATGAAATGAATTTGTTTCAAACTTAGCCTTGAATAAATATAAAAAGGTACACTTTTAAACAATGATAATTGATAGCATAGTCCAAAGCAACGATTCACCTTGTCTAAAATCTTTTGGTTGGACTATTAGCAAGGGAAACATTTAGCAAACTGTAATAGCTTTTGAAGAGTAAAACATAAAACAATGAATATAACGTAAATCTATAATGCTTAAATATGTAAAATGTTTTTTTAAAAATTTTTGGGAAAGAACATATTGTGATACAAATAATTAATAACTTTCAAACATTCAGTCTAATATGACTCTCATTGAATTTATAACAGAGGGTAAATTCAAGGGTTAATAATTTTCCTGTTTATGAAACTAAGCCTTGGATCAGCTACCAGGCGTTTTCAGCAAACCTATCAGTACTTAATTGGCAGGCTCAAGAAAAACAAAATGAATTAGCAAAAAGGTTCCATTATGCATGAAAAATGCAAGCCTATTTATATTGTGTTCTGAAGATCTGACATATCCAAGATTATTCAGGTTCTACTACTAAATTGCTAAAATTTCAATGGTTGGAGAATTCAAATACAGAAGCTTGGTAGGCCGTGTCGAAAACTAATTGAAAGGAAATCTCGATTCTTCGGCACATCTGCTTCCTTAATGTTTAGTACCTCCAGCATTAAAAACACCAGCTAATGGAAAACTTGCCTCGATTTTACAGTTAAGTTTGCACAAAGATATTAAAGAAGCTTTAAAGATTTTGCGGAAGCAACAATAAAGATTGATACTGGTCAGAATACTAGGCTAACGTTTGTCAATTGATCAAATGTAGGTACATTGCGATTAACAAAAATCGTCCCAAAGGAAAAACAAAGATAACCAAATTTAAATTATTTCAGTTTTTCAAGTAAAAAACTTGCATGATATTTTTAAAAGACTACTGTGACAAAAAGACTACTGTGACCAAAAAACAAACAGTATTCTTGTCTAAATTGCGATGCAAGTCGGAGAGGAATCACGTCTCCTCCCCTTTGATAAGGCTTTCTATACTTAAGCGTTTCACGGACATTTGATTTGCTTCTTTAAATTAAATAGGTGGATCGCCGTCAACACAGTTAATTCGGAACCAGAAGTTAGGAGTTTTAGGCTGCTTATGTGAGCGGTTGTGATTCATTATATTGAGCATATTTGATAGCACATATTACATCCAAGAAGCCTAGGCCCTTGCTGCTGTTTAACACCTTGTTAGAGCAGCTTTCAAAGTCAATGATCAAGATTAAAAGACACTGATGTTTATGGAATAGTTAAGAAGATCGAACTCACCATAAAAGACAATCTCTGGGTCCACCATGCAGACAATTCAAGATAGAACTTGAACAAGCCTCACCCACCAAGTCCGAGAGGAGGATTTGCAAACACTACTTCAGGATAATCACGGGGGAATGGTTGTGCATTTATGTGTTGCATAAACACCAACGAAATTTGGACCACCGAGCAAAGAACACCTGATTCAGATAAATGTTAGCAAAATGTTAGAAAAGCATCACATGTAATTGATAATCAACTGTCTTGTTAAAGTTCAAACCTAGCACATGCATGTGTCTGAAAAAGGAGAAACTTTCGACTAGAAATACATTCCCGTCAATATCTTAATAACGCTTTCATTGTCCTAGCTGTAAAAGAATCAAGTGTATTCTGACTGATTCAAAAAACTCTATACAGCCGACATACGAGATTATTTAACTGATTCAAGACATCAGATTTTCAAATTCAGCCTTGTCTTAAAACAGAAATAATTTCTTATAATGCGTTACCATAGCGTAAGATATTAAACAGCCTGGATGTATGAGATAATTTTCATTTCATTCATTCTAGATAACATAAGCTTGATTTGTGGTGAGAACAGCCTTCCATCTGGGAAAAGCCATGTACAAAAACGGGCCCCTTAATCGATAAATTACCCCCGTCCATTTTGCAGTTGTCAATAATCAAATGATCGTTTGTGATTGGTTAATGAGATCCATAGTTGTTTTCGAAATGGCGTGCTTCCCAACCGGATAGAGGCTGAACCGAAATCTAACGTTCGAAAAGTGAATTTATCCTCTTTCTTCCAAAAAAATTTTTTATCAAATCTATCAAAACTGTTTTTTAATCTGATCTTAAGTTGCGAGATCTGATAAGGTGTAATGCACGAAGCGCTTTCTTTATAATACCAACACAGGTTACTTGGAGGAGGCTAAAGCCTACAGGGCTTTTCCGAAAGCAGTTCTTAGTGGATCCAAACCCCCCCCCCCGGGGGGAGGGGGATACTTAGTATATTTTGCTGACAGGATGTGCAAGTCTTTCCGGGTATCATTTTCAGCAATTTATTCTAAGGTTGGGTATCTGTTCAAAGGATATAATCTAAAGCCGGTTCCCTGATTTTCGTTTTTTTCTATTAAAAATAACAGCAAAGAGGCTGCTCGCCCATACTCGCCCATTGTTTTTGTGGGTTCTGGCAACCATGGCAACTGGCACAAAAGCCTTTGTTCTTTTTTCCAAAAATTCTGAAGCCGGGTGTCATTTTTAGCTTTTTTTCTAAAGCCGGTTCACTAAAACAAGCTTAGGAGTGAACACCCCCGTCGTTTTGGTATCCAAGTACCCCCCCCCCCTCCCGGGATCCAAACGGTAGCCTGAGCCAACGGGGACAATCCTAACTAAGCAGTTCAAATACGTCAATATTCTAATAAATGCTAAATAAAAAAAGGTTGTTTGTAAGTTAAAAAACTGCTATATCAGATTGCAAATTAGAGATATTCCAGTGAAAAACAGTTTCTATCTCGAATTTGTACAGTTGTATATAATTTCAAGCATGCCTTCGATGAGCCACTATAAGAACATTAAACATCCCATTTTTTCAAAGGAAATGTTTGGATCGATATTTGCCTTGAATTTTCATTGCCCAGTTTTGTGAAATTTGACACATTTTATTATTTAAGGCTTCAGAAAAATCTCTCAAAGTAATTGTCGTGTCAGAACTTGTATCATTCTTGCAAAAACAAGATTCAGTAAAAGAAATTTGAATACAATATCCTTGTCACTTTTTAAAGAAAAGAATCTACGGTTTAAGGTATTTTCAAAATTAAGTTGCTACACGCATATATCGAGTTTTTCCAAACAATGTTTTGTGAATTTACAGGCTTGAACTTCGGTATAATGTTATTCTCAAAATAACCCGCTTGTCTCGTAAACCTAACTGCTCTCGATTAGTTCTCAAAAATGCCATTTGTACCATTCTTCCGTTAGACCGCAAACTGACTATCATAAAAATTGTGATCTAAAATTCAACTAGCTTGAGATACAAAATCTCTTTTTTAATTCTTTTTTAGCTTTCTATTTCTTCCGCCGAGTAAATGCAACTATTTGAAATATATAATGACTGCTTGAGACTTAGTCTCCGTTCACATGAGAAATATTGCAGTTCCAATTTTGCAGCAAATAAATGAACTGTTCAGATGGAAACTGAACGATTACGTACCAATTGTGTCGTCTGTTCACCCAAGAACGTTATCGTTCCGTTCCACTTTTGTGTTTACATTTGAACAAAGAGTTTGCGAATGCGCATGTACGTATTTCCATATGCGCAATGCAAGCATTCAGCTAAATTAGCAATTGTTCCGTTTTTCGGACCAGTTCACTCGGGAACAGAACGGGACGATTGCGCAGCGTTCTATTCCCGAAAGAAATCATCCAATATGAAACAGCTCATTTCCATAAATGTTCGTGAGTTATTCTTTGGCTATTATTTAAAGGCCAAACGTTACTTTTCAGAAGTCAATGAGATTATTGGTACTTTCACCAGTTAGCCGACCCCCCCTGGAGATTATGCACTCTCTACTGGTTAATAAAACAAAGTTTCAAGAAGGATTATATAAGATTACATATACATAGGGTTTTCCGATTTTTAAAGAAGTTTGTAGTATTTATGTGCAACAAAAGTGAGCTCTTAATTGTTATTTTCATTTCCTGTTATGCCTTTTAATCTGATCATTTCAAGAAGGTACGCACATTTTCAAGTTACAAATATCGGGATTAAATGGATAATGTTATGGTTTTAGATGTTGAGCGGAAAAGCTTTGAATGCTAGAGGCAGGGGCGGATGCAGAAAAAAATCTGACATTCGCAAAGTTTCGACCATGCCTATATGACCACGCCCAAAAAATCAGTCAAATTTACTATAGTCTCAGAATCGAAGTTTTCCACTTAAAGATGTATTTTTCCTCATATTAAGTTTTCGGATTAGGAAACTAACAACACATTTTTTAAACAGCATAGATTAAATAAAAATATTGAGGCTCAAAGGTTGAGAAATTTAAGGACAAATATTAAGAATCACAGCCAGGTCTGGATTTCATTGACAATTTGGCATTTTACTTATTGAGTGAACAAGAAAAGAGATCTCTGGAAAAATTTTGAGAAACACTCATCAAGCTTTTGTTGTGTTGGCATGTTTTGTTTCCTACATGGCTTTTGTGATGGAAAAACAGCAGCAAAGATTTGAAATGCTCTCTTAATGATGATTTAATGGCAAGTCTAGGCACAGAATCACAAATTGTCAAGAACAAAGAGGATGAGCTAAAATAAGGGTATATTAGGTGTGTGTATCACCCCTTCTCAGGGAGAAAAACTCATGAAAAACATTTTACGTCACTCACTTAAAAAACAGCCATTTAAAGAAAGGAATCTTAGTTCTATTTATACAATGATATTATTTAACAATCAAATACTGTGTTAAGTGTAGAAATTTTCAATGCAATATCCACCCAAATGTTTGACTTCAACACCAAATACCTTAGGGGCCCAGAGCTTTCTGTTATTTATTTTGTGCATTCGCCTTTCTATCTAAACTGCTGTGTGATGTGCCTTAAACAGGGCCAAAAATACAAGTTAGGTCAATACACATAATACAATTTTAGTATTTTCAGGTGTTGGTAAAACAGCAAATGTAACAGAATTTAAAACAATTCATTGTCTTTCCATAACAAGAACATCATAAATATATTATATACAAATTTAAAATGTACATCAAACAAAGTCAGTAATGGCAAAAAAATAAGGCAAACATGGTAACTTTTACTATATGGATTTATATAAGATATTTACTTGGCAGGACCAACTTGCTGTGAATTTCTTATTAATAATGTAGTAATTCCCCCATTAGGAACATTCCATTGATTGCACTTATTTACTACCCATATTTACATTTATTTACACACACAATTACATAGAAAAGAAAACTGTCAGTCACTTGCAAATTCATAAACAAAAATTAATGAATCTTAAGGGTATTTCAGAACCAAAAGTTTCAAATGGTATACTCTTATAGTGTGGAATCCACAAATAATTTTACTAGTTTTAGAGGTTAAACTTGTGAAAAGGGTTACCATATTTATGGCATGACCAGACAAATAAAATCAAAATACTATTACAATTTTTTCATTTACAAATATGACAGTCTAGATTTTTCCAAAACTGACAGCATAAAATTAACAAGAAAAGAATACGCCGTAGAAAATGCAATATCTTAGTCAAAAACAAATCCCCAGCACAGTCAAACTATTTACAGGTTTGTGATAATAACAACATCTATCAATAAAAAATATTTAGAACTCTAAAATCCAGCATATTCAAATTCTTCAAGATATCTATAGAACAGCATCATTCGTCAGAATGCTACATCATCATTATCAAGATGTACGGTTACATCATGTACCTGACTCGAACGCTAAAAGTTCTGATTGAAAGCCTGCATAAAAATGGCTATTTACCTTAAAAAGCATCATGTAGTCATCAAAATATTATTTGAGTCTGAATCTGTCTAAATAACGTCCTCCATCATGAAAATGAAAACATAGGCAAAATTTTGGTTCAACAATTTTAGGTCAAACTGAACTGTCCTCGCATATTGCCATCTATCAAATTCCATCCATCAACCAAAATCTTCGACAAACTTTGAACATCTTCATAAGAAATCCGCTGATTCAAATTAAAAATCATCTTATATTTGACTCCTTTCACTCACTCTGAAGTACAATTGCTGCTTATCTGCAAGCAACTGTCTCCACATGGCCGTTGATCTGGAAGCGAGGTTTCTATCTACTCACTTTCCAAGGTTCTCTCCCTCAACTGGCAACCGAACATAGTTCGCATCTACCTTCGCCACATTCGCAAAAAATTTTCCCATATACATTTCCTATTGGTTTTCAGATGGCTAAATAACATAGCTGGACTGACATTCGCACAAATTTTTGGCATACATTTTTCAGTACTATTTCGTTTGCGCACGCATGCCTAATATATTATAATTCCATTCGACATTCGCATCAAACCTTATTGGTGCTCTGTGAATTTATGCGTAAAAGGGGGAGCCCTCTTTCGAATATATCATCTCTAAATCACGAAAACGAGGGAATAAAACCTAAAAAGTAAACAACAAGGTGACATCATAGCAACTAGAGCAGGAAACAAAACTTTTATTTCTTGTATTCTATGGACCTTTTTTTATTATCTGGCCATTTCTAGTACAATATTCACAATGCTGAAAGATATTAACAGACAATTACCAAAAGACATGTGGAAATCTGACATTCGCCAGTGCGAATGTTGCGAATGTCTGGATCCGCCCCTGGCTAGAGGGAGCGAGCTTCTTGACAGAAACACTAGCATATTCAGGGCCTGTTTGCACGGGAAAAGGTCTCGTGTAAACGGTTGGGATCGGACCCAAACAGGTACGGATACAAAATAAGGTGTCCATTTCGAGGTACTTTGTAAGAAATTTATTGTTTCGACTTGGTTTAATCTCAGCCTTCAAATCTATTTATCAAAATGTCTGCTTTTTCAAAATTAATATAGAGGCTGATAAATTACCAAAGAGCAAAGTTTTTGGTTGGACTTCACAATCTTGGACTTAACAAAGGCTTTCGCAAAGCTATGGCTAGCGTTGGCCCCTATAACTGGAAGTTTGGCTCGCGGCTAGCCCCCCCCCCTCCCCTCCAGATTTTTAAGGCTAGAATCGCCACTGATGTCAAATGTGTTTAAAAGATGAAGCGAAATTGAGAGTTTGGCAAGAGGCAGGTATGAAGTTACTGAGTTTGAGTTAGGACTGTTTTCAAAAATATGAAAGCATAGACAATAAAGGAACCCTGAAACTGGGGAACATGCTTCCAACTTTTGGAAAATGCTCCTTTTCTGAAAGTGCTTTCTATAGAACTTTAGAAAGGTTATGGATTGGCTGGGGGATGAGCACCCTTTAGGCACCCTGTGTCTACATGCCTAAGAAATCATTTATGACTAAGAAGAATGATGTTTCGCGTGATCTTTACAAGGAATGGCTAAAGTCCCAAGACAAAGCCAGGTGGCCTTCAATGAAAATTTCACCACTGGAAAATACCGATATTCGATAAATTTTAATTCCACTGCAATTTCTATAAAACATAAATTAGAAATGTCCATGCTTCTACAGTGTTTTCATTCTAATATTTACATGCAAGAACAGCTAAACCAGCTCTATTGATTTCTTCTTCTTTCCTATTATTGACAGTAATTTAAACTGTCAATAATTTTACGCCCCATCTTTGAAAACCACTATGCGTGTAAACAAAGAGATAAGATATGGGCTTTTGATATCGTTTGCTTAGTTCGCGTTAAACATCAACTTATTCATGAATACATAATTTTTTACCGGACAAACATGACAGGGTGAAGGTTTGGGCGACAACCCTAGATTTTCATTATTTCTGACTTGGTGGGCAATATGGTTAGCTGGTTGGCAAAGTCGCCAGATGGAAGGTGAAAAAAGAACAATGTTGTCTTATCTTCATTTATGCTTTCGCCCGTAAGTTTCACTTTTCATAACCCTATATACGCCCGTCCCTCACCCCAGTCTTCAAGGTCTGGGAATGCCACTGAGGGATTTTTGATCCAATCAATTTGGGCTATTATATAAAGAAGAAATTGTATTAGGTATGCTATAGATTATAATTATCAAAAATTTCAGGCTCCTTTCTTGAGTCAACGAACGAATTCAGGCTTGTAACAAATTGAAGGGAAAAGCTGAAACATCATACAGAAATGCGCCTTAACTAGGCCTGCTTAATATTATACAATTATATCTTATTGTCATGAAAAATTGAAGGTTGCTTCTGTCTTGTGCTAGTTAAATATAGACTACAAGGCGTATTACAATTGCCTTAGGTCAGGCATTTACATAAAGGAGCTGTGAAGTAAACACAGTTTTATAAATAAATGATCACTTGGACATCCACCGAAAGTGGCAATGACAAGAGGTTGCTAGTCGCCTGTCGATGTCTAAAAATAACTAGACGAATTGCTTGCGATAGTAGTGGCTGATCATCAAAAAACAATTTTTAGGTTTAAAGGGAAAATGTTTCTTTCGTTGATTTGGAAACATAGATCAACGTACAGCCACTACGTATATACAACATTGTTGTTGAGCAATGATTCGTTTAAATCAAAAGATAAGTACCGATTAAACTCATAAATCTCACAAACCTTAGTTTATCAATAACCCAGAAAGAACCCAAACATCTGTAGATATCAACAACTCAAAGGAGGACAGGACTTTCTTCTCTGCCACTACCAATAACCAAAAACCAACAACTTAACACGATTTTCATAATTTTCGAAGAGACTTTGCAAAAGAAAAGAATTAGGTCTTTGTGAAATGACAATCCAGTCCCAACATAAGGAAAACATTGGCCCTGTGGTCAATAGTTTGAGTTTAATCTCAATAAGAACCTTCGTATTGGCCTTAGAGTTTCGAAATTGCAAAGTCACGTGAATAAATAAGGCATACAATACTCTAAGCAAGTAAAATAAATAACAAGTTGTGACTATTTGATTTCATTGAACATGAGACACTCTTTCATGTAAATAACAAGAGATGTAGACGCTTATAACGTGGAGTTGACAAACCTTGCATAAAACACCTTAAACAAACATTACAATTATTTAAAAAATTATACAAATATTATTAGAAGTTTGGTAACAGCCAATTCAAGAATCTCATTGCAAATTCGTAACCTAGGAAACATGCCTAGGAAAGAAAAGCAGAACAAGATTAAAATGGATTTGATAGAAAACCTGAGTAAACAAGAAACAATTTAATAAAGTAGTCGAAGGAGTCTTACTCTTGGCAGCGGTTGTCTTTTCAAAAATGTTGTTGTCAAGATTATTGTAACGAAATTTCATGAAAAAGTAATTTTTACAAAACTATATTATTACAGTTTTACACATCTATATTATATCAGCAGTGTCTTGTCGGGAAATCCTGGGCTTTAGCCCCCAACACCCCCCTTTCCCTACCAGAGTAAGAGTAAGAAGCTGAAGTGCAATCTCAGTAGGGAAATTGGCCTAGTACAGTTATCTACTGTCAGGAAATATCCGGGTGTTAGAAACACTCTTTGCCTTTTGGCTTATAGATTCTTAGATCCTTTAAGCATACGTAATAGCAAACAGCTGAAAGATCAACTCTGTAAACTTTCATCTTAGATTAGACTTGAAAAACGACAGAAATTTGTTAAAAAACAAATGGTTTTGAAACACGTGAGAAAACGTTATCTCAATTCCCTGGCGAGGACCAGCACAACCACACCCACATATCCCACAGAGGGCGCAATTTAACCGCAAATTGATAATTGGTCAGAAGTCGCAAAGTAAAACCACTATGCTATCGAACTGAAATGAGCAAAAATGGAAAGTTTCTGAGAGAGCGAAACGAGTAGGTGTCTACTTACAGCATTTGCGGGAAACGCCCTGACCATAACAGGGGTAAGGCCTCTGAATAGGGCAGATGGGCCTTCATTTCTCACCTTAAAATAAAATAAGAGCAAAAATTGATTTCACATTATTGACTTTAAAAATCCTATTGGAGTTTAGACATAAGAATTTATTTCAAAATTTCGAAGATACCATCTGAAAGAGCACTAAATATACCTATAAATGTACGAATTCAGTTAAAACTGTTCCACACTAGTTAGGCAATTGCAAGACCTGAATGATTACTTGGCCTGGGTCACATCTAGAGTTTAGAACCAAGAGGAAATGGCAGTGATTTGGTAAGGAAAGTGATTCACTGATTGTTAATAAGTAGGATTCTTTAAAATGTTCTTCCAAATCATGTTATCATTTACCGCAATAGCTTTTCATTTTTATTTTGACAGTCAATTCAGCATACTTTAAACATTTCAGTTTGAGATAACACGCAGACGTAGACTTTCTTCCTCTAACTGCAGGATTACGAAAAGTGTTCTCATCCTACGATGTTCACCGCATATGAGCAAAAATCACGAAAAAAATGTATGATGTAAGTGAAACACTTCAATTTGTCTTCCTCTCGACCATCAGCGTTGCCACCTTTCGTTATTAGTTAGGTTATCCAAAAAACAAGTCGAAATTTCGAAAGTGTTCTACTTATTTAAAGAAATACTAAAAACAACAAGGAATCCCTTCTAAAGCCAACTGGATGCTTGATAACGAAAGAGGCTTATAAAAATTCCATCGGATTATTGTTGAAGTAGTGATGCAGAAACATTAGACGGTAGTCGATGTGACCTTTTTGTGATATATTTTTACATGAAGTTTTTAACTTGTCTTACCCCATATCTGTAATTATGATTTTTAACTATTTGACCACATTTTTGTCTCTTAAAAGTTTTGTCTCTACCTCTTAAAAAGGAGACGTTTTATTGCTCTTCAGGTAATAAAAGCAGCTCACTACGAGCCTCTGCTACCTCTCCCGGAAAACAGACAAATCAAAACAAGAAATTCATTCTACTAATACAACTATGCTCAGGATAAAAAACAGGGCCATACATGGATAAACATGGTTTAAGATAAGATAAATGGTTGTAAGCCTTAAGCCATAACAAAAAGAATGCGATTTATCATGTTCATCGCCAAAAATGCTGATTTAACATTGCCAGAGCTCTGGAGACAATTAACTTGAATTAAACAACATATCGGTTTGAATTCTCTAAAAATACCGACTTGTTGAGCCATAAGTTGACTTCAGATGAAGGAAAAGAAATTCAAACTAAGAGTTAATCTTATTTTCAGAGATTTCCTTGTTTGTTTTATCTTAGTTGGGGTACAATTGCACAATCATCGCTATCTGTATACCGCAAACATTTCGTCAACGTTGACAGTGATTTAAATGAAATACGCATATTTGTGCAAGGTCTAATCATATAAAAACGTTGGTCTGTTATATGATTACGAAAGTGGAACGCCCTAGATATATGATACTAAATAACTTTCTATAAAACATTTTATTCAAGCCGCGCAGGTGTTTCAAAACACATAGCTCTAAAAAGGATTCCATGCTAGGATTAATCAGCATTTTCAAACAAAGCTCGATAAAAAAAAGACCAATTCTGCATGTTTTTTGTTCCTTTTAAATTCACTGTTGTATTTTATAAGCGATGCCCGTGGTTACATTTAACTAACCAAAGGAAATTATTTTTTCATTATCAAGTATTATGAGAAACCGTATGCAAGAAAACAGACATTTCGACTGTCCCTATCAGTATTATAGGGTCAAAGAACAGTATTTTGCACGAGATTGTATACAGAATATGAGCGTCGTTACTTGTAACAGCGATGTATCCTGCAAACTGGACCATGAGATATGGAAGACGCACAAGCAAAATAGGGTCAATTGTGTATTTATCCCGTTTGCAAAAACAGTCGATTCCACCGGATAAATAGTGCAAGCATGTTTCGCTGACTGCCCACATGTACCGATAGTTTCAAAATAAAGCAAGCATGTTTCGCTGACTGCCCTCATGTACCAATAGTTTAAGAAAGGGTTCGTCCACTGTAATATTCAACATAGATTACATTTGAACTGACATTAAAAACGGTAAGGTGCACAGTTACAACCTGCTATTTATCTCGTATCAAAGCCTTCAATTATTCCTTAATACGTTTTTATCACATTACAAAAAATTGCGGGTTTACAAAAGAAGGTTTTCAGAAAAGGATTTTCTTTTACTGATTAAGATAACGGCTTCAGGCGACTCAAGATTTGGTTGCGAATTATTTGTTGCGATTATTTGTAGCTGATGACCTTAAACAGCTGAGGATGACTAGCGTATGCTGATACGGGATTGGGATGGTAAGCTGTTTTGCGTATATTAGCCAGGTATCTTTGGAGCTTTTAGAGTTTGACTTAACAAAACTGAGTCGCGCGGAAGAGACGATTTGGTAGAGTGGTCACTTACCAGTTCTTTGAAGACACTCCTAATTCCTTTTGGGTAGGTTCCTTCAGGTGCTGAAAAAGAGGAAGACTTCATTACAAGATATGCTAGATAAGACAATATAATTGTGTAAATATTTTAGATTATATTATAAGTAAAAATGGTTTAAAATTGGATATTGAGAAGAACAAACCGCAAAAGAATATTGCTTTGCATTGAAAAGTAGGCTTTCTTTGAAAAATTTTATTCGAATACGGCCTTTCGTTGCTCTGTGGAATCTTTGAAACTGAGGATGGGTTGTGCCTTAGCAGCTAATGAAATTAAAATCCCATGAATCAATATTATACATTTTGAGAGCCGATATTTATAAACTTGATTAACTGAAGCTGACTTTAATAATCTTCAGCAGTTCAGTTCACGCAGATCTTTATAAATGATGTTTCATAATATTTGTCTTACTTGCCCTTCTATATTTTCTATGAGTCTACACTACATACTGGCAAAGTGTATAAATTAAATGAATTGAGCTTTTGATGATATTTTGATAATAGAAGTCATTAGGGAAAATAACTACTGCTAAAATATAAAAATTAGCCAGGCAAAAGAAATTAAACGTAAAACAAGGACAGGCTGCAGCATCAGCAACTCGTGTAGAAAATCAGATATAGCAACTCGTGCAGAAAATCAGATATGTAATAAAACAAATAAACCTACTTTTTAAAAATTATATTAAATAACCACTAGTCCTATTTGCTGAACGTAGTAATCTAACTCTCCATTGATATTACTACAAGTTAGCCTTGTTCTCCAAACGTTTTCTAATTTTGTTGCCAAACATGATAAAGGAGTCAGCAGTAAATTTTTTGGGCTGGTTACCACAACGTACCAGTACAAACTTGAGGTACACACTAGTACGCATCTGTACACACAAAACCAAACATTTATTCCTTTGGCTACTTTAACTTTTGAAATCTAAAGAGCAAGGCACTATTTCTACTTAGACTTTTGGAGGTTAAGCTCTTAAAAGCTGTTTGGAAATAACAAGAAACTCTTTAAACCTCTTTGAAACGCTAAAATAAGCCTTCACTCGCCCAAAACTAAACAATTTTATGACAATGATTATATGTAAAAACCGCTCTTCAAAAGACACCCTTATAATTACAGAAATCATCTGGCAGGAATTTTAAGTTATTGTATACGAAATGGTTTCGGGACATTTTAATCCTAATCACGCATTTGCTCACATTTCGACACAGAATACTGACCCAGGCGAAAGCTTAACTTTTCTGTTGTCGTTAATCTACTATGACTTAGCATTAAAAAATGTTTTATCGTTTGTGGGCGGCCACAGCAGAGTACAACAGCATGAACACGAGGATCAACTGAATGGAAATAATGGCGGGAAACCATATTTTGGTGGGAAGTTCAGGGTATTGTGATGGCGATAAGAAGCATCAGTGGCTTTCTCGCAATGTTTAGGGCGTGGCTTCACGCTGGCAATAAATCATGTTTGACAGATGAGATCTAAGCAGAATTAACTACATTTCTTTCACAAATACATCACCAATTCACCAGCTGATATCCAGGTTTTGACTTTGCAGAATTGCAGTAACAACATAAAGATGAGGGACTGGGCACCAAAATAGCAAATATCTTTATTAGTGGGTCAGCTTTGTTGGCAGTTGCAAAGGCTGGGACACTAAAACTTGTACTTCATCAAATCAACACGAATTCCACAGAAATATTCCCATTTCCCTGACTTGAATCGACAGCATTTAGTCGCATTAACTAATTCCTAACAATTTTTTAACTCACAAAATAAACTAAATTTGATCAATACTTACCAGTTTGCAATCTTGACTTGAGAGTATCAGGTCCAATCGCAACCATCCAGTTGAAAATTCCAGCAGTTCCTGGAAATAAAACAAAATAAAGCAAGCTAGAAGCGACACAAACATGTGATTAGACCTTTGCTGCATACTTTTACGTACTAATAAAACAAGTGTGTTTGAAACAATCTGAGCACGTCACTGTTTGATCAGGCTGTTTGAAGCGTCACTATTTAAGTTCCTTACTTTCCATATATACAGTTACAGTGCTATGGCGTCTCAGGCCATAAGCCCATAACGGGTTCATGTAAAGGATAGATAGAAACCGAATGTACTCGAACGTAGAACACTAAGTGTTTGAAATGAGCAGTTTAAGTGAAAAGACAGTAAAAACGAAAGAAAAAACAAAGCTTAAAGGCAATTTTTTTCGTTGTGAATTGGTTAAAGAGAACAATAGCTGGACCAATAGCCTAAACACGATTCCAGCGGTCCGCCATATTTTTTACAATGCGATAAATTAAAGAGGGACTGGAAACAATAAAAAATCAAATTGTTCTTTTAATCAATCAACGTCGTGACAGATTGCCTTTAAGAGACATTACCTCCCGCAAAAAGAATCCTTAGAGGGCTGAGCTGTTCTCTCCTACGACGAAAGAATACTTGATCAAATAACTCTTATAAGAATAAAATTTCCAAATGGCACAAAATGGCAATGAAACACATTTTACTGTACTGAAGTCAGTTTAAGTTTACCGTCCATCACTACTAAGCGATAACAAGTGTTGTGTTGTTTATTGTTTTATGTATTGTCTTGTTTTAGTCTTGTTGTTGTTGTTGTTTCGCGCCTTTTATGTAGATTCGTTAGGCTTGGGTTGAGGAACTAAAAAGCAAAATTTAGGAAATCGGATTTCGGGTACTTGGATTTCAGCTGAAGCTGAGTTGTCGTGGATTGAGAATTTCCAGTATTGTAGAACTCGATGGATTTTTGTTATGACCGCTATTTCACTTATTCGCTGATTTGTAAATATTGTAAATAACGCTGTTACTTCGCTCGCACTTGAGCTAACAAGTTAAGCTGACCCGGGTGAAGTCAACCCTCTAGAAGAACCAGCTAGCCCGGGGCTCGTGTAAACGTTATTTTCTTTGATGAAACGTGTTGATCTGAGCCGGAGTGGGGAGTGGAATCTAGTCCGGGCTCTTCTGAACAGAGCCCAAGTTGAAGAGTCGAAGAGAGAAAACGACTCACTCTGTCCACACAAATTAGGATTTTTTTAATATAGACGGATTCGAAAAAGCCAAAATGAAAAGACAGCCTTGTTGCTCAATGATTTTTATATTGTCGTCATTTTATGTTCTGGCACACTCTGGATTATCAAGCAAATGTTGATAAATGGCCGGAACACACATTTTATTAGAGCCTTTTGACTAAGCGTGGGGTGGATGTTGTTATTCTTGAGCCGACTTTTGTCTGATGCACAAAAGCAACTCTTATCGCATGCTTAACAAATTACATAAATATTTAATGTTACATTCACTGAAAACGAGTAGAAGGGCCCTGGCTTACGTTTGTCCCGCTGGCGTGATGTTCTCTAGTAGCAGCTCGTAAGACATAAAATACATACCAGACGCAGGAACATCTAGAAACAATTAAAATGTAAATCATAAAATCTCAAAGTCAACCCAAATAGTCTTGGGCTCATTGGAATAAAGAGAATTCATGGATTTTGCGTAAAAGTCTTCGTTTGAACTATTATACAGAAAATTCTATATGAGAAAAAACCGTCAATTTTCTTTAAAGCCCCTCTTTCTTATAAGCCCCTCGTTTTCAGAAGAAAAAATTCAATTAGCCCCCCTCTCAATTTAGTCCCCCATATTTTCACTGTTGCCGAAATAAGTAAACCTGACAAAAAACAGAGGTTTTCATTTTATCCATTGGTCGTTCAATACTTCGCATCAAATCAAAATACACACCATGTCTCCTCCAGTCACGACAGATCCGAAGACAAAGATTTAAAGTACATTAAGCACAGGCCATGTGAGAGCCTTTTCCCATACATACAGGTATACACATAAATACAGGCAGTTGGTACTCTGAGGGAAGTCGACCTTTTCGAATGCTCGATTTCAGAAGGCGAGATGGCCCAAGAAGATATTTTAGAATTAATAATTGATGTTTTTTATTCTGCAAATAACAAAGAATTAGTTTACCACTATAAGTGGCTTTTTATTACACAATATTTATTAAGCCCCCTCTCTCAATTTAGCCCCCCCTCTCTTATAAGCCCCCCTTTAAAGTATTGAAAAACAATAACCCCCGGGGAGCTAAAAAGAGAATTTACGGTAATCAATTTGTAATAAAATTTTCCCGTTGATTGGAGATGCCCGTTACGGGAAGCTTGTCCGTTAGCAGAGGTTTTACAATAAAGGGCTTATATATTTGCTCTTTTGAGGCAAGACTTGACATTTGATCACGGTGATAGACGAAGAACAAGTTGATCACGGTGGCTTCAATTGTCAAAATTGTACAGCATTCTGACCCTTAGAATGTTTCTCATCTCAATCAAAAACGAAATTCACGAATTTCAGAAATAAGATTTTATCAGGCGATTATCTTGATACCAAGATTCTCCTTTAAGGCTTGAATCCTGTTTCGCGAAGCTAAACTTGTGTGCTATCAAGAAAGGAAACTATAGCAAAGTCTCCTCCAGGAAACTACATGCCAAAATGGTTAGCGTGCAGCGTCATGCCATGTTACTTGCTTGGATTCGTTAGAGAATAATAGGGCGTTATAAAATATGGCGAAATATATGAGCAAATGCATCCCACCTCTAAGCCCATAATTTGGCAGGTGGGAGGAAATCGTCGCGAGAAGAAAAATACAAAGGAATCTATAGGAGGGTGGGATCTCACCTCTCAGTTTACAGGCTGGAAGGTGGGGTGATTTTCTTCATATAAACAGGCCCTTAGATCGACGAAATCTATTTATTCGGCTCTCGCAATCGATCCCAAATATGGCGTGCAAATCAAGATCAGCAAATCATATTTTCGAAATTCAATTTCTTAGAGCTTCCTTAAATTGGGCAGTTGACAATACTGGAAGGTTTCCATCCGTACGGGGGTGGTTTTTTGGTCATATGTTAAAAGTAATTGAGAAAGGATTATGATGTTTTGAAGAGTTTCACAGCTTTACAGTGTTCAAATGGCAGTTCGCAATTGATCATAACGAAAGTATGGAACATTCATAAATTATTACTTATTGCTGGTTTAGAACCTCAGCAAATTCGTACTCTTATCTTTATCTCATAAAAACAACAGCGGAAGCTCAAGATTCACCCACAGATTTATCACATAAACTAATGTAAGTCCTGTCTTTCTAAACGCAGAGACACAGTTGCAACAAGTAAAATAAAATCACTGATAAAATGTATTTGTTGTAACTGTTGTAACACTGAGCTCAGAAACAAAAGTGCTTCAAGTTTATTACAAAGATGGTCTCTAATAAGTGCTCAAAGATGGTCTGAAAAATGCTCAAATAGGATGCAGAGCCCAAGTGACTAGCGATCGCCTAAAGTAAGGTGAACAAGTTTCTTGTATCGTTTTATTACACGAGTAAGCTAACATTTAGAGAATGAAAGTGGCATCGTTGCAAGGTCTAAAAAATCATTCAGATTTGCTGGAAAAGTGACGCTTTATGCATATATACAGTAAAAGCTAAGTCGAAAAGGTCTCTGTCAGTAAATCTGCTTCTTTGGACCCCAAAAATTAAACTGTAAATACTGCATTCTAATATTTGATGTGATGAAATAATGATAATAATTTCTTTCAGTGACATAAGGAAAAATGCAGTCGATTAACGAATATTGTCATAAAGAAAACAAAAAAAATTACCCCTCAAAAGAGTTGCACATGTTCCTTTATAAATCCCTCTAAAAAGGCCAGCCTCCTTGTATATTTGTTTTGCACAGTCAACAGGCCCAGCATATTTGACTTTTGATGAGTCACCGCCTGATTGAATCTTTGATTAAGTATTGAAATATTAAATTACTTGCAGAAAAATAATAACTGGCTGCAAATCTGGTTTGATTGTAAGATTGACAGCTACAAAATGCTTTGCAAAAAGATAGCATTAAAAATGAATAGCATATAATGAACCAACATACAAAGTATTTTGAATACCCTAAAGCGTTTTAATGAATAGCTATTTTTATTAGCAGTAGTGATTCATAAATAATATACTTCAGTTTACAAAGTGAAAAATGTAAAGTTACAGAAACAATAGAAAAAAATGGTCATGAATTATACCAACAACTGCTATCTTGCAAATATGAAATCATAAGTAGTTAATGAATTCTAGCTTTTTCATTTATGCAACTTCAACAACCTTTGTAACAGCATAAAGAATTTAAGTAAAAGTTGACTTGTTACAGTGATATGTAGAATCTCCTATTGTCTAATTCAAATTTTCTTATTTTCTAGAAGCAATAAATTAAAAAGAGATTAACAGCCACCTGTAAAAGACACTTGATTCTTTCGCCTGGTGCCATGATAACGGTGGTACAAACACCAGCTAACATACCTGCATTCCAGTTTTGCAAAGGTCTACAATGGTATAAAATCACCACTCTCTACAAACTGTCACTGAGGTATGACAAAAAGAAAAACCTTATCAAACTGTTAATTAACATAAAACACATGATAACTGATCTTCCCTAGTATCTGTCTGATCTACATAGGGATGACCTGATCTACAGAGGAGCCATCAGATATCTGCATAATTCATAAAAAAAATCACTCTCTGACTTGGCAAAGCTCAGATTTCAAAATAACCAGACACACATGTTGGAATTATCTTATCCTTTCACATGAACTCTCAAATTGGGCAACAAACTGTTATAAACAATGATCTTGATTATAGATAAAAAAATTAATAGCTAAAAAAATTCTTATCTGATCCCCAAAAATTAAACAGTATGGTACTTACGTTAAAACATCGTTAGGATTCTTTATCTGCAATTTTTTTCCAATGCTAAATCCCCAGAAACAAACAGCATAAAGTGGAGTTATACCAATTATTGGTGCTGTCATTCCTTTATATAGTCCTTTGAAGCCCTACAGACAAGAAATTAGAGCATCAGTTGACTGGTTGTCTTCATTTTTATAATGGAAAAAACTAAAAAAGCAACCTATCCATCACAGCAAAAAATAATCAAAAACTACAAAACATCTCAATTAAAAATTTCATTCTAGATAAAAATACATCAAATGTTGATTTTATAACAAAAAAACATAGCTTAATCAGATGATTTATGTTGCTGCTTTTAAAAAATAAAACAATCTTGTAGCTTTCTTCAATGGTAGACTGATACAATTTAAAATTTTGATCGCAATGAGATCAAAATACCCGTCCTGTCTGTAACTACTCAAAATGACATATTGGAAAGTTAGCATTAGTTATATTTCCATAAGATAAGCAAGGACCCCTATCATTGGCCTTTGTATTTAGAAACCTGTCTACTTGAAAAATATTCTGTTTCACAACATTCAAGTTTGAAGTGTACAGCTGTGGCATCACAGAATAGAGAGAGATGGCATGTAGAGTGTTATGCTAGCTTTCTGTTAAGGTTACAGTAAACGTTTTTGACACAATATTTGTTTTTCTCTCCCTAAAAGCCAAACTATTAATGTAATCAGATTAAGCTATACATCATTTGATGTACAAGAATGTGGTGATTCCAACCATATCAAAATAATTGGCAAATATTGTAAAATGACACTTTCCAGGCAAATTTATTGCTTAAATGAGTGTACCACCTTCAAAAGCTATTTTGTACCCTTGCGTTTGAGGTATGAAAATCTGACTTATATCAGCAGATAGCACAGATCCTAAGCTACCAAAGCGTGTCTCAAATATTTTCAATTCCTCCTCCCCTTGAAACTATACCCTGTCAAAAATTGGCAAACAATTTTTCTTCCCTCTCATAGCTGTATTTGGCTATAAAAGGCAAACCAGAGCAAGTACAACAATTTTTTGACACAATTTTCTTAACTGACATCTGTCCTAGCCGTGTACAAATTTTTTAGCCATTCAATTGGTTTCTTGGGTACAAAATAGCTTTTCCATACCTGTATGTAGAGGAGTTGTAAGTCTGTAGAAAACGGGATTCTACTTGTAAGTTACACTCATAAACCACAGTGTAATCCGGGTCAAGTGATTGAAGCTTTAAGATAAATAAGCCTGTTTAAATAAACACAGCCATACATGGGATACATGGATGTGCCATGCGATATTGTAAATGAGACATGCGACCACAACGGCAAAGCAATGGTAACTGGCTTAGCAGGTCAAGATATTCTCAGACCTCAACTAAAAGTTTTGATAAAGAAATTATGGAAACCTTTGTTTACAAGGGATTTTTTTCATTTTCAAAATGGTTGTTAGTTTCAAATTTGGTATCATTGTGTGCCTTGAAAGTTCAGCTACTTGAATGTGAAAAAATTGAAAAAAGGATGCTTTTATCAAGAAAACGTTTACCGTAACCTTAAGTCAGTCACTTGAAAAGAACTATGCTAGGAACAGGGGTGTAATGCTAGGGGATGCAGGAGGCTGAGCTTCCATGTTAATGTCAAAAATGGCTAATTTCTACTTTTTCTATTATTTTTGTGCACAAGATCAAGCTCCCCCTGTTAAACTTAATAGCACTACTCTTGCAAAGGAGGAGAATAGCACCTTTTCATCAGTGTCCATTGACTCACATTTCTTTGAATAAAAGCCTCATTTGTGATATATCTTTTGAGGCAATTTCACCTGAGTGGCTGAGAAAAAAGTTTGTTTTAACATTTTTGCAATTCTTTTGTTCATTTATATTGACTTGTGGATCCTTTCCAAGCTTGATTCATTCCTAATTTGTCGTTTTGGATCTGTTTTCTTGTTTAAAAGCCCCTTGAGGCATTGTTTTACGTGGGTTTCCCACCTCAGCTTATATCTACAGCCACATGGTTGATATGATTTGCTCATGAAAACAAGACAATGTCTTCAATGCATTTCAAATCAATAGCTAGGAGGTTGAAAGAGGGAAGGGAGGCCGGTGTGAAGGCAGGAAGGGAAGCAGACAGGCAAGTAGGTAGGGTTTCATGAAAAAAACAGGGAAAGGAGAAGTGTGATAAAAGGTAGATTTGGGGCTTAAAACAACAGTTGCCTGATAATCCCATTATGTATTAAACCAGGCCTCTCTGGGAAAAAACAACGCGGGCTATAAACAGCCCTTGCCAGTTTGGCTACGTGACCTATTTAGCCCTTGCAGAACTGTTGTTAATTTTGTTATATTTGAGTATTTACAAAGGTTTTACATTGCCAATTCTTGAAACACTATTCACCTTAAGAAGGCATTTTGTGTGTATTACTACCTTTGAATTTTGTATTACAAATCCTTAAAACAAGACAAAAGAGGGACATAACTTTTTTGTAATAAAACAAAGTTTTCTTAGGTTTTGCCAGTCAAATGTAGCTTTTTTGGGAATGCCTGGTTTATATTTCATGACTTAAAAAGAAATTGTTTCATATTTGACAGCATGGTGTCACGTTTCTCACTTTAATTATTTGTAGCATTAATCACGCTTTATATCATTCCATTTGTGCAAACACATTTCCTATTCTATTGCAAGTTTTAGCAGATAATACAATAGTTTGTTAACATGTGCTATATAAGGAAACGGAAATCTCTTATTTATAATGCCATTTGATAAACACATAGATGTGTAAGACCTCTTTCTCTTTCTTTACTAATACCCTAATATTTAGCAGTAAGTAGTACAAACATTGAGATGCTAAACTGCGCAGATGAAATGACAATGTTGGTTTGAAAAACTGCTCAGGCGGAGAAAACCTTCGCAAATTTATTTTGCGCAGAGGCACGCTGTAGCCTACGTCTCCAGGAAAGGCCTGTTAAATTAAACTTGGAGTGGCAGCTAAGCTGAGCTTTGTACCATCCTGTTCTACACACCAAAAGCCTATAAATGGCTTTATTTTTAGAATTTAAACCTCTTGGAGACATTTGTCATTACAACTTAGTAGGCAATGAGGATATCAAATGAAAATTAGGTGTATACCTCCTTTGATATTGTCTTCTTGGCACAGTCAATGACTCCGGAATATAAAGGTGCATCTTTAGGTTGTGTTTGTAGACGCACCTACAAATTTTCAAAAAGAATTAAATAAATAGAGAATCAAAATCAAATGAAAAATACAGACTTAGCTAAAGACAACAATTTTTACACAATGTTGGAAAAACATTTCGGTGTCCATGCATGTTTGCATCAATTTTTCACTCAAAGTAACCAATTTTTTTTACAATGTTCATAAGGTAAAAATAGAAATAATTCAATGTTAACAAAACGTTACAAAATACATGCAAAACACCCTTAATTCAAGTGGCATCCTTGGACAGCTTTTAAAGGTTATAAGGACCTTATTTTTGTGGAGAGTCCACCCTGGAGGTGGTTGCTTAAACATAATTACAGGCTTTTTAGTGCTTAAATGCATGTTATAATTGAGAAAACCTAAGTATATAAAAGCCTATAAAGTCTCAAAAGTGTAAGGTCTACATTCTAACTTTTCATATTTGCAGAAAAAATGTGGAATCTTGTGTGTGCAATGCGTCACTCTGCAGTTTGTCAAGCAATGTCAGGAAACTAGAAAATGCCATTTATTTATTTAGCAACTAATGTGTTCAACCAAAAGCAAATGAATTTAGATTTTTACAAAGCCATCTGAAAATTGGAACTCTGGATTCCTTTTGACACACCCTCTTTATTTGTAGGACCATTTAAGGTTAAAAATGCAATGTTTCATGCGCATTTAAAGCCTGTTATATTTTTGTTAAAAACACTTCTGAAACTCCTTCTTGACCCACCCTTTTGAAACACCAACAAGATATCTGTATCTAACCACTTGGTGATGACAAATTGGACTTTGGACTCAAATTTTGTACGCACATTTACATTGTACACTCATTTAGGCCCGCAATGAAAACTGTAATTTATACCTTTATTGTATCAAGTGGATGCCCCGAAGCTACCAAACAGACACCTCCAACACCACCAGCAAGAAAACTTTTCAAGGCGGATGGAGGATTTTTGGCTGGATGCTCAACATTCTCCTCCACCTCTACAACGTCGGTTGCCGCCATTTTTTGAACAACAGCAAGAGGAAGAGAAGACGTGTCTAAGCACAGGGTATCAAAGGCCACAGAGATTATACTATATATATAGTTGTACTTTTACTTCCACATTTCCAGGGGCGGATTTAAGCAACAATAATTGGGGGGGGGGGGTGCTAGATACTAATTTTGGTGCCACGCCCTTCAGGTCATTGGTATATGATGGAAACGCCCATTTTTAAAATTTGGTTTCAACTTTAAGACAATAAGAAGCAGTGGTGTAGCCAGGGTTGGAAAAGAGGAGCAAATTTTTGCTGACCAGATCCCTAAGAATTAGGGGAAACACCCATTTTGTAAATGCATTTGGAAAAGCTATGGCATTTATCACGTGGGAATTTCCCATTATACAACGTCGTATGTAGCGTTTTGTTGCTGACCATATTCAATATTCTATAACAGTCCATTTCCTTCACAATTCCACTAACGTTTATATCCTGAATTGTGTAAGGCGAGGAAGCACTACGTGTAAAAAGTGATTTTCCAAAGTTTTAATCAAATATCTAAAAATAACAAACAGTCTTTAAAAGTTTTAAACCAAGTCCGTTCTCCTTGGAGCAAAATCCATGACAAGCATTTCAGAATCCAGTTTTTTAAGGATTGGACTGCTTTGACATTTTAGTTTCTATTTTATCGGGAATGTCTCAAGAATGTGAAGGACTTATTTATACAAACCCCGAAACGAGGGGAAATTGTTGAACATTCTGTGAAGTTATAGAGGAGGGTCTCCTGCGTTTCAGAATACTCCTCCTCCCCCCGCTACGCTACTTTTAAGAAGATAAATACTGATAAGAAGATATAAAAAGTAAAATTTTGGATTTACTTTGTTACTACTGACTACTAACAAATGATTTTTACCGAATGAAGCAAAATTTACCGAAGGACACAGAAAAATTGGGGTGGGGGTGTCGCACCCCCTACACCCCCCGCTAAATCCGTCAACGCACATTCCACATCAAAAATGAATGTGTTTTGTGCTAGGCGCACACGAGATAATTTTAATCGAGCGAAGTGTCATTCGTGCCCTTTTTCTTGAGCACTATCTGATGTCACTCTCCTATTTTATATAGAGTGAGTCTAGTGCCCAGGGTACTATCATTAGTGATGAACTTTGTCTTAAAAATGTGTTGTTTGCTACCCGTCGCTATGTCGCTAACATTGATGCCCTCCCGTCCCAAGAACGGATGCTGAAAACAAAGTTGGGGCATAAAATGGGAACGTGTCGAAAAGTGGAGGGGCATGAAGAAAAGAGGCATTGTTTGTAGCTAATATTGGGGCATGAAGCAAAGTGCTTTAACGATGCAATGTCACTATATTATATGGTAAAGACGCAGTTTGTGTGTTTGTGTGTGTCGGAGGGAGGGGGGGGGGAGGTACGCGTGCCTTTAAAGCTGCCCGGCTCCTGTGCCATTACAACCAAATCTATGAAGGGGCCATTGAAGATTGTCGGACTGTTTCCTTTTGGTTCAACTTCTAAAACACACTCTAGCTTTATCATGATACCACTAAACACTTTAAAAATAAAATTTGCAGGTTTTGAAAATGAATTTACAACCAACTTATAAATATCTACAATTCTGAGAGTTTTGACCTAACATGATCGATTGCTGTCTTACGTGTAGTTGTCAAGGAAGGGGCCATACAAAAACACACAACTTTGCGATCAATGTTGATGGGATTCTTGAAGAAATTGGCTAAACAGCAAATCACAACCAAAGGAGTGAACAAAAAACAGATTGCTAATGTCTGCTTTGTAAAATATAGGAATAAAAAAATATTTTGTATGTACGCATCAGTGTCGTTGGAAAAAAATTAATGTTAGAAAAAATGGAGCTATCCATATGGTTGCTTGCCAACTTCAGGTTTTTCAAAAGTCTTATCACAGCGACATAAATAACTTTATTTGCACATTTAGAGGCGTTCAATTGTGACATTTCAGAAAGGATGGTCCAAAACAAAATTTTATAGAAGGTTCATATACGAATTTATTGTATGTTACCAGACAAGCAAAGAAGTTGTGTGACGAATTGCAAACTCGCTTCCACCTGTTCATATGATCATTGCCCTATTTATTTTGATTCACAGGAACTTCAAGAAGAAGTTCATACCGATGCGTTAAACCAACCCTACCTAAGAAGAATGAACCCTACTACATTGAAGCAAACATACTCGACCCTACAACCACCTTCTTGGTGTAAGAAGGTAATAAAATAAGACAAATACTATGCAATTCTATTCAAAACAATCTAATTTGATAGAAAATATTCAGTACTATTTAATAGCAAATATTCGATTGTCTCCAGAACTATCCGCAGGCACTCATTACTGCAAAGGTCATTTGGTAATGAGCAAAAAATAAAGCCATTTATTCATGTCTAGACTTAACATAGGATACATTAAACATTTTAAACAGTAAATTTAAATTTTAATTACCAAAATAGCAGATCTTTAGGATATATTCAAAACGATAATACTTAAAGATAATAGAAAAATAACTATCCTTTTTCTTACAAAATAAACCACAAATCCAACAACAAAAAAGCTAATTGCAATATTGGCTAATGATATGAACTTTATAAAAGCTAAATGCATTCTAAATAAAAATACAGTTTTATACATATTTTAAACTATACACCTATATCAAAATACACATTAAAAACAGCGCGAAGAATTTAAAAGAATTTGTCTTGTAACATAGTTGCAGCTTCATAGCCCAGGAAACAAGCCTTGAAAAAAGGAAATCAGACTACAATACGTTATTAGATAAAAATCGAGCAACATAGTTGTCGAATTAAATGCAAATAACATAGAAGTTACAAAAAATATTATTCTGATTTTAGATGCACCTTCTAATTCAACAAGTGAACATATCTAGCCGGAGACATTAACAAATATGCGAAAAACTACGATACTTCTTAAGTCCGCCTTTCTTCTCCGGTTTGATGTTTTACTAAAAAATTTCATGCTCCAACGCATTTTAAAGGCAGTTCAGCCATTTGTCAATTGTCGAAACGCTTAATAATTGACAGAAGGCTTAGGTCACATCAGTATCTGTTCAATTGTTTCTAATATAATAAAATAGCTTTGCTAGTTCTTAAAAAGAGTTACAAACATTATAGCTTACCGCATTTGCTGGAAAAGCTCTCGCCAACATCGGAGTCGCACCTCGAAAAAAGGCTTGCAAGCCCTCTTCACGTAGCTTTACAAAAAATCAAATGAAAAACAAATGTAAGGAATAATTTTGGAAACTTAACATATTTAGAAATTTATCAATCACATCGTAGCCTGGCCATATCTCGGTTAATGCATGTAGCTGGCAAAACAAGATGGCAAGTGGGGAAGTTAAGAGGTACTAAAAACATTTATATTCAAGCAAAAGCTCTGGCCAAATTTCAAAAATGTTTATTTAGACTTGGAGTTTCTCAAAAGGGCAAAACTCTCATCACGATTACCTCTGGGAAAATGATACCATATGTACACATATTTTGCACAGAACACGATGTAAAGTGAGTATCTATCTTACAAGCACTTATGCTCAAATTTGTAGACAAAACCCAAATTGACAAGAAAAAATTAATGTACAGAAAAGATGGCATTGCTACCTACAGTTTGCATAGCAATATTCATTAATCCTCTTCTGTACTTATCAGCGGGCGCTAGAAATTTAAAAAAATTTAAATTACATAAAAATTTAATAAACAAAGTGGTAGGCGTGGTTGAAAAATGAGGAAAAATGGTCGCAAATTACCAAAAACAATGAAAAGCACGAGTCCTAAATTGCATATGAAAAGGCGTTCCATTTTTTTGGAAGTTGATCTCTATGGACCTGTTCTAGCATAAAACTTCTACTTTTGAAAAGGTGATATAAAAATTACCAACCCTTAGAGGCATTTACTACGTGCACAAATAAAGAGTCAATCTCACATAAATTAAACAGAAACAGAGACAGAAACAGCCTTACTTTCATAAATTCATGACTTGGCGTGATCCATTTCTTAAGAAGGTATTAAAATTTTAGTTAGCATAATCTGATAATCAACTACCAACAGTGCGATTAGCATAGCTAAATGAACACGGTTTCCTCTAGATTATAGGTCACGAAATAGTTGAAAATAACATTATCAGTTTTAGTTATCAAACATTCAATTAACAAATTGGTCTCGGTTCCTTAAAAGCATGTTTCAAAATTGGAGTACATCGATAGCAAAAAACTCAATTCTTTCTTCTGCAATAAAGATACGTGGTCCAAAGAGCATAGGTTGAAAGTAAGATTAAAATAGAAACATTTTCAGACGTCATACTATTATAAGTTTCCTTACATCCTCTGCGTCGTAACAACGTAAAGACAACATAAAGAAACCTACCTGTCTGATACCTTGATTTCATAACGTCAGCTGGAAGGCCAACGATGTTTGCTAGAATTCCTGCTGAGCCTGCATAAATGTTTTGCTTATTTCAACACAATCAGCAAGTTAACAATACTAACAAGGATATGATAGGATAATGTCTAGAATCAATAACAAACTAACAATATTCTGGTACTTTGCTACTTCAATGGTATTTTGAATAAACTGTAAATGATAGATTTGTGTTAATAGAATTTTCAAGTTCTATGATATAACAATACCACCTCTAATATTAAACCTTAACCTAAATAATGAATCATTAACCTTTCAAATACTTTAAAAGATAAAAAAGTTGATAAAAATAAGAAAAATTATGATAAATGAAATTTCCAAAAAAAACTATAGTTACCTCCAGCTAAAATAATTTTCCAAGGACTTTTACTGGAAAAAAGAAAATTTGCCAGTAAAATAAAAATCTACATATTACAAGAACAAATGAACAGAATATTATCTCAATTTTTAATGTAATAATATTTCAAAACTACCTTTTGCCTTCTATTCCTAAATTTCTGATTGCATATTCATATGTGACAAAGTATGCACCACTGGCTGGTATATCTAAAGAAAAGAGACATTCAGTGACAGGATGAAAACTTCTGAGTGATAGAAATCTGAAGTTCCTGATGAAAAAGTAATTCACAATGAGAGCTGACAAGTTCATAACATAAACTGACAGAACAGCGTGAACTTTCAAAAACATGTCTATGCTCAAATAGATGAAAAAGCTAAAAAGTTTGGTAAATTTGAAGAACGTTTATTTGATAAAAACAAACCTCTTAACAATGTAAACCCCAATCCTTTGTAAAGACCTTTTCTTAAGCCAGATTCTTTGTAAATTTGAACAGCACAATGAACAGGTCCTTTGAATTTCACTTTTGATGACCCTGATCCTTTTTGCACCTAGTGAAAAGAGGGAGTACTGATTAGAATAAACAAACTATTTTTAATTCTAAATGTTGAAAATGCTGTTTCGCCTCTTCGTGTAAAGCAGTGATGGGAATGATACACATAGATAAAATCGTGTTATGTAAATAGACACTAGTTGCTCATCCTAAATCCTTGTTCAGGATACAGAAAACGTGGAACAGAGAGCCCAAAAGTCCTAAACCCTAAAAGAACTCTATGGGGCTTTCGTTTCTATGCGAAATCTTGACCGATAAATTCTTTTAACTATTTAGAAGATTATTCAGTTATTCGGAGGCTATTTGGGGTTGCAAGGGGGCGAATGCTAACTAGTACCTACAATTCAGCAATTTCACCCCAAGATCAGCAACGAAATAAAAAGTACGCAATAAGCCCCTTACTCAGCAAATTCGCCCCAAATCCCTCTGGATTGTTATAGGAAAACGGCCACTGAAGGGAACATACTATTCAATGTAAAGAAAAGAGCACCGGTGTCAAGTGCATGCACTAATGAAGATAAACTGCTTTCAGCAGAATTAGGAAAAACGTGGGCAAAACAAGTGATTTATAATGATGTGAAAGTCAAAAAGCATACGTTTAAAGGCCTATCATCTTAGAAGACATACTCACTAGCAAAAAAGAGAATCTTATCGTAATTATCATCTAACTGTAACTTGAAGATAATCAGTTTAAGATATCGCCCATTCCTAGCATGAGCAGAAAACAAATTTTCAAAACGTCTTTGCCATTTCTGAAATCGCTAAATGATTTTGCAAAAATAAACGCATTAAAGAACGAAATTAAAACTAGATGAAGAACGTCATCCCCTTTCCTGCTGCTTCTAAAGCAAGTTACAGAAAACATATTAAAGCTGTATCATCTTGATGCTCTCCCTGTCTTCTTGTCCCAAGAGGATTTAATATTTTCAGACTTTGTCAGTAGATTTGGAAAGACAATTTTCAAATGATTTTTGCTACCCATGCATAATTTCTGTACTCATCTATCAGTTTGCTGCCAATTTTACCCTTCTCCTATGGAATCATTCCAACACAACATAAGCTTGCTAGATATGCAGATCATGATGGTTTGAAAAACGGCCTATTTACATATTATTTTCAAGGCTTAGTGGCCCAGTCATTACTAGCTAACAATATGGCATTGAGGCGTGAAAAGTAACAATCTGTTTTATACTAAAAAAATTGATATCAGTTTGCTAGTGAAATAGAAGTAGTTTTACCTTAAACATAAGCAACTTTTAGAAACAAAAAAATATATTTAAGGGAGTACCTGAAGCAAGCACTTTATCCTCTCGCCAGGAGCATTCATGAATGAAATTAAAAACCCAGACAGCATTCCAGCTTTTAATATTTGGAAATTGCTGAAAATTTTGCAGAATTTTCAATAAAATTTTCCAAAAATTGCTGCTTATCAGCTTTTGAGAATCAATGTGTGCTTCAGCAAAATAATGATATCTGGCCTTCTTTCAAAAATAAGTGCTAATATTGCAACTCTCGAACCCTTTATCAATGATAACAAAAACAGGTTAAACAATGTTGTCATAATTCAAAATGTATATCATGAAAATACATACACCATAGCTTTGCAGGCATCACATAGTTGCTGGCACCAGGCAACCAGGGGTGGGATGGGTGTGGTTGTGTGAAGGGGCAAGAACATCCCAGAATGCTACCAGGGCTAATTAATAATATTTTGTGCCTGCGAGTGCAAAGCCGAGTAAATACGTGCCTGTAACGTTACGATTTATAATCAGATATTGATAAATCGAGAACCTCCCTTTAGAGTAAGGACCTTCTGTCATTTTGCTAATGAAAGCTCTACACTACTACCTTTTATATTGCATTTGACTGTTCAATTTCAATACCAAGAAAGCTATTTAAAGAAAGCATAACTGTAACACAATAAAAGTAAATAAAAAACGAATCAGAAATGTGCCTGCAGAAAGGCCTGAGAATAAACTTCTGTGCTCGCACCAGATTGATGAGGTCTGTCTGCTACATGTCAGTGCTAAACCTTTCTAAATACCAACCAATTTTACATAGTATGTAATAATTTACAATTCTCCAATTGTAAGCATTAACAAACTTTACCCATTCCTCAGTTATTTTACTCACTATGCACAGGAGGTTCTTGTAACAAGAGCATGGTATATAAGGGAACATTCAAGAATCAATTCCAAAAAACCATACAACTTATCAAAATGCATGTTTCCTGTTATAGTAAACGCATGACAGAAAATGGTATAAACAATATGGCTAAAGTATACCTGAGTGCTAAACTGTCTCTTGAAGTTTGGAGAGCCCTTCCAACACCATAACCCCAAAAACCAACAGCACACATTGGAGTAGCTATCAACAAGGGTGTTCCCATACCTTTGTAGAGTCCTCTAAATCCCTGAAAATCAAAAAAGCTCTGTTTTGATCTGGGATGTAACATAATCAAGCAGGAAGACTGGGGGCAAAGGAAAGCTGGGAGTAACCTAATCAGGAAAAATCTGGTGGCATTCCTCTGCAAAAATTTTGTAACCAAGCCTTCGGAATGCTGAAAAACAACTTTTTCGAAATACCATAAAGCCTTGGCAAAACAACCAAACATTTCACTAAACATTTCACTCAACATTTGTTTAGTTAAGTTGAGCAAAGTTTAGCGCGGGTGGCAAAACCTGACTAAACTTTCCACTAAACATCTTTTAACTGCGACCTGTGTAGGATGCTTTGGAGTTGTAGGGGATCTTGCCTAGGAATTTGATTTCCGTTTGAATTGTTGTATGTTAGCATAAAAGACTTCAAATGCAAGAAATGGGTAAAAATAATAATTTGAAAAAAAAGATAATTCGTTTAGCATGATAACAAAGTTTACTGTTGAAAAAGACACAGTAGCATACAAGAAGATGAAGCAGATATCTCATAAAAGCATTCTAGAGATTTTGGGTCACGTAGGGACAGGAAAACCAAGAAAAACCCTGGAAAACCTTTGGGTTCCAACAGCTATGGCACCTGCGCTAGCACAACAAATGTTGAATTGGTGGCAAAACGACTAAACATTTGCTAAACAACACTAAACAACACTAAAAATTTTTTAACAGTATCAAACTTTGCTCAACAACACTCTACACAACTGAACAACACTAAACAGGGTGGCAAAACAACTAAACTTTCCAATAAACTTTTCACTAAAGAAAAGTTGAGTGAAATGTTTAGTGAAATGTTTAGTCATTTTGCCAGGGCTTAAGTTAATTTTGCATTTTCCTAAAGCTGGATTTCTTCATCTTTTGGCACCAAATTCTTGGCAACAGAGGTGGGGTGATTGTTTCCTTTCCATTATTTTATTGATTTGTGTATTTCAAATTTAATTGCAAGATTAATTTTAATTTTTGGCAATGTCAATAGCAGTGATCATAGAGGGAGTTCTTAATTCTTAATTTAATATGAACAATAAGAACTTAAGCATTATTTTTAATGACAATGAATTTCAAAACACTGGAGTGGGCTTTAAGATAGCTTACGATAGCTCTGAAGCATGGATGGAAAAATGCAAGAAAGCACATGAAAGAAACTATTAGTAAAGTGTGTAAACATCAAGGTGACTTTTGCAAAAAAACATGGGTAAAGCCATAAATAGAAAGGGAGCAAAGAACATAGCTATTATCAAAGCAAAATACCTCATTTTTTATTGTTTTATATGCGCAGTCAAGCAGCCCATTGAATTGTGGTAGCTCTCCAAACTTTGGATGTGGCTGTGTTTGTAACCTCACCTGAAAGTAAAGAAAACTCGGTAAATGAACAAAATTGAATAAAAAATTAGTTATATTGCTACAACAGTGCAGGGACTAGGGACTAGGGATCATATTACTGATTGGAGACAAGAGATAAAAATGCAAAAGCCAAAATCTGAAGTTATTTTTACATTGTTCTAAGCAGAGTTTTGGGAATTATTGGGGGTAGAGGTTAAGCCTCGTCAGGGTCCCTTCATCAGTGTAATTACAAAGAGGTCTTTATAGTGTTAAACAACGCAAACCCATATTCTCCAACTGTGAATCTAGAGGAAACTGTGGACCTAGATGAATTTTTTAAACAGAGCTTCAAAGCAGTTTACTTGGTAGACAAGCATCATGGGATCTTAATTCCAAGGGGTAGGTAATAAGACAGAGTTTTCAACATATTCAACATAACAAGTGCTTGATGATGGTCTACTTGCCACCAGGATGAGTAAACAGAACTTTTTTTGTAGGAATGAGGAAATAGAAGTTCAGCTTGGCTGTTCTTAATTTATAGAAAATCTGAGGCTGGATTGTACTCAAATTATTCTTAACTTTTTAGGGTGTAAGCAGTGCAATTCAGTTCAGTTCAGTTCGTATATTTTAAAATTCCTCTACATATAATATCTTATAGAAAGCACTACTTACATACAATGACTACAAATTACATAAACATACTAAGAATAATACACAAAAATAACAATTTACATAAGATGTTGCATGCAGGGGGATTACAATTGCTAGCTATTGTGCTCAAGGAGAGTGTTCAGGCCCCAATTGCCAACGAAGTGAGTGAGACATCCTTTTTTGGCCGACAAGATTCAAAATTCACATAAAACACCACTAAACATCAAAAGACTTTAATTTTTTCTTAACTTTTGATCAATTTTGGTGCTTGTGTTCTCATAAAAATTTTCTTATAAATAAAGTGTGTACTATGTAGGGCTATGTACTTCAAGGGCTAAGGCCTGCTTCCCATAACTGCTTCATGAAGAAATTCCTCCTTGTGAACCATTTTCCTTGCAATTTGAGCTAGAACACTTTTATTATAATTTTACATAGTTATCATCCTTAGCATCATCTATTATCCAGACTCAAGAAGAGGCACTATATGACCCTACAGGTTAAATTTACTTCAACACAAAGGCATAAATTTGGGTTTTGGACAACACACATATGATGATGCAAAGTAATTATATTCGAAGGTAGAAAAAATTAATTTATGATGTCATATTTTATTTAAACAAATCAATTCCAGATCTGCAATAATATATATACAGTATGTAATTACTGATCTGGATTTCAGGCAGTTCAATGAGATCTTGGGAGTGCACAGGCTATTAGCCAGGAGTGCAAGAGTGCATTTGTGATAAATGCAGATTTGACCCAATACTTTTAGTTTTTAATGAAATAACAAAACATTTCAAACAATTGCAAGAAAATGACTGCAAAAATATATTCTGACGTATAGCTCAAAAAAGTCACAAAAATTCTCTACTTGCTACACTCGCAAGGGGCCTTGTTTTTCAGTTTTGCTCCAGGGCCACAGAGACCCCGTTTACACTGTTCCTTCCAAGTTTGGAACCGTGACAAAAACTGTTGTGGTTCCCCCGTCCGTTTTCACTAGCACTGTGGAACCGAGAGGATTTTGCTCTGCCATCCGGCACCCTGCTATGAAAGCAAACAAATTTTGTAGTGTCACAGTTCCATTTTTAAACAGGACAGAGTAAACGAGATCTGAAAATTTTTGGCAGCCCTGATCTCAAAGGGATCACTCAATTTACAATGACACACTTTTTCCAATCCAAGTTGCTAACAAATTTAGAAAGGCATTTTGCAATATCTGAAAAAACTTTATAAATTGAGCCACACCCAAAAACATCCCCAAACCACGCCGATATTCGGGTGTGCAAGAGTGCACTCGTAATTTCACAACAATTTCTCGAGAGTGCGGCTGTCATGGAATCCATACAGATGCAATTACAGACAGGCCTAAAAAGGCAAGGTAACTCCAGCAAGAATCCCACGTGATCCACCTATACTGTTTACACCTACAATAGTGTGTAAAGCGGTTTAAAAAAAATTGTGAATTAAGTCAGGTCCCTTCTTTTCTAAATAGAAATCAGCACATCCCCATTAACGCTTATTTTTAGCCCCTTTAAATTGAATGAGAGTAATGACTCAAAACGTGATTGTGAAACCAAATTAGGTATACCTTGATGGTGTCTAAAGGATGTCCAGCAAATACCAATGATATACCACCTGCGCCCCCAGATATAAAATTTTTCAAGTTTGAATGCTTTTTTTTCATTTTGAAAGATGGCTTACGTTCCTGTCTAGCGTGAATAGAAAGACAGCACAGAAAATTCCTCCATAATTGATTTTGAGTGAAATTGATGAGAATTGAGTTGAATAGTTTTTGTGGGTACTCAGCCACTTCATTCTATGACCGTGCTTTTTATTAAGGGGAGGGGGGGTTATATAGGGTGTGTGTTTTTATGGGGTTGGTGATGGCTAAAAACCAATAGCAAGGCTATTTTTTGATAGTTTTTTGGATAGTTTTCAGAACGCTTTACTTTTGGAAATTTTTCAGGGTTTAACTACACTTTGGAAAAAGAATCAGTGGGAAAAATGGAATTCCACCCCAAATTCTTTTGTTTTACTAGCCAATTGTTAATGCGACAAATGCCCTTTAACAGTGGTGTAGTGTCCGGCTATCAAACGTATCCAGTGAATAACCTTAAAGGCCGTCGCAATAGGGGGTATGAGGGGTGTGACACCCCCTCGAAAAATAATTTTGTTGCAAAAAAGAGACGTATTCTGCCATCTAGGGGTGCTTAGTTAGCAAATTTTCAAACTTGTCGGCAAATAAAGGATGGCTCATCATATTTGTCAGCAAATTGGGCCTGGAAACCCCCTTCCCCTCTGAGCACCATGGCAAGCGACGGGCCTGATACCCTCATATTTTTAGAGAATTATGAAAAGACTATGTGCAATTGCTTAACTTGTTTTAGAAATAAATAATTACTTTTGCTGCTCATTCTTAATAATAAAAATAACAATGTCGTGTAAATGTAGGCTTATGGCCTGTAACACATCTCAACACTAGACTAACAAATTTGCTTTAAGCAATGGAAGATCTTGGCATGCATTACATACATACATACATACAACATATATGATCATTTTATAACGCAGGTTTAGTGTTTGGCACACTGATAAATGGTTTGGCAGCCTCTTGTTGGCTGATGTGGATCTGCAATTTGATATGCGGTTTTATAGAAATACCATTTGATAAAAATACAAAAAAGAATTGTAAAAGCCTTTGGAAATATTACTTAAAAAACACAGCGCATTTAGGTATATTAGACACAGCGCATTTAGGAAAGTCTCCAATCTGGTATTGATTTAAAATGATCCAACTTCATGCAGAAATAAATGAACATAACAGAGTTTCGTTTAATGATAAAATGTCAGTGTGGTATCAGTTTTCAGCGATTTGAAGGGCGTGGTATACAATACTTTTTCCGGGTCTGTACCCCTGGACCTCTTTTTCCATCTAGCATAATTAGTGAACTTGGAAAAAAAGGCTTAAATTAGGCACTGCAAAATTTTCCTTCTTGTATGTAGCATCTGCAGATAATCAACATGTTACTTTAAATCATCAAATCATGTTTATAATGACCCCTTTATAGGTAAATAATACTAACCAAGAACAGGAATTACAGTCCTTTCTCCTCTAACAAAAAATAATCCCTGCCCTCTAACATATCTTAGAGTACAAGACCCCAATATATGACCATTAGATAACCTTTGTTCAAGGTAGAACAGAAGAGCAGAGTTTGATAAAAGACATTCAAATTGAACAGGAAGAAACCAATTTGCATCTTTAAATCTAGAAATGGCTACATGTACAATATAATCATAACTGTTTTCATTCTCTTTCAACAAGAAAACCACAATTTCAACCATTTTCCACAAAACCAACTCAAACTACTTATCACAATTTATCTGACAACTTATAGTGTCTGTGGAATAGCTGACATGTGAGTAAAATGAAACTTGTGTAATCTAAGTGTAGTTAGAACCCCCCCCCCCCTAACCTAAAAAACTGAAATAAATGAACTCTATGGGCAATCAATATGAAGGGAACAGAGGGAAGATACTTTTTTAATTGTTTTCTGAAAATTAGTCTAGGGCTAGGTCATCATCAGGTATCTTGACATCCATACAGCACTATATTTAAGTCATTGTTCTGGCAATTGAGCAGATATTAATAAATCAAATACACATTTCTTAAATTGGATCTCCACATACACCAAAAGTTTATTAATTTGCCAACCAAATCTTGGCATTATAGAACTAAAAGTTTTTTAGTTGGTTTCTTATTTCGGGACCTTGAATTGCCTTATTGCTTTGAAGTTGAGCATTTTTTGAAGAATATAATTGCAGATCATCATGAAAAAACCCATGCAATCAATATCTAAAGTAATTGTATTTTTTCCAAAGAGAATTTAATCAACAACAAAATAAAAACTGTTGGACTCTCTTTTTTAAAAAGGAAAGTTTACAGTGTTATTAGTTTTTTGGTCTAGTTTTAAAGTTTTTTAAATTGCCGGCCATCTTGCACTTGCTTCTATAAATACTATTTAGTACTATGAATTAACTAAACTCTTAGCTTAATTGTAATACAATCCTGATAATGAATGAAAGGTTTTGTTGTTTTCAAGTTTTATCAAGTCTTTGAGAAAAGGATAAAGGAAAAGGATGTAATAAAAATATGATAAATTCTTATTGGTATCTCCATGAATCTCTTGCTTTCTTCTTAAACTTTTCATAAAGATAGTCGTCTGATGCTTCATCTTTGGTTTTTCTTTTACCCTGTCCCTTACTACTCGAAGAATGACTGCTTGACTCCTCAGTGGTATCTGTGTCTTCAACAACAACTGGACCTTTCTTTTTCTCAGTTCCTAGTCTTTCCACTTCTTTTCTTGCCTTCTCTTTTCGCTTTTCTGATTCCAACACCTTATGTTCATTGAAAAATCTATCATGAAGCAAAAAGTTTGATGCAAGGTTTGTTGGTACAAAATCTGAAGCTGCTTTTCTTTTGTTCTTCATTTCATTTAAAAATTTTCCTTTTGCTTCTTCAGTTGCTTCAATGTTTTTTATTTTTGCATGAATGCCTAAATCAACTTCTGGTATTCCTGAGAGCATTTGGTTAGACAACATTTCTTCAGATTTCATTACTTTTGATTTCACATTTATATGCTCTGGAACTTCGTAAAGGAGGTCCTCGGCTGTTTTTGGCTTTTCGGTATTCGTCTCCTTGTCCCTGTCGATACCCTTTCGTTTAGCGAGCTCATCCTCGATGAACTTCAACATTTCAAGATCTTCATCTCGTCGATTTGTCTCTTGAGAAAAGTTACTCCCTAAACTTGTAACGTCTTTGTCTGCAGCCTCTCCAGATCTATCACGATCCCGATCTTTGACTGTATTCAAGTCAAGTAGACCTCCTGTTTTTATTTTAAAAGGATCATTGGGTTCTTCTACAGCCTCTTCCACTTGTGAGCCGAAAGCTAAGCCGCTAGGTGTAACACCTTTAGGCCTAACTCGGAATTTCTGCATCTCTTTCACTTCTTCTAGCTTTTCACTGACCGAAACAGTGTTTTGTTCTGCACTCTCTTCTTCATCATCACTGTAGTTTCTGCGGCGATAATTTCTTCCTTTTGATGCCATTCTTGATGTAAATACTGATACAAGCAAGTCCACCGATCCGAACCCGATAATACAAAATGGCCGTAACAACAATTAGCAACAACAACCTCATTTAGAAACCTGATCAGGTCTGAAAATGAAATTGTAGCATGTAGCTATTCACTTCAAAGGAAATTTCCTTAAACTGAAATTTGTTTTGGTCTTTTTAAATATATTTCTAGGGGGTTTGAAGTATTAGGAAAAGATATTAGATTAGGCAAATAAATTTTAAACTAAGGGGTATTTCATTAACATTATGAAACCAAGCACAACAGTCGATTTTTTAACTTTTGAGCTCGAATTTACGTGTTGAATTTTAATGCAAACATATATCTCAAAAGTGTTTGCAACCATGTGCTAGTAGTAATTGAAAAAATAAGTGATAGTGAAAAATTGTCTGAAAACTATACACAAAATGTAATACTATCTCTTATAACGTGTTTAATGCAATTTACCAATATATGTTGTGCAGGAAGGTCTTTTGAATTGGGGTTTGTGGGTGGCTATAGGCTCTGTATCCCGTCTTATGCATGCAGGAATAAAATTACTTCACATTATACCAAACAGCCTAATATATTTTCACATTAACTAATATCTTCAATAACAGCCAACATCTTTTTTTATATACTGCATATGGAAGATGCCTTTCAAGAAAAAACATAGCATCTTACCAAAGCCATCTAAGCTTCTCACGAAAACAAACTTTCTTAACTAAAAAGTAATTTCAAAACGAACAAAAAGAAGATATATCTCCGCAAATAATTTCTTCGTGTTTATTCTACACTTCTACTAAGATATAACCTCACTTTCATAAGCAAATTACAATTAAATGAAGGTAATTAAGTACAAATCGCAAATTCTTTATTTCTTTTTCTAAACGATAACATTGATTTTTGATAACATAAAAATTTTTGTGTATTAAATAAAGCAGTGAAAGCTGATAAACAGTATGAGAAGCAGATAAAATGTGCTGATTTTTGCATTTATTTTCAAAAAAGGATGACAGGCTCATTTCTTCCAAGCAACACATTGACTTTTGAAAACGAAAAGGCGAGTTTGTCGCATTCTTCCTTCAGTTACAAAAAATGCACTGCAATAGTGACTGTTATCATTAACTACATTGAAGTCTAAATATGTATGCATTTCCAAGGCTTGGAATGCATATTCCGCTATACAGCGATAAGAAATCGTTACTTGAAAAAGGCACCTTCGTTTCATCAGCACATTACTCAAAGTATATGTTTAAGAGACAAACAGAGAGCCTATAACCTCGAAAAAGCAGCTGATCTTCGCTACTGAGGAAGTAGTAGTTGTTGATTTAAAGGGTAATTTGCGAAGACGTTCATCAAACATGCAAGTGGAGGGATGGGCCAAAGAAAACAATTATTACAAATTGGGACAGAAGCAATAGCGTTTTCGAAGGGAAATTAGCTGGGGGTAATCATTGGAATTTATAAAGAAGAGGGCAACAGCCTAACGTTTAAAACAATGAAAGGACACTGGGGTTGGAGGGGAAATTTCCCCCTAGTTAGTATGTTAAAACATCCCCCCAGTTAGTAGGCCCTGACAGAACCTCCGTCCAAATATCAAACTTCATTAAATACTGAGGCGCTTGACAAGAGCGGCACAAAGTGGTTTCAGGTAAAAGTTTGCAGAAGACGGTAAGCATAATTGACTCAATGTGTCGGATTTTATTTCATTAGTAGTTTTTCACCGAGAAAGCTTCGAGATCTTCTGTTTCCAGCAACAGAATCTTAAGTGATAGTCCATTTTCATATCGTTATTATTGTGTTTGAGTCTGACTTCTCATGCTAATCATCAGCTTCACTTAATTTTTGGATTTGGTTGTAACTTTGCAAGAAACTTTAACAAGACCCTTAGCAATCTAGTTTTGTATATAAGCTATTTATAATGAATTGTTGATAGGCTGTTAAAAAATACTGATAAAGAATACTGACTTGATATATGGTCTATACAATGATTTTATCTTTTACATACTCAAGAAATTTAAATGCTCTAGCCAAGAATTATATTTGCTCTGAAAAGACTTGAAAAGAGAGGCTAAGATTCTATCTAAGTCTGAAAATGTAACGGAATGCGGAAAATCAAACGCAATTTGTGAAAAAATGGCAAAATATACCATCCTATTGCTACTTTGCACCACTTCAATTTCAACAATTCATACTGCAACTCTTCACCTTCGTAAACATTATATCCGATTTAAAACATTTTCTTCTTTATTCAAAATAAAACGAAAGCTGAACAACCCATAACTTGTCCATGTTCCATGCCTCTCAAATAATGTAACTAGTAATGTAAAGATTTGGTTATTTTGACTAAATTTTCAGTGATTTTTAAAGCCTTCATTTCCAGACTCAGGGCAATATTGTCAATTGTTACTAGCATTAAGATTGGATTCATATATAACGTATATCTACATCTGTCACTTCAATCAAATTCAACAATAAAGCAATAATGTCGATAAATCTACAGAAATACTATAAATGGGCTGATTCTTATGCACAGTTTGCTGGAAAATACTTGCATGGGAAATATTGCTTTTCGGTATTTTCCTACGATAACCGAGAGCTTCAGATCTGAATATAAGAGATTCGAAATGAAATTGTGATATATCAACTTCATTGAATAACTTGGAGAACATTGGATATTTTCTAGAAAAAATTACATTGCTTAGGAAAAGTTCACAGGATTCCAGCATCCATTACTGCTTAAATGTTCGGAGATACAGTTTTCTCACAGCAAAATTACAGTTTTAGGACGATACCTCAGCTGGAGAAAAGTGTTCAGCTAACTCGAAGAAGACTTTTATATATTATATAAACTCTTACGTGAAATAGACCGAACTGAGCAAACATCAACAACTACTATTAAGCACAGCATAAACAAATCTGTCCTCAAAATTATAACCAACATTTACCCATTCTTTAAACTCCAAGTTCCCAATCATTATTCCATCGGTAGGAACACTTCTAGCGCTGAATCGTATTGGCTTATTTTTGCACCTTTTGAAATTAATCCTCTTTGGTTTCTTGGCATTCTTCTAAAGCAGCGCGATATTGTATCATCAAAAGAGTGAGTGCTTGAGTTCTCTCCTCAGATTTATGCTGAATAGAGACAAATAGATTTCGAAAGAATACTCAGGTTGGTCCATATGACTACCTGAATTCGATTTCAACAAGTCCATTATACATGTCTGTAACATGGCGCACATGGATAGATATAGATAAATAGATTTATACTGGAGAAGTTAATCAGCTATAATTTGCTATGCGCACGTTGCTTCAGTAAGTAAGGCTTACTAATATTATAACATTATTACCCACATCATATTTTGAACTTCAATTTCATTATAATTTTAAGCACAATATTCATTATCATAACATCGTTACCTACTTAGTTTTTCGCATTGTTAACTACATCTTCAAATCATAACTAGAAAGGGCATAAAATCGTAGACGAAATTCCTAAATTGAACTCAATTCTTAATAGTGTTATTGGCCATGAATGTAAAAAGTTTCTTTTAAGATATTGCTAAATGATTTTCAGGTAAACTTATACAAAACAAAAACAAAACGAAAACAACAAAACAGAACTAAATTACAGTTGAAATTGAAAACAGTCATGTAAAGATAAAACACAAACGTAAAGCATAAGGGTGCAACGTTCTTAAGACATTGCTAATTGATTTTCGGGTTTTCAATCTCGCGTAGAGAGAATGGTTAATCAATATACTTTAGGGCAATGGCGGTGCACAAACCTTGTTGAAGACAGTCGTGTAAAGACAAAACTCACCTTGGCTAATTGTAATTTGGCTTTTTTGTTTGAATCAATGGTTTCCTTCAAGGCTGCAGAAAGCTCCATTCGTTCTTCTTCTTCGTCGTCAATTTCACTCTGCAGCCTTTGCACCTGTTAAAAAGAGAATTGTCAAAAAATCTCTTTGCTAAGATAATGCTCGGTTGGATAAAATGTCAATTAAGGTCATGTCATGTCATGTCATGTCATGTCATGTCATGTCATGTCATGTCATGTCATGTCATGTCATGTCATGTCATGTCATGTCATGTCATGTCATGTCATGTCATGTCATGTCATGTCATGTAGTCTTGTCATGTCATTTCTGTGAGCTATTTTTCTCTCTACAAACTATCTCTAGCAAGTGGTATCAGTTTAATCTTTAAGAAACTTTTTGGAATAAAATAAACAAAAATTATGCAAATGAAAACTTATCCTGAGTCTAGCATTTTATGAAAAATGTGTATATTTTGCAAAGGTATAATTTGTGGTACATACCGTACTTTCCAGCTTTTCTGTCCTGTTTTCATCTTCCAAAGTTGAAAATAATTCTTTTCCAGCCTTTAATCGGTTACAAGAAGAGAACAAAAGACAAAGATAAGCAAACACTGACAATATTTTACAAATGCTAATGATTTAATTTATTGCTAAGTTTTAAGCAACTCGGAAAATTAGGTTTCGGCACTCGACGGATAAATTTTGTGATTCACAAAATTTTTCAAAAAAAGTAAAAGCATGCAAAAAATGGGGGAACTACAGAGTCTATCAAAAACGAACACTTAGTAAAAGTACTGTTCAGGAACTAGAGACAGAAATGCATCTTCCTTCCTCTTACTGCGAATCGAAACATCAATGTAAGAGAGAATGAACATCTGTTATTTTCAAATAGGCAAAATGAATATGCATTTATACACAAACCATTATAAAAAGACTTTTACTATGCAGTTTTTTACTGACTACTGTCATTTTCATCGACATATTTCTTTCATATGCATGTTTAAGCACCACAAGACCGTTGCTTGTGGTATAAGATTTTAATTGTCATTTTGTATTATTCCTGTTCACCGTTTTCAACTGAAACGCTAGTCTGCTTTATATCTCAGGAAGGAAATGCCCTTAATATAATCCTCTTACCTGCTGTGCTGTTAGGGTTGCATTTGCTATCGAATCCGTAACATCTTGTGAATTGAAGCTCTAGAAAATAATAATACATACAGGGAAGGATTTATTTCCAAGATGGTTTAAACTAAACTTAAAGCCACTTCACCTCATACACAAAAGTAACCTCCAACTTTAATCAGTAAATGGGCATTGAAATTAGTAATAATGGTCGGTGTCACATCATATAGACAAAAAAGCTGCTTTCAAATACTATTTCTGTTTAAATTAATCTTCTAAAATCAAATTAGAAAACCAGACATCGTTAAAGAGGCTTGTGACTTGCAAAATGGTTTATTCAGACAAGAGAGTAGAGGAAGAACACTTTCTTCCAAGGGGATAGTTTATAAATCCAAGAACGTCTGGTTATGCAAACATCCCGAATCATATTGTTGGTCAAGGAATTTAGGAGCTTTGCTGACAAGGGGTCTAGCGTCTGATTTTGGGGTGAGATTGGAATAAACAGATTTTCTTCAATCAGTTTTAAGAACACACAAAAAACATATTTTTGGAAAATAATGACTGCTGTTCTTATTTCAGAGGTGCCCTAATAAACGAAATGATCATCTATCAAAATTAGTCAATGTGTTAAGCAACGTTATTAGTTCGTCTTTGGGATTTCTTTAAAAAGCAAAAGTTAGTTTAAAGAAACCACAAAATATGATGATTGCCTGAATTAACATGACCTTTGTACTGCTTAAAAGGGTGTGCGTTACCGAAAAACATGAAATTGTTTATGTAAATATGAATGCTCCCCCTGAATCCTCTGGTTGAGCAATAAAATGATTTTCAGAAAGACTGCAGTGTAAACCCTACCCTTTGTAGCGGATGTTCTGTCTCATCATAGCGGATGTTCTGAACATTTTGATCCTTTCTGGAGAACTCTGGCGATGATTTGGTACGTAGGCGTATTGATGGGCGTGGCTCTTCCGGAGTTGCCATCTTGCTGGTCTCGATATTTTGATCTTTGCTTTCGATAGTTTCCGAGGAATCTCCCATACTCTGCTTTTTTATTCCATTCTCTTCCGAGTGCCACGCAGGCGGCTTAGCACGAACGCCGAGCCTGTATAGAGGAAATTGATATTGAAAAATTGTTCAAGACATGCATAACAGCGAACCAGCGTAGTTTTAGCTGCTCATTCATTGTATACTGTCCCTCACTGATAGCAAACGCTACTTAACATGCATGGTGCTGCATCGAAATATATGAATTTGCATTCTCATGCCAATAAATTATGGGCTACAGCAAAATTCATATATATAAAACTATGATGTCGAGCATTTCAAATCAGCGATAGATTGAAGGAAATAGCGAAATGGTATGTTGACAATGGTAAGATAACGCTTAGACAATTATGCTGTATGCAACCAAAAGGCAAATATCAATCATTCTTTACTCTTCTGTTATTAAACAACTTAGTTTACTTTACGTTTCTCTTAGCTACTTAAAGACTTTTGAATGTCATTAGTTGCTTGGTGATGACACTGAGTGTTGCAACTTAGAAATGTTTTTTTCTACAAGCCAGAGCGTGCAACGCTCTGCCTGTAGGACATCGATACTCCATAGAAGAGCAGTAAACAGTAATCTTCGTTACCTAGTACAGTATGTATTGGAGTGAGCATTGTTAATGCATTTTTTGTGAGAAATCATCGCGCAAACACGACACTGATAAGCAGTTTTGGTCCAAACCTAGAAAGACACAACGAGCCCATTGATTACGTACACAATTATCAAAAAATGCTTTATAACAATAAGACAATGCTCAAAATGTTATAAGAATGACATGACAATAAATAAAAACAAATACCATATGCCTGTTGCAATACAAATTCTATGAGCTTGGGGTATTCAAAATACTATACGTCATAAAAAATTCACCACCTTGGTTTTTAGGACCTACTCAAGGTTTGCACTTTATGCCATTCTCACGTTCCCCACGGCGGTTCTGATTGGCAGGGAAAGTATGTATATAAACATTTGCAACTATACTATGTTACGGTAAGGTTTTGAAAAATGACCAGGATGACTCTGGTGAAATCATTCTTTATAATTACGTGGACAGGAGAAAAATACCAGAGTTAGTAAATAAAAATAGACAGTCAAAGAAAGAGGCATCAAGTCCAACTACCTTTTTCTGACAATAATCGCATCTTGTGGGAAAGTAAAATTGTGTGTCCATGAAATCATGTCTTTGTTTGGTATCCCTACAGAGATTTATATGCAGATTCTTAAGCTCGATGATTCGAATTTTCAAAACTTAAGGGCTTTAATGGTATTATGATGAATCCCTTAACAATAAAAAAATATATTAGAGTATTACAACAGAGAGATGATTAAGATAAAAATTCAGAGGTTTGCTCAGTGATAATATTAACAACTTAAGCAAATAACTCCTCGAAAAATACGTCTATTTACCATGACTCAAAACTTTTAACTTTTCAAAAATATAAGCCAAGATGGTCGACAAACAAGAGATGGGAGGGGTATTCCAAAAAATGTTAAAGTTTATTTCTTCGTCTTTCGAGGCAAAAGATAGTTAAAATTAAAACCGTTATCACGCATAAACTTTATGGCTGATTTCATACTAAGAAAATAACTGGGCTGTCATAAAAAACTAAAGCAGTCATAGAGCATATAGTGTAATTGATAGCAAAAGAAGAACCAGAATTATTCTTACTCACATCTGGCCAACATCATTAAGTGTTGGCTGATCTATAGGCTGCGTTTCCTGTAAGCAAAAAATTGAACAAATGAATAAGCAAAAAATTGAACAAATGAATATGCAAAAAAGTGAACAAATGAATAAGTTGTGTAGTAACAATCTCAGAGAAGTGCCTGCATGTGAGCACTGCATAAAAAAGAATTATCACCACTTTTGATGCTTATTATCTATCTAAGAGCTCGCTTTAATAATTCAATGTTCTAGCCAATGTTCTAGCCAATCGGTTACACAATGATCATCAAAAAATGATTACCTCGCTGCTGGAAAGACCTGTCAGCGTATCTTGCAGGCTTTCTACATCTAAAGAGGTGTCAGACAAGTTGGGTTTGTAACAGAAACACAGTGTTATGTCACCATTGCATGTCTCTGGCTTCAATCCTGGCAATAGGACACGAAGGCTTGTGCGACTGAAAGAGAAAAAAACGTTTCAGATCAGACTAAAAACCAAGTAAATTGAACAGGACATTTATCCACACACGTTCCTTTGAAGGATCTACAAAACTGTCTTTGGGACAGCGCTTGTGCCTAACTTTGCTATGAATTATTCTCTTATCGAATATTGCCGCGTCAATCCCCTTTTTTCTAAAAACAGTACTGTTACTTTAGGTAAACATAATAAAACATACATAGAAAAAATACATTTCGTAGCCATACTAATCAACTTGCAACAACAAACACCGTTTGTTGGGGTTTTTCCCATGCGACCTTTAAAATTGACTGTAGTGATGCAAAACTTGTGGCAGAGAAAGAAGATACAGAAATTTTTTAGCTCTATGAAGAGGAAAAAAGTTTTTATAATGGGTGTAGAAAGCACGAGGAAAAAGACAGGAGGAGAGCAAGCATAAGATGTTGAAGGCTAAAGGTATAGAAGGATTCTTTACAATAGACCATAATTTTGTTAAGAGAAAGAATCCTTACTCACCTAACACCAGAGCGACAATACGTTGGCGTGAGGATATAAGACTGAGTGTGTTTTCCTGCCGTTGTTGATAGGCACTCTAAACTAATTTCCATCAAAGATATGGATGCCTAGAAAGAGAGAAAAACAAATCAAAACAAGTGGTTTAAAAGGGAGTACTTTCATTTAATAATGCAGCCTCTGTCTAGAAATGTTAAATTCAAAGGGATGATGGCAACGAAACACTGAACAACTTGTTAAAAACGAAACGGAACTTTACTGCTTTTCTAGTTACTTGGATTCCTGAAATGTATTCTTAATCCAGTTTAAATAACATCAAGATTCTCATACTAATTCAATGAGAATAAATCATAATTTCTAAAACAAATACAGCTGTAGAAATTGATATGAATTTAGTTAAATATCATTGCTTGCGAGAAGAGCGCTACACGTCTTAAAATACAGGAGAACAGTTGACATAACGAGGGTTGAAAAACGGAGGGTTGAAAATCAGAGGGCTGAAAAAGCAAATACAGCTAACGAAAAAGCGAAGGAAGTCTTGGCAAAGGTAGCTTGAGTACAATTCAACTCACATATCCAATCAAAACGTCTTTTCCATATCGCTCATCAGACTTGCTCCAAACACAGACGTTTAAAAACTTGTGCTGTTTTTCGATATCGAATGAGAAACTCTCATTCCAAGCAGGATCCTGAAATTCAAGGATAGGTTCAAAAACTTTTTAAGAATTGGTAGGATACAAACGAAATAATAAATATTCAAACAATTATTTGTTGGTATAGAAATTTAAAATTCCTTAGAAAAAAACCAAACATTATTAAAGATACTAAAGCTTTTCGTCTTAAGACTGTTCAATCTATCTACATAAACATGAAAAACCGCTATTGTGTAGACAAAAGGAGTTTTCACTTAAGTACCCTATTGGTAGTATTCTCTATATAGGCAAACGGCACTGATTGGGCAACCTTTATAACCATATGCTCGCACTTCTGATTGGCCTATTTCGATCCACAATTGTGTATATATATGTCCTAGCGGAAAGGTTTCGATCTATGTTATAACATTTCGTACTCTGAAGGGTCTGAGACGAAAAGCGTTAGTTTGTTTCAAAACGTTTATCTTTTTTAAAAGATTCATAAATATCCCATACCGCGTTAAAATTGAAAAGATAATTATTTTAATCAGCAATTAATATGAAAATAAGAATGAATTCAAGTATAGAGAATTTATACTTGGATTCATTCTTATTTTCATATTAATTGCTTTGAGAATTAAATGAGAATTAAAATCAATTGCGGTTTATAACAACTGTGGGAACTGAAGCATAGATAAATAACTGGCGTCTTGGTTGAGGTATTGCTGCCACAATTTTGTAAATGGCAAACAATTTTTAAAGTAATGGCAAAAACATAAAAACAAACTTGCATTATTAGAAGAAACAATGCTTGTTCTCTGCACGGAATGGTGTACTTCATCTTTGCTTATCAGTGTGTGTTGAGAAATGTTATCCCAGCCTCCGTCTCCATCAGCCTCGAAACTGTGCAAACTCTGAGCATCTGATGAATCACTGTCAATTTCAATACTCTTATCCCTTCTGTGTAAAATCCTTCGCCGTAAACTATTCTGTTTCTGTTTCTTTCTTTGATGATCACTTTCTGTATTCGATTCTCTATCAGACTCAGTTCTCTTTTCTCTCAAATTATCGTCTTTTAACTTGACGTGTTTGGTTTTTGCGTTACCCACCTTATCGGAAGAATTATGATGCTTTAGTGGTTCTTTTTTCTGTCCATTACCACTCGGAGGAACCTTCAATGAAACTGGTTCATCTGCTTCCCCTTCCTCATTTCCTGACATATTTGCTGCATTTTCTGCATCCTTATTAGTTTCTGTGTCTTCAAGTTTAAAGTTAACAGAATTTTCTTTCAATGACTTGCCTAGGGGTCAAATTAAATTCAACGCTAAAATTTCAAGTAGATCTAATATATACAATAAGGTAGAAATATTTAAATAGGGTTGAGGTTAAATAATAAGAAAATTATTAAAATCTTTTTTCCAGTTATTGTATATTGTCGAGTGTGTAAACTGTTGTGAAATGTAAAAGTTGCAGATATTATGTCGTAGGACCACCAAAACAGGGAGCTGAACAGCAGCTCCCACCCCTATTATATCTAACTTTTATGAAAAACAGGCTTGCAAAGAGAGAGTACTAGAAAAATACAAGCTATAGCAAATTTCTGACTCGCCTCTTCTAGTCGATTGACTGACTTTCCTCAAGATCTTCTTGACATTTTCATCATCTTTTCCAATCTGCCGCTCAATCTCTTGCACGACAATGTTAACGAATTCTTCTCCATCACTGTCGTCATCAGCAATCGTGACATTGTCAAAATTGAAACTGTTTTCAAACTCAGATCTTTGCACTGCATCATTTGGTTTAGCATTACCTGAATCCTCTTTGTCAACCTCCGCATCAGATGCCTCTTGACTTTCAACATTAACTGAAGGAACATTGGGCGGTCTTTGGAGCCTGACGATAAGTCTGTTGTGGAAAACACATTACTTTAGAAGATAAAATTAAAAATCTACTAAAACTAAACAAATATGCTCCAACAAATGTGCATTAGAACTTTTCTTTAAAGCAAACATCAGGGCTTCGTAAGTTTCTTCACAATTATTACGTTAAATTTTTCACACATTATATTTTTTCTGTTCATCTAAGCCTGCAGCCCTTAATATAGAATAATTATGGAATTTTCAGAATGCAAATTAAGGAAACTTTTAAGAATTTACTCCCTAAACACAAAAGTTCTAGTGCCCATTTTTTGTGAATATTGGAAATGATACAAAAACATGTTATTGAAGAAGCAAAGAGGAAATAGTTGTTTTTATGTCGAGGTTGCCCTGATCCGTTCTAGAAAGAGTTGTTTTTTCTCAGAAATAGCGTTCTAATGCTTTTTGTGGATGGTATCTTGCAAAAATTGGATAAATACTAAAAATAAACTTGACATGCCACTTTAATATCAAAGATGCGTGCAATTTAGAGGAGTTATTATAAAAAAATTTATAAATACTTTTCGCCTCCATTCTTGATTAGTCTGACGGCTTGTTTCAAAGTTTCAACATCCACTTCATTCACTGCAAGTAATATATCCCCCCGTCTTATGTCCAAAAAGCTTGCTGGAGACTGTGGCGATATAGTGTCAACAACAACCAATTCTTTTTGGTATTCTTCTGTTCCTGTAAATGTCTGCTTTATACTAACACCGACAGATCCAGACAGTGTTCTTGTCAGCTCAACCTTGTGTCAAAACAACGTTGGCAAAGTGGTGAATATTTCAACCAATGGAGTAATTTTTTACAATAAACTAGTACTGTCATTATTTATCAGCATATATCTAGTAAACCCGTTCCAAAAGCTGAAAAAAGGCTGATAAACAACTGCTTTAAATAAAATTTCACAAAAAAGTCTTTCTCCTACAAATAAAGACACACGCATATATGAATTAAAGGCAACCCTAGATTTAGTTTGTTACTAACTGAAGTAGGATCGGTGCAAAAGATGGCCCCAATCATTGACGTAGAAAAGGTCACAGTGAAAAAACAAGATCACCAAAGTAGACATGATTATTCTTGAACAAGATCAATAAAGCTATGATCAATCGAACACCCGCGAGAATACCATTAGGAGTACACTACAACAAAAGGGCTTGACACCGGATGAGCAACATGTAGTTAACTACGATCGAAATTATTCGTGAAACTATTTCGTCTTATCAAAGGAAAACGATCGTAGATCATGCCTGCCATTTCTCCTTTCCTTTTGAATATAACTTCAGGCTTGATATAGTTGCCTTAAAAATGAATTTCTATATCTACAAACATTGCTAAAAGTACTTGGAACACCCAGCAATTTGCGTTGTGTTTTTATATTTTTCAATTCTTTTCCCTAATACTCCAATTTCCGCACCCCCTTTCACCTAAACAGTGTTGATGATTTAGAAAAACACCATAAGAGTCACAGAAACGAAGGTACTTTCTAGCCCCCTACTTCGTTTTGTAGTAAAAAAACCTTGCTCAAAGGAAAGAGGAATGGTTGAATTTTCCCTCGAGTACTGACATTAGTGTACCGAGACTTTTGGCAGGCATTGTAGTATGGCTCGAAGTAATTGAATATATAAGCAAACTTAAAAACATCAACAACAATTGCAAAAGTAACAAAAATACTGACCTCATGCACAGGCCAGAGTGAGCTATTCAAGGGCATGTCTTCTCTCCATGGCAATGAATCAACAGATACAATGCAATAAAGCAATGAATTGGGCGGCAACGAAGTTAGCCTACTGCAATCCATGACTTCTACTTCTAGTTTACCAACTGTAACAAGACTGTTGTGCAAGAAAACTTCCTTTTTACCATCATACACAACTGGCTGTCGAAAGAACGGTTTATATCGAACTTTGTATCTTGGCAAAGTATGCTTTCTTTTGACAGATTTTCTTATCAGGTTCTTTATCAAGTTTGTCAACCTGGCTAACTTTTTACCATTAAATTGTGATTCCACTTCAATGTCCATTTCTGGGTCCTAAACAGAAGAGAACTAAATCAAACTTTCAATGAAAAACTTTTAGTGAATGGGTTACGGTTCGCAAACTTTGCAATATTGCATTTAACTAATGAGAATACCACCAGAGTTGTTAGTAAAAGGGCGTGATGGCAGCTCTATGTAATGCTTTCCCTATATAAGCTGCAAAAATGTTCAAAATCAATGCTTCATTATTGAGAGATCATTTGACCTGACATGTGGATACAGAAACATGTTACTATCACAAGGAATGGTCAGTTAACCTTCAGTCATTTTTACATGTCTTTCCAATTTCAAGAGCAGTGCTGCCTTTGGTTATGCTCAAGGTGATAAAAGGAATTAAAATTCTGTAATATTTTGTTTACCAAACTCATCTTAGGTTCTCACCTCGTAAAAAGAGAAAGACCAGTGTGTACATGGTATTCTTGTAAATTGTAGCCGCAATCTGCCTTTCAATGAATTTACTTTGACTGCTAGGTAGGCTGTTTTGCCAAATAACAAATCAACATCCAAAGAAATCAGAAAACCTCCAGAATATTCAATTTCTAAAGCTAAATCCAGTTCCTGTGCAACTTGCTCTGGATCACGTGATTGGACTTTCATCACAGTGGCTTCTGAAATTAACAGCATAAAGCATGTTTAGCTTCATTGAATCAGCTAAAGTTGTCTCATCTGGTACCACTGAGGTAAATTTTGATAAAGAGTGAAAATTGAAACTAATAATGCAAGCAAAAACGATGTACAACTTAATTACTAATTGTTTTTGTTATATGACAAACTAATTTTCTACTCAGAACTGAGTACAACCTCAAGAAAGATGTTGCACTGCAACTGGTGGCTGCTGACTGGCATTGTTATTTCATTCGATATTCACTATCAACATTAATTTGTTGTAAATATCAAGGTACAAATATCTTCAGTTTGTATAATTAGGCAGTATATACAGCAGAAAAACATTTATAAGTACTTATGAACAACAATATTTCAGAAGACAGAGATGTTTTTAAAACACATCCTTAACTGAATAACATGGACTAAAACTTTCTGTATTTTCAGAATTTCAGAAAATTATGTTATGTAGTAAGCAAAGAAATCAAAACTCCTACAATAAAACCTTTTGCAAATTACAAACCCTTGATAACAGGCAAAGAGTCCCCAAGGCAATAATCTTTCACTCGTATTTGGTTCAGCATTTTTCCAACAGCCTTGTTCAAAAGCAGTTCTTGAAATTCCAAATTCATCTTTTTTATGAAATATGCTTTCACTGCAGCTGTATCCCTCCATTCTCTCCAAAGAAAAGATATCATGAGATTAAGAAACATGCAACTTTCGCTTGGTGTTGCCCCATCTGACTTGCAATAGTCAACCACATCCTAAAATGTAAACCAATGCTACATGCATTGCAAAATACTCAATGCAAGAATCTAATTTTCTTACAATGCTATTGTATAATAATTACAGTAGGAAAGCAAAAACAATGATAGCCATTTAGATGGCTGTAAAAAGTGCTTTTGAGTAACAATGAAGCTTTCACGGATAGACACAATGAGCAATGAAGAGATACATCAAGTAGCTACAATAGAGAGGAAGTTAATTTTAGGAATAAGAAGATAACAAATAATGAAATTATAATACTTTATGGTTTTTTTTCAATGCAAAATTCCAGTCAAAGTTTGTCAGAAAATGTCCTACTTTGGCACATCTGGTCCTCTTTTTCTAAAACCTTTTCCACACAAAAACCAAATTGATTTAAAAAACTGCCCCAGGCACTTACAATTTTTTGTACTACTTTATAATTTCCTCAAAATTGAGCACTTGTCTATTTCTCATAAGATTTGGTGAAGAAAGAAATGACAATAAAGAAACATGTATTTTACTATAGTTTTAGCTTCATCTTTATTCCACTTTTAACAATTACATTGTCACCTGCCTCATAGGGAGACAAGATATTCTCTTCAATCAAAGCTTCCTTGGCCTCTGTCACAGCCAATATGAAGTAATCTGTATTACTGGGTCATCATTTGATACAATCTTTTGCAGTTCAAGCACTCATAATCCTTATCAAGTATGTGATCATGCAGACTTTAAGGGACTGCTTTCTCAATTTTTCTGTGCTATCAATGTTGATTGATAAATCAACATATTTCTTGGAAGGTCTTGCAATTGTCAAATTAAAAATGTATGCTTCAGCATAGCAATAATGTTAAAAAAAGAATCACTAGGCATTCTGTGAGACCCTTGGAAAAAATGAGGATGTAGGTTAACACCATTTTTTGCCCTTGGTAAGGGCTCAATCAGAAATGAGCACTTAAAAGAAGTAGAAACTTATCAATATTTATGCATATTCAAGATTTACCTTTAACTGCTTATCATAAATCCTTGAATAAGCCCTCAAGCTCAAATAAGCACCACCCTCAATAAGCCCCTACCTAAAAAATCATTTTTGCAAATAAGCCCCCCTCCCCCACCTGCAGAATAATATCTTATTTCAAGAAAGCCCCCACAGGACAATAGCCTTTTTGTAATTTTTCAATTTACTTCATTGAGAAAATTATGTCGCTTTTATGTCGACCTTTGAGTAAAAATACTCAACTTTGAAATAAGCCCCCCCAAATAAGCCCCCACCCAAAAACATTCATTTTTGCAAATAAGCCCCCGGGGACATATTCGAGGATTTACGCTACGGTATTCAAGAGGGCTACTTTAGGACCATGTGCAAAATTTGCAAACACTTAAATCTGGATTTGATAGTTCGCAAAATTACCAAGTAGGTAACTCAAATTGTATTTGTTTGCAGTTTGTCGGCATATTGATTGATTATCATACTATTGACATAATAAAGAGGATGCCCCAATTCAAGAGGTGATTTTCATGGGGTCCTCTCAAAGCCCAGACTGGAAACTTTGCTTCTTGCGCGGGCAAGTTTATTTTGAAAATTTGAGACTGTGCGCCTGAAATCATGCACTCTTAGTTATTTTTATTGTTAATAATGTTAAATCCTATTGTCAAGGGATCTAGGGGATTTTGCGCGGCCAATATGCAAAAGCGCGCAGAGGTGTGCGCGGGCAATATATTGCGGGCGCGCAGCAAAGTTTCCAGTCTGGCTCAAAGCTAAACGACAGGGCCATTGCCAAAGCGTAGAATTTAAATTCAATGAACTGCACTGAAATGAAAGCTGTCTTCAGTTATCAAGATTGATATCAATTTTGAGAACACTTATTGCTCTAGATCAACTGTCACCAAAAGTCGCTCTAAACCAACCAACCTAACTACTATCTACTAACCTACCTTCGGGTTTTTCACCTTTACATGCTCTGGAACCAATTTTGGATCTTCCACAGGCTTCAGCCTTAGCCAATACCAAATCGCAAAGACATCTAGAACAACGACTAAAACTACGCCAGCAATAAAACCAGAAATCAACGCAAATATCATTACTGTCCAAGGTTCAGTCGCAACAAGGAGAACACAACCAATTATACCACAGCCATTTTTAATGTTATGAGGATGACCTCTTTTTCATGACTGTGTCTCTTTTACACGGACATTCAGAGTTGGGTGACATGGCACCGAAGAAAGAGGAAATTGGGATAAAATTGCTCTATGACCTCCCTTCCCCTTGTTTACATGAATTATCGAACCAGACTGAGATAATTATCTCTAAACCATCATCTTGGATATCGAAAACAGTAAAAATATTTTCTTGATCTTCTTCGTCACACCTTGATTTTGATTTTTTTCTTTCTTTATTTAAAGTTGGTTTTGAATGTTTTGAATTGGGAGTTTCTAAAGTAATATGGGCATTCATTTATGGAAAATATTTCATCCATAAAAGGTGGATTCAAACAGTTAAATGTTTTGTAAATTTTTATCGCAAGATATTGTAAATGTTTCTTTTGAGAAATTATTGTTTTATTCTTTACTAAAAGTTGTTCAAAAGTTGATTCAGATTCATAATCATCGTGAGCTATTATCATTGCTCTTTCATGAATCCAGATTATCCGGCTATTACTTTTCCTACTGCAAAACATTCTAACAAGAGGACAATAATTAAAATATTATAATATGAACGTTTTCATTAAAAGAATTCGCTTAGATTCGTTCATATACGAAGCAATCCTGGCTAGAGCGTTTACCTTTTCCCTGGCTTCTTTACAAAAAACTTTAACATGTTCTTCTAATCTAAGTTGGTGGTCTAGTGTTACTCCAAAAAGTTTCATAAAACCTTTTGCTCCAAATATTTTCATAAAACCATTTATTAAGAATAGCTGCTTCCGATTGTTAGTCGTCAGTTAGTTCGTTCATATCAGTATTTGACAGCCAAATTGTATTATCAACTGCATGTTACATAAATTGCTTTTGTTCACATTTTTTGGGTAAACATGCTAAAACTCAAGCAGGGCAATTTTAAGTATGATTTTAAGTACATTTTAGAAATTATTTGGGAGGCTAAAGCCCCCGTAGCCCCCCCCCACCCCACTTCCGTGGTCCCTGAACGGGCTATGCTCGAAACGTCGTTAGCTAATAATCTATGGCAGGTAGCTCGACTAAGTCGTATCCGCCTTATTTTACTGCATTTAGAAGAACTATCACTTAAGGCACCCTCAGTGGCGTCGCTACGGGGTGGATTGGGGTGGACATGTCAACCCCAGTTTTCCCAGAAGTCGATTTTCTAATATCTCGAAATGGAGGGGGGTGGGGGCTGATCAGATCGATTTCGATTTTCGCACAAGCAAAAATGCCTGTCCAAAAATTTCAAAATAGTTAAAATATTTATTATAAAAGATCAAGATTTTCCAAGAGTCTGAAGGGCGTGGCCAAGAAAATTTGTTTTTGTCCACTCCAGTTTTTTTTCGAGCTGGTGACGCCACTGGACATAGGCACCCTGGGTGCTAGAGTCTCCATTATTTACAGAAAAACAGTAAACTGGTCGCAAAAAATGTTTTCTGAGCATCCACTCATTCTATCTTCTATAGGTATCTTCAAAATCGGCTAGCTTTTGGCAAAAAAAAAGTTCTTTACAAGTTTTGAAGAATGTCGTCATGAAAAAGGCAGTACAGTCAAAATTAACATTGATCCTTTGATGATTACAAACGCCCGATGTCAAGGGCACCTATGTAAAATGGCGCTTTGGGCGCCCTTGTCCCTCCTATCAAAAGGTAACAGGGGTGGCCGGCCCTTCACGCCCCCTCTCGTGCATCCCTGACAAAGATAATTAGCTCTATTAAATGTGCACATTCATTTTAAGCAAAATCCTTCTTTCAGAAAAAATAATACATTTACCTTTAAAGTGCAAGTATAAATTTTGGGAGAAAGAAAAAACTGTCTACGTAGTTACTGTGAAAGTAAAACTTGTGCAAATATTTTTTTATCTCACTTGCCATCAAACTTCACACGTACTTGCGCACTTCTGGCAAAGCTCATGGATACAGTACAGTAAAAGCAAATATGCCATTTTTCCATGAACACCAAAGTAAATCACGTAGCTAAAATCATCTTGTGTTCAGAAAGCTCAATTAGGATTTGCAAATTATCGCCAATATTTTCAAAGCAACTAGATCAATTTTGCAAAACCTCTGTTATATCTATAAAGCTCTGTTAGTTAAAAAATTCGCAAAATATAACAGTAAATTAAATTTAAACCCTTCTATAGTGAGTTCGTTGGTTCATTTTTCAGGCTAGCAAAAAACTCCTTTATCAAATGCTCTATTCCTATTTAAATCGACTTTGCCCACTATCAGTCAGTACACTGGCTTCTTAGTTGGTATCTCGTGCCTCTTAAGCGAAGTTTCATCTATTAAAATTTCTCATCACAGAAAGCATTGCCAACTAGAGAAGCCCAAATCCCCTCTTCTAGACGACAAAGAATGGTTAGCGCCACTCTTATTTAAGCACCCTTCCTCTTATTTTAACTTCAGAAAACTGAGGCTAATCCAACCCTTTGCTTTTGATAGGGGTTCCAAATAATTTTGAAAGCATTCTTTGCAAATTCGACATTTATTGAAAATGGTAAAATTTATTTCGTTCCCAAAAATAATGAGTTGTAATAGGACCCTCTGGAGATATCAGTTGGTAAGAATAATAAAGAAATTTGGCAGAACTGAAAAATGTTTTGAATTGGGTTATCCAATTGTTCGTGAAAATTTCTGTTCTGAAATTCCTGTAAAAATCTCTTTAAGAAATGAAATGCTTATTGGCAAGTTTGAAAAGGTAAGTGTTACTAGCAGTTGTAAGAATTTGCATTGATGTTTACAGGTACAAGACATTCTTTCAATCTGAGCTTTGTTGCTGTGGAGATAAAATCACTTTTCTACAATAAAACCAAGCTGGCAGAAATGCTTAAACCACTACCGCACTGAAAAACCTATACAAGGACCAAGGCTGCGCAAGAAATTCAAAGGTAAACACTTTTAAATCATTTAATTTTTAGCTTGTAATCAGACTGCCCTGTTTCTTTGTTTGAAGTTTTAATTCATATTAAACATTTTCATCATATCAACATATCTATGTTATTGATCATTTAAACAATAGCAGACATCTGGCCATGCAATTTTCTTTAAATTAGATCGAAGGCTTTCTTCATACTAGCCCTAGAGGTTCTAAAGGGAGGATGGGTTTTCAAAGTCAATATGTTGATGTTTTAGAACATTCCTTGTATTTTTTACACCTTTTTCTATTAGAGTTCAAGCATGTGATCTCTTGTCATATCTGGCTTTGCTACCTATTGTTCAGCGTATTATATAATGTAACCTGCCATCCATTTATGTCATATTTCATGTCATCCTGACAGAAAGATGAACAATCAATTTTTTTGCTTTCTTTTAAAGTTTTCATGCTTTCCAAAAAACAATTTCATTCAAACAAACTTACACACGGTGAAAATATAATTTTTCAAGGAGTAGAAGGTTGGGGAATATTTTGATTAACGTAGTCTTTAGGACGAGTTCTGCTTGGAATATCTAGTCATATACATTTAAAAACAACTTCTTTTAGTGCTTCAATATTTTCTAAACAATTTGAGAATACTCTTTTAAGGTTGCTCTAGAGATTTGATTGTGTTCTTTTGAGGTCCTGTGTTTTTTTGTGATGTCCAGTGAAAATCTGTAATGGGAATAAAAGCAATTATTGAACGGAAACAATGTTTTTATAATTTTGTGGAGAGGTCCAAGTACTCTAAGCACATTTACGGTCCTAAGAAGGTTGCTTTAGAGACGATATTGTGTTCTTTTGAAGCCCTGAGTTTATTGTGATTTCCTGGGAAATCTTTAAGGAGATTACTTAAACATCATTGTCAAAGTATTCTTTAGCTGCAACAAGGTCTGGGTATGAATCTGGAATTCTGTAGACTTGCGATGAATATTTAGTAGCAAATTAGCAGGTACTCTGTTTCAAGGCCTAACTCTATATAGCTGCCTTAAAACACTGAAATACTTTTCTAAGCAAATAACAAAGAGAACAAGACGTGTTATGGGTGACTCTTCACCAGCTTTATTAGCCCCGTGATGTGAATGGAGTTTAATAAGTAATTCTCATTCTTTCGTTGGTTATGTTGTATATTATTTGCTTGTAAATCTCGCATTTATCTTTCATACACAGACATAGAAATGGCCGCAGTGAAGTTTCTTCTTGCATTTACGCTCTTGGCACTGGTTTTGAGTTTTGCTACCGCTTCAAACAAGGAAGAGCAAAAACACGATGCATGCATCAAGGGCGCCCAGGAGGAAAATCGGCTGTGTAAGAGCCATTGCAAGGAAATGAAGGAAGAGCTTCCACTTCAAAAAGAATGCTTTGAAGATTGCAAATTCTTTTTGAAGGAATCGATCAAAGATTGCAAGAAATATCACTTGGCTGAGGCCTGAAAACTTGGGTTCCCGTGAAAGATATTTGCTAACGATGATAAAAACTAACTGTATAATGCTTATAAATGAAAAATGATTTATTTCAGAAGAGAATTAACAAATGCTATCGTTTAATCTATGTAACAAAGCCAACCTTGAAAACAATATAAAAATGACTACTGAATTGTGTCACATATGACTCTTATTCATGAAGTATTCTCGTCAAATATTCTATCTAGCAGCTGGACGTGATTCAGCTCTCTGGTCTGTAAAAGTAATGACCAAAATTGGGCTTTTTGAAATGCGGGACAAGTCCGGTGTATATTCTGAGATTTCTGTTACAACGATCTTATTCCCATCTTTACAAAGTATCTGACATTTAACGTAATTTTTCTATAACGTAAATAAACGTATAAATAACGTAAAAAACATATCGTCCTAGACATACCCAGAGCACAATTATATTTACGGCCCTGAAAAGAAGAGGTGCAACTTCAAGATTGCTAATTTTGACAAAACTGCAAGTTACTAGTAAGTATATTGAACAGAAAAAATAAATTCGTCTCCGTTCACCTGAGAAACCCGGAATAGATCTTAGTTTTAGGTCCGCCGAGAGGGGCAAAAGGGGTGGGGCAAATTGCCCCAGGGCCTAAGGTCTAGGGGCTTCATAAAGTAATGAATTCCGTTTTAAAATGGAATTTACTTAAAGTAAAACCTAAAAAAGTGAAACATTGAAAAGAATGAATGACGTGGTTGCAAAAATTTACATTTTTTGGGGCATCTTATTTCGCTTTTGCCCCCTGAGCCTCCAAAACTTCCAGGCGGCCCTGCTTAGTATGAAAATTCAAACTCATCAAGGAAAAATCCAAAGTATTACCCGATATGCAAGAACCTTTTATTGCCAAAAACAACCTGCCAGAAATACTATACTTGATTAGTACATTGAACAAATACTTGTTTTTATCTCAAAAATTTATATTTGGTAGTATCGAATGTGTTTTGCTTGTGGCAATCAAGTTCACTTGTGCATCATCTCACTCATTATGTTAATGAAGATTTGTCCAACCCTGCATCTTTCGTTACACATGCTTCCTGATTTTCTAAACAATAGGGATGTAAAGACGATAGTCAGAACCAGAAACAAACACCAAAAGTGGGGTAAAATTATGCGAACGAATCGATTGGTGTATACATTTTGTTCGTGGCAGCTGGTAAGCTTTTGAAAACCAACATACCTGTGCTTACCTAATCACCATCAAGGGAGATTGGTCATTGATACTTTAAAGGATCATCCTGCAGACAGGTAGAACAACCGTGGCCTTTTAGAGCAAGTCTGTAGAGACAATATTTGAAAAGTAAAATTTACTATAATTATTAGGAATATGAATGAAACTATTATTGTTTGGTAACTAGGAACAACAAAAACGACAAAAGGCTATAAAATTTATCAAGAAAGAAATCGGTAGAATAAATGTTTGGCTCATATTTTGCCAATGGAGATAAAGACAGTTTTATATGCCGATCAAATATTCGTTTGGCTATTTACATTGCATTCTTTTTATGTAATTTTGATGCTCATGTTTATTGTCATTATCATATTTCGATGTCAAATTCAGAGCTTTGGTGCCAAACTGATTTGATGCTAGAATTGATTGCCTAAAAAGGAGGGAGGGGTGCGGGTGGTGCGGGGGGGAGGGAGGAGGGTGCGGGGGTGCACCCCCCCCCCCCCAAAAAAAAATTCTTGTCAGCAAATTTTCTAAAAGTAGAGCTTTGTCGGGTTTTGCTTTCAAAGTTCCCAAAGCAATAGCTTTAGCGAACAGTTGGGATAAGATGAGGATGTGAACTTAAAAGTATTGCCCAAAAGCCCTCAGCAATTCAAAACAGGAAAAGTTAGCGCTATGGGTGTCACGGAGGGGCAAATGTCCCCCAAAAACTTCAAATGACTCCCTTTCGGCAGCCGAAGTCTAGAATCTAATGTCCAATATCCAGGGCGGCCTAATTTCTACCTAAAGTTTGGGGTTTAGGGAAGGGTCAAAGTTTATTGAAAAACACGTTGATCCTGGAGGTACTGGAAGCCACTGTAAGCAGGGAAAGGGGGCAAGTGCCTCAGGGCCTTGAGGTCGAGGGGCCTCAAGTAGTAATGTATTCCATTTTAAGAATTAAATCAATGAAACGTAGCTATGCCTAAAAATAGTTAAAAGTTCTAAACGATTGCAAGAAATGACTGCAAGAAACATTCTGAAATGCATTTCAAGACAATCTAAAGGGCGTGGTCGCAAAAATTTCCTGCTCGCTTCGCTCGCAAGGGGACGCGTCTTTCGGTTTTCTTTCAAGGCCTTCAAGAACTAAGTACCCACAGTCACTCGAAAATTGAAGCGATGATTGACTAACGAGCACAACCCCTTTGATAAACAAAATCAATTGCGTCAAAATGCCACACCCCCACATTGAAATATCTCAGGCCACGCCCTATTTTGTCGGCAAATTGATGACTGGCACCCCCCTAAGTGAAAGTGCTTAGCGACGGCCCTGGTCAAGGGTCACTTTTTCTAAAGCAAAAATTGTATAGATCACTGGCTTTTGCCAAGAGTTTCTGAAGTTATTGACCTTATAGAAGAAAATAGAAATCAATTTAAATATCTGCTTTCTATTCGAAACTAGTTTTTGGACTGTGAATAAATGATTAAACCTTAGCTTTCACTTTGAAATGTTCTTGTTATTGAAGGCAATTTCAACATGTTGCACTGAGAAAAAATGATGTTCAAGTGTCATCTTGACGCTTAAGAGAAAAAGTCACTAGCAGTACTAGCAGCGTAGCGTGTTGGAGATGATTTGTGTTAATTTTCTTACCTGGAAACAATCGCAAGGACACTGAAGGTTCTGCAATCACTTACAAGTGTATTAAACAGGGAAGGTAACATTCTAAGGGGGATAGAAATGGATAATGTTGAAGTTTATTAAGAAGTTATAAACTCTATCAGTCACAAAAAAGTATCCTGCAATGTGACCAAAATAGAACATTGGTTGCAAAACATCAAGTGACCTATTTCTGCATTAACCTTTTACTAGTTTTTAATCAATACATTACTTGACTCGTTTTTGATTCAAAGAGCAATATCAATTATTATCCTTTTTCTTCACCTCACTTTGAATAAGACGTACCTTTTAAATTTATATGATTAACAATGAACAGTTGTTTACATATGACCACAAGCAAATTTTTCCCTTTGTAAGTAATACTTCCAAGGAGACGATGCGTTTTTGTAGCAGTGCTTAAATGTGCCTAGCAACGTGCAGAACAATAAGGGTGATTCGTTGTCTTAGCTAACAAAGTGTTCATTGGTAAAAACGCTCTTTGGCGAGCTCTTCATCTTTCCAGGATAGGAAAACGACAGGATTCGGTAGGTAAGCTCAAGTTAAAAGTTATCAGCGAAATTAGATACTCTGGCTTCAAGAAGCTACTATTCATGCGTTATATTAAACTTTCTGAATATCTTTAACAAGTTTCACCTTTTCCAAATGAGTTTTTCTTTCATTTACAAGGAAATAACCATGAAATTTTTGGGAATTCTTGTTTCTCTTCTCTAGCCTACACACGGAATTCATAAATTTCCCAAGCATCAAATGAAAGAGATTTAAGCTTTATTAAACAAAAAATTATCTTTGATTAATTCTGTGTAGTTGTTTGGGTCTTTTTTAGACGGGCACTTTGCTTTGGGCCAGAAAACTTTATGCGCTACTGATCACAGTTCTGGATATTTGTTATATAAAAAATGAATTAAAATGCAAATTTGGATTTATTCTATGACTTTATGACTTGTATCATATTTTAAGGATTTGAATAGCAAAAGATACTATATGAAGGGTTTTGGTCTTTAAGACAGGATTCACTAAAGCAAAATTTTCCTTATACATCAATTCAGTTTTTGAACGAGGAAGCCGGTAATCACTTACAAAATTAAAAATACCAAGTTCTGTATCTAATTACTGTCCACTTTATGCTGCTTTTACGACTTCTTTTTTTTTCAAACTTTGTTCAAATTGATGGTGAGTAGATTAATGGTACCCCAACTTGATCTGATGACGTAGCAGGTTTGAAACATTTTCTTAGTTAAAAACGTACTTTGTTTCCACTAGTGATAAAAAGTCATAATGTGTTCCTGGATGTCAAATACTATAAAATCTGAAGAATTGTTACCATTTTCAATCATCCTTTAAATCTTTGGTCTATATCACTTTAATGTCGCAATCTTTAAAAAGCTATTTTTGTGTCATCTGTTCTGTATCTTAGAAAAACGCATTCTGAAAACATTACACAAGAAAGTTTTTCTGTTAATGAAATGAATTGGCAAACAGATTCTGTAGCTTTTTATACTATGTTTATAGTGTAGTGCAATGTAAAATGGGGAAGTACTCGATTACCTTGCAATGTGTTTCCTGAACTTAAGCAATCGTTGTTCCTAGTTTACGGATTTTTGGTTTCATGCATCTAACGAAGGATGCATTTTTATCAAAGATTTCATTACCCTGCACCCAAACAAGCCTCCTGGGGATTAGTTCTTGTCACTACATGAGCAAGCCCGTCAAACGGGGAGCTAGGGGAGCGACTGTCCTTGAACCCATAAGCAAAATGGGGGCCCACTAGCTTTTTGCCGCTCACTTTGTGGTCTTTGAAACCCAGTAAGAAACTCAATTATATCTTAAAATGAAAAACCTTTTGGAAGGATGTATACCTCTTCACATCGTATAAATAGTTTGAGAATTTTCAAAGGTTTTAGGACTTTCTGTGACTTTAGAAAACTAAGCGGCTCGTTGTGCCTTTGGACAGCAATTAGGACCATTCTCTCAGACTGAGTCCCTGATTATCTTGGCCCGTCGTGCCCCTCGGCGGGGCTGTATCTGAGGATATTTTTCCGTATGTAAGCCAATATAAGCTTTGATATGTAGAGACAGAAAAAAAGTTTCAAGGTAGCTTGTGTCCCAAACGCAATCAACTTGGCTTTAGTTTGCTAGGCAGCATTTAATTTTTTTGCAGGCAGTCAATTTTGCAATCACCCTGCTACCTTCCGGTTAACTGTCATCTTTATCAATATCCTGAGATAGAGGTTTACATGAATATTTTCTAGACACGGCCCTCGCTAAGTAATAAGACCTTCAGTGGAATAGCTAGCGGCTCTGTCTATAAATGGAATTTGAAAAAAAAAATTTCTGATGATTATTTTTTAAATCAAGCCATCATTTTTTTATCAAAAACCCAAATAAGATTGGATTCTGTTCTTCAAATTTTTTGGCGATGTGCTTCACTATAAGAAATTCATTCAACCTTTTAAAAATCCAAAAAGGCTTGAATACAAAGATTTTAGCAATTGCACCTAGCAGTGGATTTTTCTTAAGAAAAAGCTTTTGGTTCTTGTTCTTTTACGTTGCTATTTACGTTTCAGGCTTCCTATATCGATTTCAACAAAATGAAGAGTTTAACCATGATTTTGTTTTTGGTCCTCGCTGTTGTATACTGCAGCAATGCCATGCCATTGTTTGACGACTATGGGCTGCAAGAAGACAGAGGCTTCCAGAGCTGCTCTGAAGATTGTGCATACAAAAAAGAGGCATGCTTAGAATGCCCTGAATTATCTGGAAGTAGGTAGCAGCAATTGGTTGTATTTATCTCAAAGTCATGCTACATTAAAAATGTGAAAGTTATAGTGAAAGTAGAATCACAAAGCCATGAAAAACCAAGCAAAGTATCATTTTCTTTTGACAAGCAGTTACAAGGCTAACTTCATTATTAGTTGTCATCCCAAGTGCTTGCAGAGCAAAGGAGCGTGACCAGACCAATCTTTTGACTTGAATTTATCAACACTTTACATCTAATCATATCATAAAATTCATGAAGCAAGCATTAGAACTTGAAATATACTTATCATATATACATTAATGACAAAATTGAATGAAAAGTGGAAAACAAGACGTTTTCTGGACTTACTATGCTAGATTAAAAAGAATGAAATCGTAAATTAGATTTAAACCAGACTTTTAAATCATTTCTTAGAGGATGAAGACAGCGATGAAGCAATTGCTAGGTGTCAAATGAGATGTCAAAAGAATTTCAAAAAATGTATTGGAAGTGCTGGGGACACAAGCACTGCACCGTCAGGATGTCACAAGAAGGAAATCAAAGATTTATACTAAAAATCGAACAATTGATACAATATTGCTTGCAGGGGATATGCAGTTGAGGAGTGTAGGAGTGTAACCAGAAAATGATTCAAATTTAATGTTTTAATTGGTAATCTTTATCAAAAAGAAAGAGTCAACTTCTCACAATGTTTTTCTTATTTATTATTTCTTTTTCCATTATTTTCAAACCTTTGATTTATTGAGTAAATTATGAATGGTTTAGAGGTAGGAAAATATTATATTATTTGAATTAAACTATTGTAAGTCTGTTGCACTAACCAAGAACTTTTCATTTACATCAACTGCTAGTTTTTATTTCTTACTGAATACAATCTGTTAGCCAGAAATCGAATGGCGGATCCAAGAAACTTTCTGACAGGTGCTTAGATTTTATGGACAACACCCAAAAAAATCGCCACACTCCCTTTTCATAGGCGATGTATGTATGTTTGTATTTATGTATGTGTGTATGTGTGTATGTATGTATAATTTTGCCATCAAATAAATTACAATTTAAAATTAAAAAAAAGAAAAAGATCTAATTACAGATATATAAAATTTACAGATAGAAGTTAAAAACATAGACTAAAAACAACCCAGGTTAAAAATGGCAGGGATAGCATTAAAAAGGTCAATACGATCTTGTTTCCATAATGGTCCCTCCATAGGTGTTATAAAAAAGAAATGTGTACATGAAAAATTGATTTTGTATCCAAAACTAGGAAAAAAGTAATTCTGGAAAAATGTTAACTAGAATCTTTTCGTTGGCTGAATTTGGGTTTTCAATAAAATATGTAGGGGCTATCCTCCTGACTTTGTAGATGTTAAACAAGGTAGACAATATAAGCAAGGAAAATCTTGTACAAAAAACCGTGATGTATTTCCTTGAAAATTTAGAAGGAATGCGTTTTTAAAAAAATGTTTTACTCCACATTCATCCAGAAAACTTGCTAAATGGACTTAGAACACCTAAAAATGTCAGTAAACTTTTTATCTAGCCTCAATTCACACCTATAGAGTTAGGTTAGTTGCTCCCATTCCCCGTAAACAACGCTTGCAATACACCACTGCCATCTTAAATTTTTAGAACCTATTTCTTTTGAGAATAACCCAACATTTTTTGGAAGGGGAGCGTATGCAATGTAGATATAGCGTTTGCTCAAATATTATTGGTTCTTTTTTATGAAACTGTCTAAATTGGGTAGGAAATAAGATAGATGTTGCCAGGTAAGGGAGCTGTGCTCTGGGCACCAGACTCATGCTATATAAAGTGAGTCTGATATCCAGGGTAAGGGAGCTGTGCTCTGGGCACCAGACTCATGCTATATAAAGTGAGTCTGATATCCAGGGTAAGGGAGCTGTAGCCCTCTATGTCTCACACGCTTAACACTTGTGGTGCTACTCGGCTGCTTTTGTTTTGAGGTCCGCTATGATTTTAAAGAAAGAAATATCATCTTGATTCTTTATTATTCTGGAACATCGTGTTGTAAACTGGTGTAGGTGTACAATTACCCCAAGAAGATTGATATCTTGTCCCAAATGACACGTGTCCAGTCCTACGTTACTTTAAAGATTGTATCTTTCAGCATCATACGCAGAAATTCTTTACTTTTCTAACACTGATTCAATCCTTAAGGAAAACTTTAAGAGATTCTATCTTAAAATTAGGTGTAGCGACAGGCACAGATCATGCAACATAGAAACGTGCGCTTGGAAATATGGAGAGTTGAGTGGCCATACATAGAGGATATCTAGATATACTTTTTCTTACATTTTTGGTAGCAAGCGATTAAATGCATGACAATTCAGTTTTGACCTAGAATATTTTCAAAATTTCTTTTAACAAAACAACCAACTTTATCGTTGAAGTTTTAATGTCTCTACTTAGATTATTTCTTGCAGTAATTTTTTGCAATCGTTTAGAACGTTTTACTGATTTAAGGCATACTTCTGGCTTTTGATTCATTCCATTTTAAAAATGGAGTTCACTTCTTTATGAAACCCTCTAGACCTACAGGCCCTGGAGCAATTTTCCCACTTGCCCTCCCTTCTAGGCGGCCCTAGATACAACTGTAAACCTCGAGAAAAGAAAGTTGCTAATAATTGGCTTATTCAAGTTATAGGTATAGTATAACAATATTTTCTGTAATGATCTAGAATTTTAACTACCAGCCCCCCTCCTGGCCCCTTGCCAAATTACAGCAGGGCAGATAGGAGCCTCGTTTCAGCGTTCCTCCTTAGAAATAAAGGTAGAAGCAGCAATATTAAGGTGACCAACCACATTGACACGCGCGCCAAAACACAATGGCGGAGGAAGACGTGCCTTCTGTTACAGCAAAAAGAGCAAAGAAAAGGAAGAAAAAAGAGCAGAAGGATGAACAAATCACTGAAGAGAAAAAACCTAAAAATGACTGCAACATTTCTTGTTCTTGGGATGAAGATGCTGACAAATTGTTGATTAACTTTGTCGAGGAAAATTACACCCGCCCGAACAGACCGAAGTTGATATTGCCAAAGCATATTCAGTGGCAATTGGTTGCTAGAAAGATTTCCGCAGAGAGGAACCTCAATGTTAACAAATTTGAAGCCAGAACAAGGTGGGATGAGCTAGCAAAAGACGTACGTAAGTTTAGAACAGTTCCTGAAATAACTGAAGATATTAAGAGAAATTTGGAATTTCATTTCAACACAATGCCTAAAAAACCAATGTCTGCCTATCAGCATTTCTGGTTGTCGAAGAAAGATTCAATTAAAAAGAAATATCCAGAAATGGCTTTGCCTGAATTGTCAAAACGTCTTGGCAAAAAGTGGAGAGAGTTGCCAGCTGATAAGAAAGTAAAATATGAAAAGCGTGCAAAGGAGAAAATGGATGAGTATGCAGTCGAACTTGACAACTGGAAAAGGGAAAATCCTGCTGCATTGGAGGAACTTGATGAAAGAAAGGTTAAAAACAAGAATGATGTTGCAAATAGCAAGAAGACTTCAGCATTTGAGATATTTTGTGAGAAAAAATTTGGGGATATGAAGGAAAAACATCCTGATTTAGATGAAGCAGGAGTGAAAGCAAAACTGACAAAGAGATGGGAAAAATTGAAAGATCATAAGAAGGAAAAGTTCATCCAGGAAGCTAGTGAAATCAATGCCACTAAAAAAGGGACAGAAAAAAAAGGGAAGAAAGCATCTGGGAAGAAACGTTCTCACCAACCTCTGAATCCATACACTTTGTTTTTTAAAGATGAAAGGATCAGGTTACTAAAAGAGAGCCCGGGTTTGTCATTCGGTGAAATAGCTTCAATGGTTGCAAAAGAATGGAAAATTCTTGATCCTGAAAAAGTAGAACAATATAAGCAAAAGGCCAGTGAACTCAAGCAGATACACAATGATGAGAAGATTAAAGATGATACTAAGAAGAATACACCAAACGAGTCTTGAGAAAATAACAGCTTTTATTGGAAATTCTGGAAAGATATTAAGTTTTTATCAGTTTTAAAATAAGTGTTAGCTCTTTAAGCTTTTAGAGTAAGATGCTTTATTATAGCCTTGCTGCCTTTGTGAACAAAGCTATAGTCATATTTTGCCATGTAATTGACAGGGGACTTTAGAAAGATTATGTAACTGTCCACCTTAAACACTTTCTTTGTTATAGTGTTATTTCTATTTTTGATTGTATATATAAATGCTCATTTCTTAAAACAAAAGTATAAGAACTTTTCATAACTATAACCTATTAACAAGTCTTATGCTACTTTGTTTAGGTTTTTTTAGAAGCCTGATTTATGATTTCCTAATTGCCTAATTGCCTGATTTCCTAATAACACTTTCTTTTTTAGAAACATTGCTAGGCTTTTAATCACTAAATTATATCACAACTAATAGATGTTGATATTTTCCATACAAAATGAAGTGCAATTGTATACCTTTGAAAACATTTGCTGTTAATCACTAAACTTTTTGCCTGAAAGTTTCCTGCATTCCACAAGGATCAATAACCTATGTACTGTATATAGAGTGTGATAGCTGAAAATATGTTTTTATGTACCCAGTACCCACCAAGTCTTACTCAGTGTGATTTGGTTTTTATTTTGGTATCTGACCAACCCTGGAGGATTTGAGAGGTTATCACCAGTGTTTATTGTCACATGAGAGAATGGAGAACTCACCCAAAAGGAAGTGCCATTGATTTGAAGTTAGTAGAACATAACCATTATCAGATCTGTCAGAAGAAGGGGCCTGGAGCCCCCCCCCCTGAGTAATGTCAAACTGTACTATATTTCCCTTAAAACAGTGTTATGAATAGGAACAAAACAATGGGCAGCCCCACCCCATTATGAATTTTGTTCCAATGGCAAAAGGCTCATATCTAACCTATACTTCATGTTTTAATTATGCTTAAAATCTAACATCTTTCTTTATATTATAAAAGTGTTTACAATGCAATACACTTTCCAGTGGCATGGAGCTACTGGTACCTTAGTTGTTGCCCTCAGCCTTTAAGGCCTTAAGGGGGCTAGCAGTCAGGTCCAGTCAGGGCATCCATTTCTTTTTGCTCACCTGGGGTCCTACTTTGACAAAGTTTTTTGCCAGTGACTGTTGTTGATTCGGTAAAGATAAAATCTTGTTCATGTTCTATAATAAAACCGCAAGCTAAACTAAGCAGTTGTCTTATTGTCGAAAATGGTAATTTGGTAGCGATTTGGTAAGACCCTCAAATCGTTTGGAACCCCCTGTCAGGCCTTAATGGGATTCCCCCCTGGGCTTTAAGGTTAAGGTTATTGGGTATCGTAATGCATGTGGTCCCTCCCTTTCTAGTGTTTTAGGGATGAGATTTGTATTTGATGTCTGAAAATGGAAATCTATGGGAGTGGCTGCAGGCCCCTTTTTCGACGTCAGAGAAGATCTTTGATGACGTCAAACTTTGGCTTACAACTACAGCAACAACAGATTTGAACAGTGCTGCAACAGGAAAACAAATTAGCGGGGATATGGAGTGATTGAGATGGCTGCTGACAACTTCGAAGAACAATTTGACTGGGCATCTCTGGTTCCAGAGGTTCTTGTAGAAGTATTCAGTTTCCTACCGCTAGAAGATCTTTTCAACGTATCGAAAGTTTGTAGGGCTTGGAGAAAAGTTTTGGGAAATGGACGTATTTGGCAAACATTACAGCTTACCTTGGATGAAAAATTCTTTGAAAACATTATACGGACGGATGAAAATAGTGCTATTGTTGATTTCATTTGTTCACATTGTGACAAAGTAAGTAATCTTGTGATATCAGTGGACCAGACCCAAACTGAAAGCACTGCAACTGGACTCCAAATTTTGCAAAATCTTACCGCTTTGGGTAGTCGTAGACTAAGGAGGATTGCCCTAGCTTTCACGAAGGAGAACCCACTCTTTTACTCTGCGAAGACATTTGTTGATGTACTTTATGATTTGTTCATAGTGCCTGAAAGTGGTTCAGATCACTGGGAAAAATTCGCTGGTGTTGACCTATCAAAATTTCCTGTATGCCTTGATGACAAATTAATAAATGTTCTCGTAGAAAACCATTATACCCATTTGAGTGATATCAGACTTCAAAATTATTCACTTGTTTGCAATATTACAAAAGACTGTGTGCATAATCTGGTCAAGAAATGCAGGAACCTTGAGTATTTTTCAATTCACATGTCAGCATTTGATGGGGAAACACTCAAAATATTCTCTACACCAAGGAGAAGATCCATCAAAGTCTTATCATTGTTTTGCCAAAGAGAAGATAAGTACACATCTGATATTGATTCTGATGACTGGGCATCTCTCTGTAAAACATGTCCAGAACTTCGTGTAAAGTTTTACTTTGATCATACTTGCCCCATTTTTAGAGTTAAAGAAATCTTAAAGCCCATAATACCAGTTAGCATTTTAAAACTACGTCTTCTTGCCACTGTGACAGATCTCATTTACTTAGCTGCCAATAGTTACACAGAAACTTTAGAAATTTTTGATGTGACAACTACATCTAGTAGAGAACTAGATACTGCCATCCTGTTTTTGGCAACTAACTGTTGGAAGCTGAGAGAATTGCATGTCTGGTGTAGACTAGCAAAGTCTGTTGTTGACCAAATATTATCTCTATGTGAATTTGAAAAATACACGCTTGCATTTAATGTAGAGTGCGAGCAATAAGCAGCCTATGTTTTGCCCTTTTTGATTCAAGATGCACTTTTTGTTTTCTATAAATTGAAATTGTACATACTTCTATGCACTTTAAACGAAAAGTTTGAGCTAGAGCCACATAAAGTTTGCCTTGGTCCACCATTGACAAGATATTTACATGGGGCGATTTGAGAAAGTCAACTGACAATGATGGTATGGCCAAGAAATATGCAACGTGACCATGCTCTCCGAAAAATTCAAAATAATTTTCCATGAAGACTTTGTGAGTAGGGATGAATTTATTACTATAATAAAGTTCAGCATGCAAAACTGAATTTTGAACAAACCGTAATGTAGTATTTAGCAATATTTTGGCTCCAGGGTGAAATATAGGGTAAATTTGGCTTAGAGCTTAGACATGCAAGTGGCACATTAACATGAAGGTTTTAAGGGGCCACAGCCCCCAACCTTCTAAAAGGGGCCCTGTACCTAAGAAAAAAATAGAAATTTTTAGAAAAAGTGCCTGCAGTTGTTTTTGGCACCAAGCCCTGCAGTCTCGAAAAACCTTACGCCTCCACTCAAATATTCTAAGACCTTTTCCTCAAGACTATTTTCCTTTCTTGAAACAAGGTTTAAAGTGTGCCTAACATTTGATAACTGCATGTGAGTAAATAATGGTATGCCAGATGCTTGGGCTGTTAGTTTTTAGCTGAAATAAGAATTCTAGAAACATAAAATGTATACCAGGTATCCTTAAATTGTCATGAAGAAAAGGACAATATAACTGCAAGACAAATAGCCTACAAAATATGATAGTACCAATCACAATGTTGATGATTATAACCTGAACAGATCTAGTGTTTCCTAAGTTACTTTTGTCGAATGTTTTTTTTGTAAACAATTTATGGTGGTACAAAACTTAAAATGGCTTTGAAGAAAGCAAGCAAATGTTTGAGTATACTAAAAGCTTTTCATCTGACACTTTTAAGAGTAAAGAATGTCAGAACATAGATTAAAAACTCTGCACTAGGAAATATATATATACCCAGTTGTGGATCAAAATAGGCCAATCAGAAACATGAGCACATGACTGTTTAGGGTTGCCCAATCAGTGCTGCTTGCCTATTGAGAATGTTACCAATGGAGTCCTAAGATGAAAACGACCTCCTTGGCCTATTTTTGATCCACAACTGGGTATTATATTTCCTAGCATAGCATTTTTTCTCTATGTTCTGACATTTTATATTCTGATGAGTGTCAGGCAAAAAGCTTTAATATACTCTAATCTTTGCTGTTTTCAAATCCTTGTGGTTAACTTTGTAAAATAAGTATTTTATAGATAAAGGTTTTTAAGCAATTATTCAGATGATTATTTTGTGATGTAATCTTAGAATTTTCTAGTTTTTGGATAGCTCCTAGAATTTTTTTAGAAGAGCATTTTTTACAAGAGCACTTTTGAAATACTCATATTTTATGTTTATTTTTCTGTAATTTATGCTGAATTTGTTTATTTATGCTTTTCACATTCTCAATAAAGGTGTTTTAACTTTGGCCTTCCACATCCTGGAATTTGTCTTTAAAGAAATTTTGATCATGAAAATCTTTGCTTGACATTGCTCAACAAGATTCAACACTCAACAGAGTGGCTGAAGCGCGATACTCCCTCCTCCAAATTAGCCTTTCAGCTTTGCTGTCCCCAACAGCTAGCTGAACATGCTTGTTGGATGTTTTTCATTCAACAGTTCAATTCATTTGACCAAGGCTTAAGCCACTGATTTCAGAAATCAAGACAACAACTTTAGACTAGCAAGAGACCAGCTCTTTGGAATGAATTTTTCAACTACTCTTTGTTGTTACAAAAGTTTAATAAAGAATGATTTTACTGTACAAAATTATTTATATACAAGGACCTTTTGTGACAATTAGATTGAGATAGATTAAATCCTTTACTGAAACCTAAAATATATATTGGAATGATCCAGTTGCATACCCAGGGCTGCAGCAGAGAGGGGCTGGGGCTGGGAAAATATTTTGGGACCACGCCCTTAAAACACTGGCAAATGCAGGGAACGCCCTTTTTTCAAAATATTCCCCAATTATTTGATTAATGTTAGCTACGGTAAATAGCAAAGTATTTTACAATTGTTATTGACACAAGAATACAGTATACTACCCCCCCCCTCCCCTCCCCACACGAGTTTTACATCGCTTTTGGACAAATTTCAAGGACCATATTTTAGAAAAATGGGGGTCCAGACCTCCCTATTACCCCCCCCCCTGGTAACGCCACTTGAATGATTGGTTTGAATGAATTGGTTTAATATTTTGAAATTTGATGAATCTCTTTACAAATTTCTTCTTTCTTGGTTTAAGAATGTCCAGGTTCTTTGTTCTTGACTTTGCAAACTTAACTTCAAACAGCCAACTTTTAGTGTTCTTTTAAGTTCTAGAAGCAGAGCCAGGGCAACATGCTGGGCATACATTATTCAGAGATTGTAAGGACAGGTCATGAACTCAAAAAAGTTTAAATCACAACGCTTAAGACCTGCCTTGCAATGTTTGTTTTCCGAAAAAAGATTTTCAGAACACGAGGAGATTTTCTGGAGGAAGGGTGAACATTATTCTGGATTCTTCTTGGACTCTGCTTAAAGGGAACAGTGGCAAAATCCTTGAACTTTTTCTCAATATGTGGAGCCTTTTCGTTTAAATAAATAGAAAAGTTAGACAGCTTATGCGAAAACAGAACGAATGAATAGCCTAAAATACTGTTTCAAAATCCTATAGCCCCTCTCATTGATGATAACACGCATAGTATCAATGATATAGAAGCATCCAATGAAACCGGGGTGTGCCAGCCTCTTTGTGGAATGCGATTCAACAGTATGATGATCGTCCAGTGTTATAATCCAAAAAGAATGGATTCGCTAGTGTTATTTTGCGTCACTTTTGAAGCAATAGGCGTCAACACAAGCACTTCCTCAATAGCGCAGCTTACTTTTCGAGCAGGTATTTAAGTACTTTGGTACATTTATGACGTACAGAAGTACTGCCCACATTAATCGCATAGACTTGTTGTTTGCTACAGCGTCTGTGTCATAGCTATGGAAATATCCCACTAGATAAATAGTTGCTCTCACGAATTATCCGAATCTTCCCCACTTTCGTACCATAAGCCTGTGCTGGGATTTCTTCGTTTTGGCCTCCTTATGTACCTGCACTTTCGTATTTCTTCATAGAGGTGCTCAAGGTACTGACTGTGCCGTTTTTTATTCATTGCTGCGATTAAACCGAGCCTCTCCCGTACAACATTCCAATAACTTCTCTTTGTACCTTCTTCCTCTTCATAGATAATGCTGTTTTCCTTTATTGGGTCAACCGGCTTATTTGCAAGAGCAACCCTGTCGACCTCATCATTTATCAATATCGTCTTCTCACTTTTATGTGTTTTGACCTGTGTGTCAGCTCGAGGTGACGGTTTTGTTTCATCACTACGTTTTCGATGCTTTCTTAAACCATGTACCTCTTTGCTATGGAAGGAGAAATCTTTGTTATACAGTTTTTTACTTCCTCCATTGCCGTTTTCGTTTGCCTCACTTAAACTGTGGAGGTTTGATTTATGTCTTTGCCGATTTTCGACTGAATCAGATTTAGTGTTTTGTGTTTTTGGTTGTTTCCCTTCGAAAGGAGAGTGACTTTCGTTTCCACCACCGAAAGCGAACCGATGTGCATTATTGATATTTTCCTGCAACGAAGAGAATTCTTTTTTATAATCAGATATACGCCTTTCCTTTGCGTCACCCTCTACTCCAGAGTCAAATTTAATTCGCCTGCTAGAGCGAATCGGAGGAAGGATGTTGAACTGCGCCGTCGAAATGCCATTAATGCCTAACTTAGGACTTACAACTTTTGGTGACTCTGCTGAAATTCCGCCCGGCTCTTGATTCAAGGGAATTACTTGATTTGCTGCTCGTTTAAACTTTTTCCTTGCATTCAGAGCTGGGAGCAACCTTGCTTGTTTCTGTATAAAGTCTTGCTGTTGTCTTGAAAGTAGTCCTACACTTTTATTCCGCTCTCTATTCATTTGAGAGACGACATTCCGCAACCCACCAATTTCATGTCGATTTAAGCCTACTGCCTTTCGTAATTGGCCACTGACTTTGTCCAACGGATCCCTTGAAACGTCTTCCTCTTGCATTGTATTTTTATCAAGCCATCTTATCAAGTCAACTATTAGCCTGTCTTTCCAAGTTGAAATCTGATGCTTCACAAACTGCTTAGAATTACCAAAGTGCGTTGCCATTCAAAGCATGGTTTCGTTTGTCCTTCTGATCACTCTTTGCTCTTGATCATTATGTCTCGATGTCAATATATGCGGTTAAAGTACACAAGCATGTCACTCACAGGCGACAAGCTTCGCATCCTTCACGCCCCTTTGTTTTGTGTCTGACCAAATCTGAAGTAACTCCAGATGTGGATTATTTTATCTCCTTTAGTCTTCAGCGGCGGATCCCCGGCGGATCTTGCAGAATTGAGCGGCATATCGTAAAAACTAGACCCTAAGACCCTGAGACCTAGGACCCTAAAGTACTAAAATAAAAAAGCACCCTTAACACCAGGAGGGTCTTCACCCCGATATGACAATAGTTGATCACAGACTGTCATCATCGCACCACGAGGACACATCAACTGTCAAATGCGCTTTTGCTCCTTCTACGGCGTTCTTCCGCAAATTATTCACATTAGCTGCTGTCTTCAAATGAGTCTGTCATAGAGTCAGACAGCGACAAGGAAGTTTACGGCAGCCTTTTTGGCTTCTTCTAGTTACCTCTTCTATTGTTCCCTTTTAGAGTGGTTGCCACAGAACAATTTATATTTTCCTGCAAACTTTGCACAAATCTTTATATTAAAAAATGTATCCTGAAAATCCCTGCCATTGGATTATAAAGAATAATTATCAAATAATTTATTGAATTTATTTTTATGCGGGAAATTTTTTAAGCTGACCTCTGTTAGTAGATATCAGTTCCAGAATCATTTCTTCTATTTTTCCTAATTTGGGGTCTATTTTTGATGGCATCTAGTTTATTGCTTATTACTGATTTCCTGAAAGTTCAGCCGAAAACAATAGATAGAAGGCAGCTTTTAGTCATAAGTCGATTAAAAGTACTTTATTGTGTATGAGAAACATAATTGTCTTATTGAAAAAAATTCTCTTATATGCGGGTACATACAGTATGCTCTTAGATACATACATAAAGTATGCCAAAATTACAAAAATTGCACACTAAACCAAATTTATGATAGCATTATCTTAGAAAACTGTTTACACACCCCATGATCTGCCAATAATCCCATTTTTTCAGAATAGGGAGGGTAGAGTCCAAAAATCATGCAGAAGCTACAGGCAGCAACCAAAGAAAGTGCCTGCACCTTCACCTCTGACACTGGCCTTGATATTGATATGTGTCTCTTCTTTATGGTTGACTCCAAGAGATTGTACTTAAGGGTCCTGGGTCATAGGGTCTTAGGGTCTGGTTTTTACGGTATGCCGAATTGAGCAGCCTTCTCGCCACGACCTTTGTGGACCACGCCCTTGAGACCACACCATCTGGAGCACATCCTTAAAGGATTTATGCCACCTATTTTACCCTGTCATTTTATTAATGAATTTGGTGGACAATAGGTCAAAATTAAGTTCTTCAAAGTTTTCCGACAAAAATTTCATTTTGGAGGGGGCCGTGGACGTAATTTTGCAATAATATCACGTGGCCACGTGACGTAGAAGTTGAAAAGCGGAAGCTGGCCGACACTTGAAATCCATAGGCTTTGACTAATCGCGCATAAAAAGCTGACTTATTTTGCAAAAACAAAGTAATATTGAAATAGATTTTGTTACTGGATATTTTTATGGGATGGAAATCGTAAATTTGAATTTTCAACTACGTTTAAAAAACGGAAAGCGCAGCCAAAAAAATAACGTAACAACGAATTTATCAGAGGGAGGAAATGAACGCAGTGATTGGGAAAACGGGGTGAAGTTAGAGCAAAGGAAATGAGTATACTGATTGGGAAGTCTTTTACTCTTTAAATGGGGCAAACGTTTGATTCAGGAATTATTTGTGGCTTTCTACTCTCTGTCCTTCATCCTCTTTTGATTGAAATTTGGCTAGGGTTGGAAGGTTGCCGATGTTCCGACAAGACAACATCTTGGATGGGTATTCAACACATTGAGCGTTTGTCAAATATTCACCGAAACCCCAAATTTTTGATAGAAAGCTGGCCCCCTTTAGAATCAAGCCCCCCTCCATGTCATCCATAATTTCTACAATTGGATACCAATAACTTCTTCTAATGAAGATAACAAGCTCTTGAGTCTTGAGTGACGACTTGCCCTCGGGCTTACCCTCAACCTTTTGGTTAAACCGTAAAACCTTTTTGTTTTAACACTCATGTTCTCTTTAAAATACGTTTCGCCGGTCCTGACGTAGACTCTTTTAGAACGGTGACTCGAAGGAACACCATTACCATCAAAACAAGGAGACAGATTCTGCGTGATGGATTAAGGTTTCAAGTGAGAATAAAGTTCAAATACTCTTCAACATACTTTCAAGAATCATTTGTTTTATATCTTGAATGTAACTTATACCAACCTGTCATTCCATGAGAGTACACTTAATACACGGATTCATTTGGGTTAAGTCCTCGTGTGCTCCTTTGATGCCATTGGGAATAATGGAGAAGAAGGGGTTCTGTAGTTTGGGTTTCTGCACGAAAGTGTTGGTCCCTTGACTCAGATGAATGTATTTAATTGCTTAGGGTCAGCCTTATCGTAGTTGCTTGGTATGATATTTCCAAGCTCTTCTCTTCTAACATCCCTCCCTCCCCTTTTGAAACTCCTTGTTAATTCTATTGTTGTCTTATGAGTTAGCGCCTATTTACATCACAGGATTCGTTTCAAAGTTCTTGTTGTCTTTTCGTTCAAGATAAACTCAGCTCTTAATTCAGTCATGTCTCCTCTTTTCCTCTCTTATCTTCGGAATCTAAGGTAGGACTGGTGTATCGGCTCCTTGGTGGAGAAAAGTTAACTTTTCTTGTCCATTCCTTGCCCAAAACTTTAAGCTGCTTGTACTTGAGTAGATCAAGCTATATTAAAGGTTAACTCTTTGCACGTGTTAGATAGAGCTTTGCACGTGTTAGATAGAGCAATTTGTGCAGATGCACCAACGGCCAAACGTGGTCTGAACATCTGACTTGATGAGGGATGTGGCAATATCTTCTGAGGGAGCTATTTTATTCAAATTGATGAAATTTTTTTTGATGTTTTTGCCCGAGTAAAAAATTAAAGATAAATAATCTGCTTGCAATAATTAAGGACGAGGATGAAGACGAGGATGAAGACGAGGATGAAGACCAGGATGAAGACGAGGATGAAGACGAGGATGAAGACGAGAATGAAGACGAGGATGAAGACGAGGACGAAGACGAAGACGAGGACGAAGACGAAGACGAAGACGAAGACGAAGACGAAGATGAAGACGAGGACGAGGACGAGAATGAGAAAGAACTAGCATGTTTTAATGCTTCCTTGGTATTTTTGTTAAAAATCTTGCGAGAACC